ACTTACTTATCTAGTTACCATTTTAGATTAGTTTGTGGCTTTATTGCACTAACTTTTTGAAAAAGAGCAAAAAATGGAGGTCGTTAGCTAGACAAGCCGCAAAGTTTCATAAATTTTAAGGATTGAAGAAATAGAAGAGTTGAGCTAACTTGATTTTAGCTTAGGGTTCTGGAAAACATCCACAAACAGTCTATAAATGTTGTGGCGAGTAGAAAACTGTAGTTGTAAGTGGATCAGTGGCAGTCATTAGTAGAGTCCGTTGTGAAAAAGCTTAGAATGTTTTTACACCTCAGAAGAGCATTTACTGTTATTCCAATTAGTGAAATTCGTTACAAACAGTCAACTTACTTTAACTTGATCACTTTTAACGCCTAATTGCCTAAATTCATCTGCTTTCGATTGTAATATTGATACTAGTTTTTGTTTGTCATCACAACCTTTAATGATCTCTGAATATGATGATATGAATTTTTTGCCTGCATCAGTAACTTCATTAGATGTGAATAATTCTGCTTCAGTTTTAAATGCTTCAGGCACATTGTAGGCTGATTTAAGCTCAGGATGTTTAAACAACAAACTACAAGCAAAAAAGCAGTGACATCTTAGTGAAGAGTCAGTTAGTTTCAAAAATTTCTTTTAGCCAGAGGATTATAAGTGATTAATGTCTGATGGAAACTCTTACTTTTAAACATGATATAGGTTTTAGTTCGCCATCCGAGTCTTATCAAGTATACAATTTAAGATTGGAATCTAAATCAAGTCTATGTCTTTCTTGAGTAAAACTCGCATATGCAACTGATATTATACTCACTGTGCGAATGTTTTCGCTCCGATATCGTCAATTTTTTTAATTTCCGGCCAAGTTTCTTTTACATTTCTGATTATCAGTGGATTAAGTTCCAGCTGTACGGTTGCCGTTTTCACATTTCCGCAACCCATTTTTTAAACTGAAAAACAAATAAGTTGTTGTTTTATGATGATTTCAATAAATTTTTTAAAATCAGGTCGTTACTTGATCAGAAGACAAAAATTTTATTTTATTGAATAAGCATTTCTTTAAAAGGAAGAGTAACAGTTTTTTGTATTTTGCAAACGAAACATACAAAGCAGAACAGAGAAAAAAATTGTCTTCTCTCTTTTTTCAAATTTTTCTGTTGTTTGTTCTGAAATTTCTTTCACTCTTTGTCTGATTTTTAAGATAAAGTCTTTCTTTCGTGTATATAGAAATGTCTATGTCAAGTGGGAGAGGAGCATAAATCCATGATTAACTAGCGATAGTCAAAGGTATATGTGAGTGTGAGAGAGAGAGAAGAGAGAAAAAATAATAATATGATTTGTTAAAAGTGTATTTTACAACTGGGAGATATTGGATGATGAACCAACAAAAGAGGAAAAGTATAATTTTTAACTTTTTATTTTAAAGAAATAACTAACTGAATGTAAAGATATTAATCGTTTTTGTCAGACAGTGAATAGTTAAATTTTAGATTTCTGAAATAATTCACCACCATAATTCATTGAATGTCTACTTTTGAGACCAAGAAAAGAAATATTTAAGATCTTCTTGCTGTATTGTAAGGAGTATTTTTACACTCTTTGTTTGGTATGTTTTAGCCTATGTATTTAATCGTATTTAGAATTATATTATTATAAAATCGACCTTTATTCTAATGAAAATTTGATTACGTTTTTGTCTCCTCAACAGGAATCGTATCTTTCTATGAAAATGCTTTTGTGGTTTCATGTGATTTAGTTTTTTCTAAATCGTTCGGTGCGTTTATTTACATATATAAGACAGAATGATATCGATAAGACAAGTGTATAATCTGTCAATGGACATTTTTGTGTTTTCACTCCATACCCTATAAACAATCAATGGTGAAGTGGTCAACAAAAATAAAGAGAGAAATAGAGTAGAGTACATTTAGATTAGATAATAAGCACTTGGCGGTGATTTTAACTCCAAGTGAAGTAAGTCCAACACAAGCCAGTTTCGTTTGCTTCATCATTTCTTGTCTATTGAAAATTAAACATTGCTGTTTTCGAACATTATATGCCGTAGAAAAATAGAGAAACAAAAAGAAATATTATTATCTTGAAGTTGATTTCGTCTCTCTCATTTTACTACTAACTGAAAGTTATGTGCTTATAGTTCTTTCTGTCTGAAGACTATTTGCCATCAGGAATGATATAATTTTTTCGAAAAGTCTCCATTTTCTCAAGAAATTCGTTTATCCCAATGTTGATGTTTTTTTAATGAAAAATTCGTATTACTACAACTTAAAAAAGATCTGGTACTGTAACATGCACAAACAATTAAAAGAAGGGAAATAAAATGATTTTCGGTTGTATACCGAGGGAACCGCACAATACATCTGCCTATCTTTTTATCATTCAGATCGCTTGTGTCATTGGTGCATTTAGATTACTTATGAGTTATATTTAAAAGTATTGAAAGATGCTACTATTTGGAATGAAAATAAGTACGATTTCTGACAATGAATGAGGAAGTGGGAATGCTAGAGTAGTACCTCGTACTAATAAATGACAAAAATGTTAATATGACAAAACGTCTATTTATATGTTGATGCCGGAACAATATTGACGTCTGTCACGGCCAAAGCAAACCACATACTTCAGTATGGTTTATTCAAGATTCATTTCGTTTAAAGTGATCGAAAATAAAGCGATAGATGAACGTGATCTCACCATAACGTAATAAAACAACTTGACTATACGTATTAAACTAAATAGAGGAGTTTTCGTAGCTACTTTATAAGACAAGGTATAACTTGATCTTGTTTTATTTTAGAGGTTTAAGATTAGAAAAGAACATTGCCTGTAGAAACAATCATGACTTAACAATACTTTTTTGGAATATCGTTACAAATGAGCTTCATTTAGGTGTACTGAAAAACAACAAAAAAACCGGAGAACAAGGAAAATATAACAAAGGTGTATATAGATGTGGGAAGACCAGCGCATATTATTCCTGATGCTAAATAGTCTTCAGTCAGAAAGAGCTATAAGCACATCACTTTCAGTTAATAGCAAAATGAGAGAGACGAAATCAACTTCAGAATGATAATATTTCTTTTTGTTTCTCTATTTTTCTGCAGTATATGATGTTTGAAAACAGCAATGTTTAATTTTCAATAGACAAGAAATGATGAAGCAAACGAAAATAGCTTGTGTTGGACGTAATTGAAATTGAAAGCGATGGTCCTCCTCCGACACTATGCGATCGTTAAGTAAAAAAGCTTTATCTTCTTTTGGACATCGTATGATTAAGTAAGCGCCTTGTCCACGTAATGGCAGAGATGTCACAGCGTTGCTTTTTTTGCTCATTTTGTTTCGACTATAACTCCGAAAGTAAAACTCGTAGAGAGTTCGGAGACGTTTTAAATTGTAGAAAAAACTGTTTTCTACATTTTGAGATCTGATCAGACTCTAGAAAACCGATCTTAAATAAACTGTGGTCAAAAAGCTGAGATCTACACCTTTGGTTTTTATTATTAAAAAGCAGGTCTCAGTATTTGGATTACACTTTTACGAGGATACATTTTCTAGAGTCTGAACAGATCTTAAAATGTAGAAAACAGTTTTTTCTATAATTTAAAACGCCTTCGAACTCTCTACGGCTTTTAGCTTCGGACTTATAGTCAAAACAAAATAAGCAAAAAAAGCAACGCTGTGACATTTCTGCCATAGGAGTATCGTGGATAAGCTATAAGGTTATTCTCCACAATAAACGCGATAGATATTATTGCTGAAGAAAGAAGAGAGTTTTTAGAAATATTCTTCCATAAGCCAACTATATATATCGGCAGAAGCATTCGGCGGCATCTGCCAGATGATGAACTCCTTTATTTTTCTAAACGTTTAATAGATGACATGAGTTTTTTTTTATATATATTCTACTCATCACAGTAATCTTCACCATCAATCACTCTGTCTTCTTCTCTTTCTCGTCCAAATATATAATTTTCCACGCGTTTATACGCTTCTGAACGTAAAATAGGTCCAAATACCATAAATACAAAACCCAGAAAACATAATATAGATAAAACGATAATAACAGCATAACTGGACACCATTGACGGACGTAGGATTAGTGATTGTTGATAATTATTGTCAGACGATGCTGTATCATTCGATATATTATTAATAATATTTATAGTTAGTTTAGATACACTTTGACTGAAATTTGAGTTCATTCACGCGTTTTTTCATCTTGTTGGTAGTAGATACATGTTTGTTGCTGATGGAAGGATGGGGTATTGGTCGTCGATAAATAAACTACTAGTTAATCATTGAATCATTTATATCTAAAAGAAAAAGTTAAAAATGATTTCTACATATGAATGAGTTATTTTTTCTTGATCATTTGATTATCTGATCACTTGCATCTAACTCAATTCAGTTCGAAACATGAGAATGTCTTCTTGTTAAAAAGATTATTTATCTTAATCCCATTGGAGTCTGAAAATGATGCTTTCTAAAAACTTTGAAAAAAAAAAATTATTATCGTTAAAAATAAAAAAAACAACCATAACAATTCGAAAACGTCTTGTACTTTCTCTTCTCTAATGTAGAAAATTTATTTAAGTCATTTATATAGACGTCATTCAATAATTATATTATTTGTATTACATTTCTTTTCTTCTCTTGTGGGAAATATATTTTAATTAAACTCTATACATGTGTTCGACCATCAAATTAATCATTAATATCTGAAGATAAAAATGTCCATATGTTGTCAAAATGCAAAGTTGAAAGTAGAAACGTCGAATGTATATTAGGAGTGATAATGAGATAGGATGATAAGATCATCATTCATGACGTGTATACCAATCTAAAAAACTTTTTTTTGTTTCATATACTGCTATTTTACGTTTATACGACCAGTTGGTCTTCAATTTTAGGAAAGATGTTTACCGATATTTTTTTATCATAGCGAAAAACAATTTTATTCAGAACATTTTAATTAAGTAGATGATGTTACTTAAGCGAATTTCACTTTAGAAGAATATATAGAAAATGATGAAAATGCCTATTTTGTTCTGAATTAACAGCAGTTCTATATACTAAAGGATAAATAATTTATGTAACCAGGGAAATTATATGATCATTTTACGCGTGTACTTTTGTCACTTTTCAAATATATATTTCTTTATTGTTCATTTGTATTTATTTATTTATTCTCTTGTTCTTATGTTAGAGGCGCCATTTTACGCGTCCATTATTTGTATATTCTCCCATATGTTTATGATGTTTTTCAATTGAACGAAAAAATTAATACAAATATTTCGATCGAGTTTTTTTGTTGTTTTTTTTATTGATTGTATTCATTCGATCATATTTGTCTATAGTTTATTATGTCGTAAATTTAAATCATTACTCAAATAACAACAAACATATTATGTTAAATTTTTGTTAGTACTGTTGATGTTTTATTATCGTAAAAATATGAAACATTGGTTCATTTGATCATACCTATACATAGTTTCTAAGTAATGATGTCTATTTGTTCTTCACATGAAGATTTTCTATCTCTAACTGTGAGTGAAGATTCAACAGTTAGTGAGGGTACACGTCGTCTATTATCACCTTATAATCGTAATCGATTTAGTGCACTTAATCGTGATATTAATATGGAATTATCAAAAGTTAAAGATATGTTTCGATCAATTACAATTGATTTAAATTCATTCAATGGTCAACCGGATCAATTAAAAGATTTTAAAGAAAAAATTCGTCATATTAATCGTATTTTATTAGCTGTTAAACAACGAAAAGATATTTTAGATGATAAAAATGAACAAATGTTATTAGATTTACAAAATCATGTATGGGAAATAGCTAAATACTCTGTTCGTATTGAAATATATTTATGTACACTTGAACGATTAAAAAATTCTGCTAATGAATTATTACAAATGACTAAAAGATATTATCAAACACCTGATTCAAATGAAAAATATTATAATGATATTTTAGAATTAGGTAAACGTTTAAAAGATGAAACAAAATTAATAGAATCACGTGCACGTATAGATTGTCAAAATGTTATTTTACATGAAAATTTAGAGAAAATACAACGACGTTGTTCAATCATTATGAATAGTAGTGAACGACAAAAATTAAAATCATTAAGAAATTTTCATGTAAAAAAAGCCACATTAAATCATTGTCGTAATCGTTTATTAGATTAAAAAAGAGAAAAATAAATTTTTTTAGATATATAGAATGTTCTTATAACTAAACTGTCAGTGAGAATCTTAAAAAATAATTTGATAAACAACAAAAATGGCGTTTATATATTTAATGTGTCACATTCTAACTGCAATCCATGATTAATGATCTACTTAATAAACATGACAAAATCGTCATATTATGATCTCTATCTCTCAACAATAAGCATATGGTGACAGCTGTACAATTTTCATCACTATAATAATAGGAAAAATTAACTATAATTAAGTGCGATGATCTCGCTCTTGGTGTTATATATTTATTTCTATAGCATTTCATTCATATATTCTCCGTAAATAATTTGTTGACTTTAATCAGATGTCATGACCTAAAATCCTAAATTAACACAAAAGTAGCTAATTTTTTATTACTCTGACATAGAAAAAGTAAACATGCAGTTTGAATTTGATAAAGGTAGAACTGTTAAGATATTTATTCGATTTATCAATGATTATTGTTAATGTCAGTATTTTTAGAAATATGTAGACTAGCAATTCCTGTAGAAAGAGCAAAGAGTGAATAAGACAGAATTTTGTAATTGACTGAATTGACTGAATTTTTTCTGAAGAAAAAATGAACAGACAATAGTCATAGCTATGGCAAGTAACGCAAGCCCTTGGCCAAACTCATTTTTTGCTAATTTCGCGTCCAACCGTTAAGATTTAAAACCGTAAACTCTGAGAATTTCGGTGTCTTTTAATGCCGAATTTATGAGAAAAACAAATAAAAACTATCAAAGCTGAACTGTTTAAAAATCAGATACGCATCTTGGAGTATGTGGTGGATTTCTACAAGATTATACCTGTTTGAATACCCATTTTTAAGAGATTGTTAGTCACGATGTCCACCATAGACTAAGGATAGATAAAAAAGATAAAATTTCTCAGGTTCACGAGTTTCATAAACAAAAAAATGAAGTCGTCCTAGTTCCTAACGAATTTGAATTATGTTCTGTTTGAAGCGCATAGATTGTGATAAAAAAAAAATACTTGCCTCATGAGAAAAATTAATGGTGATTATATTTTTACGATTATACTTGATAATATGTATATATTTTTAATATATTGTCAGACATGATTGATAGAAGCATTCTTTTAAAAACAAAAATAAGAATTCTAGAGAAGAATAAAGCATGTGTATATTTTTAAGAACATATATTATCTCCGTTAATCAAAAAAATATTTTTAGTGCATTACCATTTCACTTTTTTTTCTTTTTTTCGTTTTCACTCGATAGAAGGAGAAAAAGAAAAAAACATTCTATAGAGATAATAAGTGTAGGCTACTTATAGACCATTGACGTATAATATTTTGTATGTAAGTGAAAGTAGATAAAAAGGAGAAAGCAAAACAATTCGGAATTAAGATAATTGACAATAAAGAGACAGTTTTCTCAAGGAAACTGTTGACGTCACATACATGCTAGTGCCAGAAGTCTTACGACGATAGTTTGTCTAAATGTTTTCTTTGTTATTTTGAGTATGGATATGCATATATATTAACATACTGTTTTATGAATAAATAATTATCCACTCTATCTTGCTCTCTACTTACATCTATCAAGACACATAAATTAAAAAGTATTCTTTCCAGTATTTTGAAAGAGATACCCGTCTAACAAGTTTTAAACACACAAGTCCCTAGCTTTTTTGAACTATCTTTTTCATCACTAAGACTCTCTCGTTGTTGTTTCTCATTTGTAGTTACAGATGTGTTTCAGAAGTTAGATTAGATTAGTCATGTTCAGTTTTAAAACATACAAGAAGACAATCACTTTAGTTTCTGTTATTGATTGCATTAAAATTTTGATGATACCTTGATACTAGCTTTCTACTGAATTCACTTACGAAAAAATTAATAGTCGATATCAGTCTTTCTGCAATATAGATAAAATCTTTCTCATTACCCTTAAAATATTTTTAATCTAAAATAAATATCGAACAGCAAAAACAGTGGCAAATAAAAAAATTGTTGAGAAAATCGGCCAATGTTTATATGATTTTTGCCAATTTTTAACCATGCAAATCGCCATTTAAATGATCGACGAAAATATTTTTAACTGTTTCTAAATCTGCGTGCAATATCGTTACAGTAAGCAGAATTTCTTCTTGTTAATGATACAATCAATTGAATGCAATATGAAATGCGCAATTTTTCTTTCTTTTCTTCTGCCTCGATATATCTCATCATTATTTCCCCATATTTGTCTCCGATAAACTGTAAAAAAGCGGTATTAGTGAGCTGCTCTTGCTCCTGAAATGAAAATAGACATCAGGAACAGATTGTCTATGAGCTCTTCGAATACTGAACATGAGTACTATTTCAATAAACTCAGAGTATTTTCTAAAGCCGTCTCCTTTGTCTTTGACAGCTAGCTTCATGGTTGATTATTTCATGCTTATCATCATTATTAAAAATGATACTGATTTCTTCTTTGCTCGTTCGTGTCATGTTGAATGGCATCGTGGTTGAAGTCAATAATCGACATGAGAGGTATGAAGATAAACATTAACAACTCTTATATTAATCGTATGAGACACTGAGAATGTGGTGGTAAAGAGTTCGTCAAAAAACTTTTTAAAGCGTACATGTTTAACGAATTACTAGTATTCATCAGGCGTAATATTGACATTATTCAGTAAAGCTCTGTTACAATAGAAGTGATTAGTCAATTAATTTTGATGATAACTATAGAGAGAGACAGCAGGCACTGCACAGATCATAAGATTGAGAAACTAATAAATTCGTCATTGGGGATGAGAATTTATTTTGCTTATTGACTTTAAACGTTAACCGAAGAAATATCTTCTTGTCCTTGTTGTTGGAGCTATCGATGAACTTGACACGTTTCATGGTGGCATGATAGTAAGTACCCTATATGTTATGTTAGAATCACGATACGATGATATCTTCCTTCTTTATTTCTACCCACTGTTCGTCCCACTGTTCTTTCTTATTTATCTTTGACAAGAACTAAAATAGGTAAGCTATAATGCTTCTTTCGTATACAATACAGTTTTAATAAGAGAAAAAAATATTGCCACAACTTCTCAAGGGAGCATTAAATGCATAAAAAGCTGCGGAGATCATTACTAATCTGACATAACAGAGACTTTCTGACGCTACGAATCTAGAGGTATTTGTTTCACACAAATATTTGTCAATGGAACACTATTAACTATGTTTTGCACTGTCCATTAGAAAAAGCTATGCTAGTAATTATCTTTGAATAGCTTTTGACCTTGGACACATGAGAGAAATCTCGAAAATAAATCAGAACATACGTTGTAGACCATTCTACATCTCGTGCAAATGTTTGTTTCCACAATAAATCGAGAAAACCTAGTGAACATCAGGTTGAACATAAGTTTTAAGAAGAATTTTCATGTTTTAGATATGAGAATACAATAATAAAACATTGGTATCTTTCTTAACATAAAACTACCACTTCAAACGGTAAGAATATGATTCAATAAGCTGAATGAATACTTAGAAAACTAAAAAACACTCAATCTTAAGATGGTTTTCTAGAAATCGCATAGATATGAAAAGGTTCCTGCCAGCATGAACTCAAATATAACAGATTTTACGAAACTTTCAAATGGTTTGATTAGACATTGTGCGATATAGTTTTATTTTTGTATATTTTTATGAAAAATGGTTGTCTCGAAACTTATGTTCACTAGGTTCTCTCACTTATTTCTGAAAGTCAACATTTCCATAAGTTTTACAATGGCCTATAACCTATGTTCTGATTTAGTTGTAAGATTTATCTCACATGTCAAGGGTCGACTTTGGGCTTCCTCGAAAACTGATAGCATCGAGAATCGATTATAGATGGAGAGGTTTGATTTGTATGACAATACAAAAGACGCTTGGGACCATCTTTTTTTGTATCCAGTTATGTATATTTGATAATTGGAAAATACATTTTCATAGAATTCACTTTTATGAAAGATATTTAAATTTCCTTGTCTGCAATATCACAGAAATCGCAGCTTTATCTTTAAGAAAGAGTTAGTCAAAAACAGCAGTGTTTTTAAACGGATAGTAGTAGTATTCTTAGTACCCTAGTGAAATTTCTTGTACTCAAGATCCTGGGTCAAGAAATGTCACAAGATCTTGGAAAAAACACCAAGAAGTCAAGATCTTGGATTCTTGAATCTTTCACTCAAGATGTTGCAAGAGCCTGAGTGAAAAATTTTCTGTACATTTTGTTTTTATTTATGACAGTCATAGCCATCGGATATACGACCATATAGTCATAGGTTCTTCCTTAAACAACTATGATCAAGAAGCAAAAATAGTTTAAGTTATTCTAAATGTGAAAATATTCGTACTTATATTTATACAAGAGTGTAAAACAAAACGATGATTCAAAGATTTCCAAGATCTTGGTACAAGAAGTCAAGAAATTACAAAATGTTCAAGATCTTGACTTCTTGAAATTTCTTGAATTCTTACATTTTCTTACCAAGATCTTGAATCAAGATCTTGCTGAAAAATTTCACAAAGTCAAAATCTTGGTTACAAGAAGTTTCAGTAGGGTGCAAATCTCCGCATGTGTTACGTTGTTTATACATACACGTAATAATAAGAATGGAGTTATGCTTGTATGCAATGTAATAAGACACATATAATGTTAAACAAATAAAACTCATAATGTCTTGATAACAACTTATGCAGTTGAGAAAATAATCATATACGAGACTTTTAAGTGAATGATAATTGTTTTCTTTTTCTTTTAGATAAAGTGATTACTCAAAATCTAAATTTACATCATATTGAATTGTATAAGACTGATTCTTCAAAAATTTTGAATATATATCAAATTGTTATGGTTTTAAATTGTGCTACACACGATATGCAAGTGTCATCGATCAATGGTTATTGAAATCGAATAATGTTGCATTAATCATTTCATCAACATTGTTCACTATCACAAATTCTAATAAGATAATGAAAAAGAAGCAGGACAATTACAATAATCTAACAAAATTGTTTCAGAATAGTAGAGATATATGTCTATTATTTGAAAATCACGATACTGTATTTAATATTGCTCTCTGTGTCAAAGATCTATCATATTATTTAGATAAATGTCGGCGAAATTCCGTTTTCATTCTTATTGATCACACGAGAGTGAAAGATGAACATAGATCAGTGGAATATGCATATAGTAAATCTTCCTTGGGAAACGTTATTCATACACTTATTGATACAGCTCACTATAATGGCAGTCTTCCTTCTACCTGGGTTTATAATTACGAGTGGAACAAATACTGTCCAGATCATTAACGGTATTGATCATATTTCATTTGCTGTATTCTGTATTATTATTTTCACCTTTGGTGACAACACAATGTGGTGTTTATTGTGTTTCTAACACAGGCAAAGATCAGATAAAAGTCTTTATAAAAAAGACACTGTGAGCAGCGATATGTTCGTTAATAAATTTGTCAGCAAAATCCATTTTAACTTTGACATAACTATGATGCTGTAACCAATTAATTTGAATTTTGTTTATTTCTATTCGTATACTTGAAGTGGATGAACTAACTGATGATTCAACAATACTTCTCAAATATCGATTTGTGAGAGTTTACATCAAGGAAGTTTTGAAAAGTAACTCTCTATTCAGTGTAGTAGGATGTTTTCTATCAGTCTGTATCATTATCATATTTATTGATGATGGTCAACAAAAGTTATACAAGGACAATATGGACGGTCATGACATCATCATGCATTCTTTATTTTTTCGACACTGATATACCACTGTGAGTAATTCGTGCTCAAAACAGTCTTGACTGCGTGGTAAAAAATAATTCTCATCTTCCAATCATACCTTTACAATATTGCTGATAATCTCATTGAAATCCTGTTGGACATTTTTCTTGTTGATCATTTTCAATTGTCCATATCAGTTTTTGTTCATGCGGAATGTAGAGAGATTCTAAATTAAACAAATAACAAAAAACATTCCATATTTTGATTGTCCATTCCTGCTTTGATTAACACACAAACCTAGACCATCCAAGTAAAGATGTTGTACTAATGGTACTTGCTGGACAAAATGACACTGAATCGAATGATTCCAGTTATATTTACTTAATTTGTTTTGATTATGATAAATACGACTTGATTATGAATAGAGAGTATCTAGGTTAAAAGAAAAGAGGAAATGTTTTTTTAAGCTCAATATCTCTTTTATCTTGAACTATGAATGAATTATTTCGGTGATTATAATGAAATTTAACCGAGAAATTGAGATTAATCTGTCAGACTTGCAATTTGTCAGTTATAATGCATTTTTATTTCTTCACTTTTATTTTTGTATTCAAGAAGATCATCAACAAAATATAGCAGCTACTAATGAACAATGACAATAACAACAACAACAACAAACAATGATCGGACGGATTATAGGTGGCCTTTTAATAATCGTTTTTTTGAACATGACATACCAAAACGAATTTTAATTTTATAACGACGTGGTGAACGTCGACGTCGATGACGATAGTTTGATGTTTTTTTATCAATTAAATCTGATGGTGGACAATCTTCATCATTTAATTCATTTAATCTATCATTATTTTGTTTACACCAATTTAATTGACACCAACACGGTAAATAATTTTTAATAAAAAATGTTACTTTTATTAATAATAATCCATCACCGAGACGTGCTAATAGAAATAGACAACGACAAATTGATGTATAAATATGATCATCAGATATTGATACTGATGAAGCAATGGATGGTTCAGTTACAGGATCAAGGTGACTGCCGGTAAAAATTAATCGTTTTAATTGTAAAATATATGGTCACATATCGAGAATATTCATTGGTAAATATAATAGTGCATATTTTAATGTAAATATTGTTGAATAATAATAACATAGTCGACATGATAATTGATCTTTATTAATTGTTAATAATGTTGCTAACGATGATGAATGGCTGGTCGTTGTTGTTATTGTCAATGGTATTTGTGTTGTTGATGATAAATAATTTTGTGTGGATTTTTGAATATCAATTGTAGTTGTATGACTTGTATGACATAATATTTCACAATCAGTATGTGAACGATTTTTAATAATAGGTTTATCAGTCTGAAATGGACCTATAACTAAGACAGATTTGTATGAAATAATGACATATTTTCGTTCATAGAGAAGATGATCCAATTCATGATCTTGCCGTTACCATTTGTGGAATCGTTATTAGAAGAGAATGGTAAACATTTTTTATTTTAACCTTTGGTGACAATACAATGTGGTATTTATTGTGTTCTAACATAGGCAAAGATCAGATAAATGTCTTTATAAAAGAATCACGAAGAGCCAGTAGTACAACATATCGATTTTTCTTGTGAAGACATGAAAAGCGCAGTTCGAATTTGCAGAGACAATAGTACTCTATATCTACAACCCTGTTTAGATAATTACTCTAAAGGTAATATACTAGATTAAACAAGATACACCAGTCGTTTTCGGTGGTTACCATATTAAGAAGTTAACGGATTAGTAACAACAAAACGACTGGTGAAAATCTCGATAAATTACGTGAAGTTTGGAATACTACTGGATGACGAAGCAGATGATATTGAATCTCGAGATGACAAAAAGTAAGTATTATAGAATCAGTTTGAAACTAATATATAATACTTCACTACTCATGGTTTTTTATCTCATTGAGAGACTGCTACTTCAGATATTCACAAAATCGATCTTTGATAATGATACATTTTTCTTGGAATGACAAACTAATTTTTCAATAGATGGGCGTTCCGCATTTATTTACTTCATGATGTGACGTGCGAACTTTGAGAGTCGAGAATGAAAGAGAGGTGCACAGTGTGCATCTAGGCGGACATTAGGTGGAAAAATGACAATCGATTTTCAACGATTCATATAGTGCTAGATATACTTCAAGTGATGCTCTATCTGATGGCATAAAAAATTTCGAATCTCGAACTAGAAATGTTGTCATTGACGCTACATCGAATAATGTGCGATTAGCAGGTTTTTCTGAGAAAATACTTGTTGAATCTAACGAAACGCTAAGGTCGAAGCATAGCGTGACAAATTGTGACTAAAGATTTTGATATTTGCTATGGAAGAGGAGTCAAAAATCGCCACAGAGTCATATTCTTCATTTCATCGATAAAGAACGAAAGCTGTTGAGCTGTTAATTCTATAAATGCATTCGAGTCAAGAGTATCTTCAAATTATCACAAGAATTAAGTCTTCATCTGAGAAAAGTGAAAAATACTGTGGAAATAATATCACAGTGTGATGTTTACGCAATTATGTTTAGCTGTTTGTTATCTACATCATTATCAAAAAATTATACAGGAAAAGTGTTAATCAATCGTCTTAAACTATGAATTAAAGTCACATTCATCCGTATTTATAAAATACGGTATTAGATGGAGAGAATACACCATCTTTTACATCATACATTTTCTTAAACTCGACAACTATGGAAGTGCAATTTCTTTTATCATAGCAGTGACTCTGAAACTATTTGCACTTATTAAAAAATCAAGAGATTACAACTGATAAAGGTTTCACAATAAAAATCTTTTCAAGAAAACGCTTTCTATGTTTCATACTGTCCTTCTTATTCTATGTGTGTATACTTAGAAACAGTATGAAGGTATGTATTATGTTATATGAGGTATGTATAATGTCAATAGTTTAACTTTCGTAAAACTTTTTATCTGCTCATTAGTACAAATTTTGATCAAACATTTTCTGATGACTCATGGAAACTGAACAACGTGTCTATACAAAAATGCAATGATATTAATAAAAGTTCACACAATAGAAATTTTGTATGTGTTCTGAAAATAACGTTCTTTGCCGCCTATATAAATAAGAGTATAATGATATATTTTAGTTGATTATTATCACTACTGATATATCAAAACATTATGGAAAAACGGTATTAATGATAACAAAAAACGGTGGGAAAACTTTTACTCCTGTAATATTAGATTTTGATATATTTGGTAAAATACAATTTCATCCAAAAAAAGAAAATTAGATAATGGTTAAATCATCATTTGTAAGGGAGAAAAAGCATAAAAATTTTTTAATTAAATTTCTAAATTTGAAGAGACAGACAAGTATGCGAGATCGATGAATGGGACTACTATTGTTTTTATAATATATTGCACGTATCAATAGATTTTGGTTTTACTTGATTGAAAGTGAGTGAACATACAGTTCATGTTGAATGGTCTGAACATTCCAGTGATGGTAATGAAGTTATTTATTTTAAAATTATTATACAGATTCAATAATAAATGTTTTTAAAAAACCAATTAACTTAATCAAATATAATATTAGAAATCAACAACGACAAAGTCAGGAGAACTATTAGTTAGTTATAAAGGCAAATTATAAAAATCATATTTTTTATTGTTTAGTTGTACATACGAATATTTATACATTTGATTGTGCTGGAAAATTGTACACGATCAATATGTAATAAAAAATGACCTTTCATTTTCAAACTTTAACCCTAAAAAATATATTTTTTGAATAAATCAATATATATTGAAAGTGTCGACTGATATTGGTCACACTTTTAATTCTGTTCAATTACCATCATTAACATCTGAGAGGGTTAATATGCGTAAAAGATAAACAACATTAAATATAATCATTTTTTCTTTTTAGTTTTTTACTGTTTTAAAAATTAGTGACGATAGTATATTCGTTCATGTTGATAATGGTTGGAGGTATTCGTTTTTCTGAAATAACATGACTTTTCTAAATAATATTGGAAAATTTCATTCTTTTTTTAGATAAAGGCCACGGGACACTTTACATATTTGATGCTGATGGTATCGTATTTTTAAAATCTCTAGAAAATCATTTCGGACGTTCACCTTTATTAATATTTTTGATATTAATGACATGTTTAAACGAGTATAAATTTAGTTTTCAAATTTTTATAAAGTTCAATCAATAAGAGGAACGTATATAACACGTCAAATACAAATAGGTACTCAAGATATCAAATAAGATAAACAATATTTTTTAAAAATAAAAGTCTTTAAATGATACAATACAAACTGTAATTACATTTAATTTTGAAATTAGATGGTCATTTTTGAAGACACCAATCAACGTTAAATATATGAAAGAAATGAAAGTATACATTCAACAAATATATCAAGTTAAAATATTCAGCCTACAATTAAATATTCAGAATTGTAGTTTTCATTTGTATAATCGATATACAGTTCGTCATGGTGTCAATATTATTCCCATTCTAAGTTCAATTAATGTTCCTGGTATCATAATAGCTGATGGTAGATGATAGTTGAGAGAGAATATACATCTTTATCACTCTAGTGTGCGTGTGCGTGTTAACATTTTATTTTAGGATATGTTGATCATACTTTCGATCATGATACAATGGATGTGTATATATCTAGCGATAGTGGACATAATTGGTATAAAAGTCAGTATTTGAACTCATTTCTTTGTAGAGGATCCATATTCTTTGCCTTTTGACAGGCTTTACAAGGTTTATATCATTATGAATTAATCGGTAGTGGTGCATTGATTGTTGCTATTCCAACTCGATCGAGTTCTTCAAAACAATTCAAGTAAATACAAGACTGGATAAAACCTTTTTAACAACTTCGTTACATTTGGAATAGGTTTTCTAAGGATTATGGTCGATGTTGGCATATATCTCATTATGCAGAAATTACTAATAAAGTCTATTTGTATGGTCTTCGTACTGAGTCAAATTATAAAACATTGAAGTTGTTTATATGTGGTTGGATCTAAAATTCTTACAATGGAGAATATTTTCAATTACTTTTCAACAAATATTGAACCGCCGATGTCAGTTAAAATTCTTCTTTTATTTTTCACCTATTTATTGTTGGTTTTTCTATGAACAGTCGTAGGTGTGGATGACAATTTTGAAGATTGGTATCCACATAGCGATTTAAAACGTGAAGATTGCGTTTTTGATATCAACGAAAGTTTTCAACGATTGAGAAAAGATTCATGGTATGCATCTCTTAAAGATCTCTATTTGAAAAAGTAATTTGAAAGATCTTTTTTGATGAATTACTGGAACGTGCAATCGGAGAATAAAACGAGAAGTTTGTCAGTGTGCAAGAGACAATTATGAATGATAGGAGATGTTATGCTGAGTTCTGTCATCTTATTTAAAATTTAAGTTAATTTTCTGATTTAAATGATTTTGATTTTAAACGATTGATCAACAGTGACATATGTGTACCGGATATGAATGCGGAGGTATTCAAAGATTTATGTCTACATGGAAATTAAATAAAATTAATCGCGAGCAGGTAAAAATAAATCATCTGTTGTAGTAGTGAGAAACGTATAGTGAAGAAAAAGCAACTTTTTTCCTAAAGGAAATGCAAACATTTCCATTTCTTTTGTATAGATATCGAAAAATTCTCGGTAATCAATGTACAATGGTGGAACTTTTATTGAATCAAACTTTATCGATTTGAATCTGCATTGTAATGATGAGAAATTAAAAGCAGATCTCATTGGTGAATATCGTACTATTTCGCTAGTTCGATCAATGAATGAGAATGAACTATTTTCAGAAAAAAATTTAAGTGATCAACTATTAAGAAGAAAAGCAAAATCTAAAAAGTTTTTTTTAGTTATAGTCAGTCATATATGAATACATGTCAACGTTTTATTCTTATCTATTTTTAGCTCCATCATTTCTCATTTCTTCTAATATTCGAATAGACAGGATTAATTTTTATGATAATAGTTCTTTTTATTAGTGGTAAAGTTGTCATCAAAGTGATAAAAAACAAATATCAGCACGTTGTAATAATGAGAATTAATTTTTTTGCTATAAAAAAAAAATGTTATCTTAGAAAAAAGATATTTTATTTTATAAAAATTCCCTTTTAAAAATACATTATGAACGAAAATCTTTTCTATTATAGAATACACAAATATACCTATTTATCAGAAAAAGAAGACGAATTGTTAGAAGAATCACCATTTGCTACCACATCCGAACGAATTTGTTTACAAACAATGGCTAATATTTCCGTTAGTAAAACGTACAAAACGGAAATCTGTAATTTATACTCTTGTTATTCTCTTATTTCAGAATGTAACATTCGATTTAGTAAAATGATATAAACAATTTTTGCTGTTGTGTTGTGTAAAAAATATTATAAAAGATAGCGTTTAATCCACATTAGAGTCGTCAATGCAGATAATGAAAACCTAAAGAAAAAAAATGACAAAAAAAACTTTTTTAACTTCTATCAAAACTAATATCGAGAGATACTTTTCCTTTTTTTCTGCTCTAGTTAAGTACATACCAAGTTATAATATATTGTAGATGCTCATTTCTCAATTGAACATTGGTCTGTCCACCAATAGGCGCTACATTTGTCAACGATGGATCTGAAATATTAATTTATACGACATTATTCATTAGTTACAATCAATTTATTTTACTTTACTTTTGATTGCATCTAAAAATATTGGCTCTGTGTTTAGATGTTCAGACATAACTTCGACGTCACGTTTTCTCCATGAACCTTTTGTTGGCTCATTTCTTAACCACATATTTGCCTAATGAGAGAAAAGTGTTCATATTATTTGTGAACAGTCATTTCTTCATTTTCTTACCGAATCTGTCTTACGTAATAATCCGATTAATTCGTGTTCATCTTCGATCTAAAAAGAAGAAAATACTATTTCATACTAATGACGAAATACAATTTTAAAATGCTAAATCATACCTGACCAGATAAACGAGTGTTAGGATTACGATAATCATTCGATACATATCCTCGATTGACCAATATTGAAAAGCTATTGATAAAACAAAGATGTTCGAACAAATAGCGGGTGGCCCAGATAAAATTGGACACTTTCATTCGTTGTTTTTTAGCACTGTCTAGTAGTCCAAACAGTTTATTCTAAGCTGAATCGATAGAGAATTGAATTTTCTACAAAATCTGCTATATGAATCTCTGATAGCATTTTTCTCGTTTGAGCACCATTCAAAATGTTGAAGAGTGCTGGATTGTCTCACTGTGACACACTGAAAATAGAAAAATATTTGCCTTGATCTAAAAAACAGATTCCATAAGAATTTCGAAAAAATCAGAAGAGAATTACTGGAAAATTCTACATCTTCTCACATATTTTTCGAAATTTTACAGTCAAGTCTTCTAGGAAAATTTCTCTGTGCAAAAAACTGACAAATCCAAAAAACCCTAACTTTCGAACCTATTTTTCACAGACTTTAGCTTTTTGACTATAAAAGCATAAAATGTTCTGAATTCAGGGTTTTAGTCCTATTGTCCTACACAGAAGTAAAGTCGGCATCGTTTGATATATAAACAAAGTTTCTCAATTGAAATCATTAATTAAAAACATTAATTTAGTTTGAAAAAATTGAAAAGCCGGTTGAGAGCTAATTATAAGTCCAGCTGGTGTAACTAAAACATTGTATGAAGTTGTGAAGAAGTGAGATCGGTAGAGCACAAAATTTTCTATCTATGTACGCAGATAAGTTGACTATTGAACTCCAGGCAATGGGCTAAAAATCTCACAAAAGGAGACGACAAAAGCTTGTCGCAATTTGACAACTCAGCACCCTTTTTTCATCAATATTTTGAATGGTGCTCAAACGAGAAAAATGCTATCAGAGATTCATATAGCAGATTTTGTAGAGAATTCAATTCTCTATCATTGAGCTTAGAATAAACTCTAAAGACTACCGAGCAATGCTCAAAAACAACGAATGAAGGTATCCGATTTTATCTGGATCATCCGATATGTAAACTATCCAAAATTGTATTTTACTTTTGATTTGATATTTTAAATGGTGTAATGACTTGAGCACCACCGGATGAATTACTATGTGATTGTGGCCTGTTTAATTGTTTTGAACCAATTTCTGAACGATTTGTATTATCGTTCATATTGTCTAATCTTGATCGTGGTTCAATTAAAATTTCTCGTGAATGATCATATCGTCCTTTTACTCGAATCGGATAATATTCAAGTTCTTGTAAACGATCTAAACTAGAAAAATTCAAAAAATTAATTATTTAAACTAATAAAATCTTTTAGATAAAACTGACTTGTCTAATAGTGATAGTGGTTCTGAATGTGTTCGATCATTCAATGTTTGAATAAGATTTATTTTCCATTTTCGCCTATTTATTTGCCAATATCCAAGTCCAAATGTTGTTATTGGTATCACCTAGAGAATCATATAAGAAAAAGAATATTTTATGTAGTATGTTACAAATTGAGTGATAATTTTCAAATTTTTATACTGTAAATATAGTAGTATTGTAACCATATAGATAATGATTGTGACTGAGAGACACAGAATAAGGTTATATTTACCAGTAGAACAATGGCTGTTAAATCAATTTTTTCACTTTTATTTTTCTTTGTAAGGTAAAATTTCTGATTTGTTTGAAATACTCGTCTTGTAGAATGGAGACATTGAACAAAAACTTTGGGTTGACACGTTAAATATGATTTATATAAAAATGTAGAAATGTAATGCATCTGAAGAACATAAAGAAATACATATGTTTCTATTTGGTGGAATCTTTTTGTTAATATTAGTTTCAATAGTGTGTGTGTGTGTGTGTGTGTATCTTCTTTATTTTTTTTACTGCATGATACTTAAAATACCGTTTGTCTAAGATTGACATTCTCGTTTGAAAAAGAGCGAACTATACTGCTGATCGTATTTTCAACTTTATTTTATTCATAATAACAAACGATGGAAAAAATTACAAAGATATGATAAAAGAAAAAAGAAAATCTTCAGGCAGCAGAAAATGATGGTGTCGAAGTTGAGATATAGATGTTTATCAGGATAATTCTAAAAGTAAAACAGTGCGATACACAACTTGAAAGGACATAAAACAATTCAACTACTTACATGTTGAAGAGCGTTTATCATTAACATTTAAATAAGGTGTTTCATTTGTTTCAAATACGGAAAATTTTCTATTACGATATTGTTTACGAGCTTGATGAATATATAGAAAGATAAAATCGCATACTATACTGGCAATTACCATAAAACCAATACCAGAACCTAAATAATATTTTAACATTGTCAATTATTTTTACCTTAAAAATGATATATTATTCACTCACCAATAGCTACAAATAAATTCACAATATTAAATCTTCCTCCTTGTCCTGTTGTCGTCACAATAAATCTTAGACCATAAGCTTTAATTAATATTCGAACATCTGTCGAATTTACACGATATTTATAAGCATAACTGAAAATATCATCATGAAGTCAACCAATGAATAAAATAAAGAATTTTACCTACCGATAATTAATACCAGGTGATAATTCATCATTTCCACTTTGTAATAAACGAAAATCATACGTTGGAAAACAACGTTTCTCAGCAATATCAAAATTACATAACCATTTTTGTTCAATTTCAATTAGGCCGCCCTACTGGCAGAAAAAAATACACTAGTTTTCACGAAATAAAATTTTATTTTACAACAGACTTCTTTCAATAACGATGGTGCAACGTCATACCGCGCTTTGGATGACAGATAATTTATAATATAGCCAATTTCGAATATTGGACACGTTGGATTAGTGGAAAAATCAAATAAACAGGAAAAGTTGGTTTCTGGTTTCACATTGCGTCTAAAGAATTGATTATTATTATTGCTTAAGTTTAATCATATGACTATGTTAAACATACAGAGTAGCATTAAATCTCAAAAATGTGACAATTGATTTGATATAAACCGTAAAATCGTTCAATTCGCTTTCATTAATTTGATATTCCCTAGCCAGAGAAAAATATATGACAATAATGTAACGAATGTCCCAGAATAAATAGCGGTCTCATGTATTCCGCTGATACCTCACTCAATTTTCATTGTCAAAGCTTCAACTGTTTTTTAAAACATTCATCGTTTCACTCTCTATAAAAAAACATATTAAACATTCTTTTATATACCATACAAATAAGAGAATATAGGTGAGATATCATGAAGCTTCAATTCCCATTACTGTTAAACATAAAACACAACAAAAAGATATTTATTTTGAACTTGATGCCATGCTGTAGTAGAATCAAAACGTATGTTCTGGTATCTCGAAGTGTCGTCTTTCTTTTTATGTATTAGAGGTTGGCTTTCAACGTGTTTTTCTAATATGAAAGGCTATTTTCCTACAGTCTCCCAATAAAAAGGAAAACTTCCACCTTTTCACCTTGTCAGTGGAAAAACAATGGAGTTATCGAACTTTCTCTGTTCGGATGTAACAGAAGGATTTTTTTGGTTTAAAATAAGACATTCGACCTCAAAATATTTAATTTTGTCCGATTTATAAAAATTTTGTAAAATGTCACCAAAACTGCAGTTTGAAAACGATAATGTTTGATAAATTGGATAAAAGCAAAATCTTCTCCTCAACAAATTACGATTATTCAGAGTTTTAACGGTCATCTTCTCTTATTCTGTATCGCAAATACAACTGAAAAACTTGAAAAACTACTTTTTGTGTTTTAAAATAATGAAAATTGAAGCTTCGCGTTATTTCACCTATATTCTTTTATTTCTACGGTATATAAAAAAAATGTTTAATATGTTTTTTATAGAGAGTGGAACGACCAATCTTTTAAAAATAGTTGAAGCATTGACAATGAAAATTGAGCGAGATATCAACGAAATATTTGAGACCGTCATTTATTCTGGGGCACCCGTTATATAGCATATCTCTTAATACATACAATGATGAAGAATATTCTTCAGGACACCAACCATTAATTTCACATGTTTTATTAGCTGGTTCTTCCGAACTTGGCACACAGTTACCAGTGAAATATCCTGTAAAGAGAGAGAGAGAGAGAAAAATAAACCCAAGTATTATCGTTAAAGAGAAACTGACCAAATTTTGTGGGTGATTGTTTGTCTTTTGGACAATCAGCGTTTGTTTCACAAAATGCTTTTGATCTCAAAGACTAAAGTGACAGAAATTAGTAGAAAGAGGTTAAAATGATTGATATGAACAGTTAAATTACACTTGGGCAAGTGCCTTCCACTTGATCAAACGTAACAATTTGTCTGGTGGCTATGAAAAAGGCACTGTTCTCCTGAATGAAGAAAAAAATAATAGTATGATACCAAAGTTCGATTAAAATTAACAAACCAATGGAGGAATTTCATATTCAGCTGTGTCCCATACTCTTACAAACTGGTCTACAATCAAACACAAAATTTAACAAAAAGAGAAGAGAAACCAAAAATCTATTCAATACAAGCATTAAAGATTAATGTTACTAAGCTTTGCTAGTGTAACTATCGAAACTTCGCATGGGCTCAAAATTTAGTCCAGACTGGATCTATTTCAAAAAACTTTTAAATTCCTCGCGTTTTTAGGGTAATCGTTAACGGTTTGTGCCTCGATTATTACTCATATATATAGAGTTGCATGCATTCAAAAAAAGGCATTTATATACAACGTTTTCATTTATGGCTCGTCAAAGCTACAATCATCTGTAACAATTCAAAAACAACACGTTCCCAACATTTTTTTCTATAGGGAGGTCTATTTCAAAAACGTTTTCAAGTCTAAATGACTCCATAGTCTAAGAAGTTTGGATTCAGTCCATACGGCGGTCTGGTAACCACAAGAACTGATATTATAAACGATTTTGACACTTCTATCCATAAATCCATATATCTACACTTCTACAATACAGTAAATTTTGTTATAAATGAACTTACTGTCTCTTGTTGAACCGTTCACTCCAATTTGCGCAAGACCTTTAACCTTCGTTATACTTATTCCATTTGGTATAACAGATTCTTGATATCCTTTTTTATACCATACTATATAACTAAATACGAAAAACGTCTATTAACCGTTAATGAATATGATTTACACAATTTTGACATACACTGCTATGTACGTTACAACAATAAACTGGATAATTCGATTCAATATTGCGATTAATGTGTTTGGAACAGTAACTACTTTCACAGTAGAATAGGTTAAAAATACACTGGACATACATGAAAATAGGCCACCTTTAATTTCTGTAAAAGAAAAATATAGTCAATACTGCTTTATAAATCTCTGTATACAAGTATACTGCTATTAATTCTATGTCACTCACTCGCTCCCAGCATTTTGCTGCTTTTATGTTTGATGTTATTAACAACTGTAAAGAGTACCGTATACAGGTAAATACAACTGTTAATATTACGATGTTATCAATTTGTTTGTATAGTAACATCTTATCTATAAGATGTGATTAAAAATAAGTGCAAAGAAAGAAACTTAAAAGAAAACAATAATAACGTGAGAAAAACAAACACATATATTAGTCGTTTATATACGCATATTTCTTTAGTAATAATTCATTCCTACTATGTCTTTAAATATAGGATGGAATCGGATATTTTTCTAAAGAGCCTTTACAAAAGATGAGCGATTCAGTAGTCAAGACTTGGGCACATATGATAAGTTGGAGAGTCCTTTTCTAAGATAGGATTTTGAAAGAAAATTTGAAAAATCAATTTCTCTTTCAAAAGTCGTCTGAAGTTGAACAGTCAAACGTATGTCAGTTTTTGTATAGGTAAATCTATAGTGTTGTATAAACACTCATACAAATCCAAACATTGGTTTCTGCAATAGACGGACATAGATTTCCTTCGACAAAAGCTAATTTGTATTGTCTGATAGGAATTTCAAAAAGAGATGAAACAGAAAATATTGAACGTCCTAAGTCTCGCGGCAATACATTCAGACAAAGAACGAAAATCCCAGAAAACATTAATTTTGAAAAATTTTAGAACTGAAAATTCAATTTTTCTGTCTGATAGTCTGTTGTTCTTAAAGTTCTTACATCGCATTGCTCCAATAGCGGATTCTAAAGAAAGCGGTCTGCGAAGACCATGAAAATTCATTTCATAACCATCTCTTCTAATTGAAAAATGAAGTTTTCTTGTTTTTGAAATATTGATATTGATGGTTTAACGAGTTTTTCTCCATGAAAAGGGGAAAATCCCTAGATCAGCTAATACATGGCTCAACAGAGATAAATTTGTCTGCTAGAGTAAGCTTGTTATATTCTACAATAGAAAATAGTTCTCAAAAGTTTAGATGAGACATCTTTCACATCTTTGAAGGTAACTCAGAACTACAATCTTCCCATGTTGCCTTCAACACTCCATTAGAAGAACCTTGAAAATTTCTTTTTAATTGATACTGATCATGCATGGATATGCATCGGTATCGAATGATTTTTTTCGATGTGCACTGACAATACCGCATTGAAATTTTTTTTGCAAAACAAACATAGGTTTCTGAGCGATCATACAATCAAACACAGATAATGAAAATGTACATTTCATGGACTTTTTATTTTACGTCTTTGATAGTACTCGAATTTTCGTTGGGTTGTTGTTATCTGTTAAAGAAAAAACTAAAAAACCTTGTTTTGAATAGAAATAAAAAAAACTACGATTTAGCTTTTTGGTTATTATAATATGGCACGATGATTTTCAAAATTCTCATCACATTATTCTTTCTTCCCATTTCCATGTGTGTGATAATTAGAAGTTTCTTTCTAGTTCAAAGACAAGAGACGAGTCAATAATAAGCATGAATTCACTTTTTTTAAAAAAGTTGGATAGAAAACAATTCACTAACTTTAACAATCTAGTCAGATTTGCTCAATTTATTCTTTTTGCTAAAAACTGTCATATGCTCTGTATTGGAAAATTTAAAAGATATATTGTAAACAAAATAAATATTGCTTGTTTATGAAATGAGTCGTTTACATAAAAATATAAAATCTATATAAACTGACATAATAAAAGATTTGACAAATACGCGTATAAAATTTTAAATGACACAAACAAAATATTATTCATTATATACTGGATTCAGACAACCACAAGACCCCAAGAACACGCAAAAATTTTATTTATCATGCATGGCTCGTCGTTCATTCAAATAGGCTTCTAAATCTGGTACAATTTGTTTTTTTCGACTAATTCTATTTCCAAGATCAGCTACGTTATCTTTAACATCTGCATTAAATACTTCTTTGAGAATTTCATTTTCACGATCACTGACAGCAAATGTCAAATTCGTCTCTTTCAATATATCAATAACTGAAAACAATAGACCGTTAAGTTGAGATTCTTTTTTCTCTTTATTAATTTCATCTAATAATTCTTGTTTACGATCAAGTGCATGTTTTGGATTCGTTGTTTCTATCACACCGATAGCCCATTTTTCGTTATCAAATGGGAATATTTTATAATCTAATTTTAAAATTTTATCGGGTGACATATTGCTTATGTCGGATTTAGCTTCAAACATTTTCAATGCATAATCTTTCACATCTTTTATTTCAGCTATTGGCGTTAAATAATCGAGTAATTTTCGATCATCATCTGATGTTGTTGTACTACGAAAATGCAGTGTATCACTTAATATTGAACTAACTAGTAAACGAGCCGTTGATTTATCAATATCTAAATCATTTTCACGAAATAATTTCGCCAATATGGTTCCGGTACAACCACTAGAATAGAAAATGATAATATATCATATGTCATCTGTTCATGCGCTACAAAAATAAACCTTCTTACACAGGTTCCATTCGAATAAAAATCGGTGAAGATGTAGTTAAATCCCCTAATTTATGATGATCCACAACACGAGTTATTTTCAATTTTTTAATATTTTGTACACTTTGCTGACTTTCATTATGGTCAACTAAAGCAACTTCGGTACCATCTGGAAGATCTCCAACGAAATCGGGTTGTTCCACATTAGCTTCATGTAACACAAACGTTGTTTCATTATTAACATCAGCAAGGCGGTATGGTTTTGCTTTAACGCCCATACGATTTAAAAATGTAGCATAGACAATTGCTGATGCGATTGCATCTAAATAAGATATAAATCAGATGAGATAACATCAAAGATCTTAGAGTAATTAAGTACCAGTATCGGGATTACTATGACCAAATACGGCTGTTTCGGATGAACTCATCTTGGATATCGACCGAATAAAAGAAAATTCTAAAAAGGGAAAACAAGGTGAAATAAGGCCTATTTCCGCATGTTTTCTTTTTCCGAGTGTAATTTTTATAGAAGCCCAAGCATTAAAAAAGCCTTATTCTTAAAATTCTTAATCGTCAGAAGTAAACTACAGATGACTTCTTCAATATTTATACTTAATACAAAAAAGTAGACTTTATTCGATACAAATAATGGAGGTTTAGGTACTGCAAAAATTAACTGATTAAGCTTCAACCTGGTTGACCAAAAGTATTAGGTCTATGTGTATAACTTAAGCTTGACTAAACTTTGAAGACTACGCGCATGCTTTTACTTGCAGTAGCGTAAAACATTCACCATTGTATTATTCATTAGTGGATTTAGAATACTTAAAAATATCAACTTTTTATAAATACATCTTAGATTAGATAAAACATAGCAAGCATCTAAAGATTTACTACCACCTTATTAGTATTACTTACTTTGAGGGAAAAAAAATGTCGATGCTAACTTGAAAGATCGAAAAAACTTCATTTGTAATATCATAAGATTATCATCAATACTAGACAAACATGGCTGCTGGTAGGTTCTAAAACATTAGTGACTCGTGAGAGCGTATTTATGCTATACTACAAGATACTATTTTCAGCTATTCTTCTTCATGCCTCAATCTTTTGTTTGAGGACACATGGACAGTGCTCTTTATCACTGCCAAGAAGCAGAATCTACCTTTAAGCCAGAGTTGGGCAACTCCAGCATAAGTTAGAGTTGACAATTTCAGAGTTGAGTGGAATTGTGGAAATTTCGTCGGAGTTAGACTGTGTTTAGACAATATCGCCACTAATACAGTAAAAAATTCCGTGGTTATGGAATCATATCAAGGGTTGGAGTGAAATTGTTCGGATCACAGCAAAAATCTAGAACGTTGATTTTTAGCAGTTATCTGAGCCACAACTGTGAATGATATTACAAAATCAAATTTGGATCATCAATGCATTTGGTAAATGTTTTCTTGTGCTAGTTTATGTACATCTATTAAAAATAACGGACAATAACTCGTTTCACAAAGAGTTCTTAACTGTATGAATCCCAAAAAGCAAGTAGAGCCTTCTCATTCAACGGACTAACTGTCCTATGTGTGTTACCGGTCTTCTCTCTCCTGATCTATAGCTCACTCTTATGTAAGAAACAAAATATAAGACAATTTCTGCTTTTGCATCAAAAGTTTTACAAAAGAAATATAAAATTCAAAGAAAAGAGCATGCAAAAATGAACAACAAATGTTTATGAATACAACATAGAAGAAAAAGATCATATCCAAAAAGCCAAACTATGACGTATTTAAAATGTAAATGTAAAGAAATATATATACATTAATGCGACTGTAGTAATACAAGAAATATCTGGCAAATGAGATTTATCATCATGATTGTTTATAACAACAATGTTCAAAGTCACAAAAAAGAGAAAGAGAAAAAAAAAGTAAAACACTGTCTTTGATTGACAACAAACGTTACAACAGCTATCACAAAATGTCTTAAAAGACAAAATCTAACGTTTAAAATAATAAATCACTAGTCTAGTTACTATTTACTATGAAGAAATCAACCGGACCATAAAAACATTTATCTGACTTTCTTTTCAACGGTTATTACTATTTAAAAACTTTTGAAACAATGTATTCATTTCGATCATATTACGATTCAATTGTTTTAATTCGTTTAACACTGCTAATTGATAATTATCATCCATTGGATGTTGTTGTTGAATATCATCGTTTTTAAACAACTGTTTCGTAACTTGTACAATTGTATTTGGATTATCATCAGGAAGTGATGGTGATTTTTCTTTTGATTTTGTATAAACAAATGGAGTAGCTGTAGCTGATAACCCCATATCATGATTTATACTTGATGAACGCGAACTAAATGCTACAAGTAACAAGAAAAAAGACTTTATATGTAAAATGACTCGATTAAACTCATAAACTTCTGTTACGATGGGAGCTTCAGAAGCAATTAGACACCCTTAAGATCGGAAAATCGCAATTGAACCAAATATCATGCTATTTCTCAGTGACATTGTCGTAGGCAACCGGTATAATTACTTAGTACAAATTACTACATTTGATTTTTAAAAAAGATAATTGATTAAAAAAAGAACTACAATTAATTTTTACCTTCAATAGTAGATTTAATTTTTTCTGGTGACTTTTGAATGCGTGCTTGTTCACGAATAACTGGTGTTGCTGTTGTAACAGATATCGGTGGTGGCACAGGAGGTTGAACATGCTCAACATGTGCTTCAGTATTATAACTCTAAGAATAATAGAAAAAAAAACATCGAATAAGATTAAAACAGAACCAGTGAAGGGAAAGTCATACATTCGTTTCTTTTGGTAAACCATTATAATCTTCATCATTATTAACAGTTGAAGAAGCCATATCATCTTTGTCACGTTGTTCTAATAGATAGTTCGTCATTGTTTTTGAATTAAACGACAATTCAACGTTATAATAGCCTTTTTCTTTTGATATTATCTTCATGTCTAATTTTTTACTTTCAAAATCGCGTAATAATGCATAACGTTCATCATTTGTTACTTTGATTCCATGTAAACGCACTTGCACAGCTAACCACGGTATCTGCCGTAAACTTTGTGGGCATTCTGTCAGGCGGTCGAGTGTCAAATTTTCATCATTACCAAAATCGACATAGTAAACACTGAATGTATTACCTAAACATCGTAATAAATCATGATACACTCAAAGAATCAAGACTCAAAATATTACATTCTAAAGTTTCCTTCCTCTACGTCTTTCCAGAACGATAAAAATCTAAATAATTTGTACCTTTGCATGATTTTATCCACGCACGATACCATAAATCATCCCCCGTAAATTGAGCGCATACTAATTGTGGTACGTTTGGCACTGATTTAATTGGTTCTCTTTGATTGTTCCAATCTTTCAATACTTGAATGATTGTCGCCAAAACATCACGTATAAGTATGACATGAAGCATTTCATCCTCAGCATCGATCACGGCTAATTGTACTTTATAAATTTCATTTTCATTTAATGTTGGCTTATAATTAAATAAATCAATTAATGGATCACTTACTATTGATGATGACTAGAAGAAGAAAAAATCTAGAAATGTATTTGATTTACACGTCTTTAAAAACGAGCATAAGACTTACAAGAACAGGTACGGTAGTTCGAATTTCTCTATTTAAATTACGCTGATTGTCAATTAATTGAACATGTGGTATGGGTGGTGTGGCACTGGCGATTCTTGTAACAGTCATATCCAATTTTGTATCAAGCACTAAATAATAACAACAAGCAAATGATAAGATAGAAGGTGGCGAACATTAAATAAACTCATAACTAACCTAATATTTCAAGAAGTTGTGCGGTTTCTTTTTCTCCAATTTTTCCATCTGTTACATCATCCAAAACACATCTGATACAACAGGCTGGATCTTTGTAATATCTAGAAACATGTAACATTCATTAAGTCATGTAGGGGAGGAAGCAGCATTCATACGTAGCTGATTCTACAAACTCTGACAATTTTCTGAATCAAAATGAAAATATCTGTACTACATGTAACGTGAAACCTCTTAGACTTTCAAAAATAGCATCTGATTCATCTATGCTACTAGAAAGCGCAAGCTTACTCCATTGGTAATTGTCTTATTTCAAGTATTGCATTGCACCATTGTTTATTTCCCCAATCAACATAGTATACTTCAACACGATTCTCTTCGATGGCTAAAACACGACCACGATACCAATCACCTTTGAATTTAGCTGCACATGGGCGACCAATTGTTGGTCTAAAAGAGAAACAAGTTGAGTATATGCGCCTTCTCTTACAAGTCTAACTTACTTATATTTGTAGGTATTGGCATATTCAGACGCTAGTTGTTCATGTTTGTTCATTGTTGTGATTAATAATGTTGCATTAACATAATCTTCGAGCAACATAGCATAGACCACATTTGGTAGATCAAGATTTGATAAATAAACACTATATGTTTTATCGCAAACTAATGGTTCATGTTCTCGTATATCAATAAACGAACTGGATGACATAACCAATGGTTTCGTTATTACTGATGGAGGTAATGTTTGGTTTACGGTTACTGGTGGTGTAATTGAACCGTTATTACGCGTTAACGACGACGACGAAGAAGAAGAACCTCCAAAATCTGGAAAAAAATATCAAAATTAATAAAAAGAGTCTGCAACAAGAAGTGTATGAGTACTGGAAAAATGTCTAGAAAACTAATCCCTGATAGGTTTTTGATTTTCTCGTAGGGCTGAGAGAATAGTTAAAGTTCTACAAAAGCATTTTTGCGTAAGATTATTGTGTGACTTTAGTTAGCTACTTCAATCTTATCTTAGAATAGCTTCAAAAGCTCCTGTAAAGGTCTTTGCACTGGACAGATGCTGAGATTTGTACACGGAAACCTACCAACAATAGTCTGAACAATAATTAGTTCTCTAGGATATTGAAAATACCTACCATTGTGGGCTGAGTAAGGATACTTACCTACTGCTGAATATTCCTCCATCATGTACTTTTCAATAGGAAAAAGCATTTCTCTAATTTCAGGTATATCTGTGCGGAGGTACGCGCCAAAACTGAAGACCATATATACGTACTAGGTTTGCCGAAATTTGCTGTCTTTTGCATTTTTTCCACAAAGCCTTATCAACAAAGTTTAACACGAAGATCTGATACGATTTGAGTGTTTAAGTGTCGGAAATATGTTTATTTATTATACTATCAATTTATGTTACCTTCTGATTTTTCTTTCTGCCATCCTGTTAATGTTTGATTTGATGTACCGGAAGTCGACGATGATTTCTGAGATTGAGGTGTCCACATTGACTTTTTATCGTTTTCATTATCATATTTGTTTACCGAGGATCGATTGTTATCAGTACTATTAGCGTCCCAATAACGACTCGAAAGTTGATCACTACTATTACCGTTCGATACTATTTGAGTGCGAAATGCACCCCATGGAGTTTTTGGTGCAGACGTTTCCTCACTGTTTGTATCACTGCCAACTTTTTGACTTGATGGTAAATTACTTTTGTCTGGAAAATTGGAAAAAGATGATTGGCGAAAACTACTACTATTTCCATTTGATAATCGATCACCATTCAAATTTCGTGGCTAGAAAAATATGTTTGTCACGGATTATAAAGGAAAAGAGTAAACAAGATCTATGTCAACGAAAATTATACCCGTCCTCCCGATTCTTGTACGCGTAATGTATGATTTTGATAAATAAAATTGTTTAATTGAGTAATAGCTTGCTGAGTACTTTCGGAATCCAAGAAATTAACAAATCTAGATCAGGAAAAAGATGTTACTTGACTATTATAGGTGAAGTAAAAGTTGATTTGCTGAAAGATACGTCTCGGTGGCAATCATAAAATAAATCTTTAGCGTACCCGACGGCTGTATCATAACTTGGATTTGGTGGAAGAATTTTTGTGGACGATACCTTGCCAGCTTGTTCAAAAATCGCTCTAAGTTCTTCCTAAAAAATACAGAGAAAACTAAAACCTTTAAAGTATGACAGAAAAATCGCATATTTACTTGTATAATCGTCAATGGCAAATTTTTGACAACAACAGAATTTTCAAATGGTTTCCTAAGAAAGAGAGGTAAAAATCAAAATTAATCGATGAAAAGACTGAAGCGTCCATCTTACCGATTGTAATCACCCATTTTTAAAAATGCCCACAGTAAGACAAAACGATAAATCCAATACGTGTGTGTACAAATTTAAATTATCTTAAATGTGAGATCAAATTACAAAACAGTAAACATTTGTGCTCAGTTCCTCAATTCCGCAAGATCTTCAGTGCAATAGAGATTAAGGTGCACCAAACAAACTTTACAAGCAATCTATAGATGACTTTGGGACTATAAATCTAACATAAACTAAACTATTCAGGAGGTTCTTCTACAGATCGTTTTTTCTATATCACGCAATTTATTCGTAACGTTCAGAGATAACGAACACCTTGTAAATAGATTATGATAAAAATTCCAGATCATAGTTTCATATCGCTGAGTGGTTTATAAGTATCGCAAGGTCCATAATGGATTTGTCCGTAGTGTACAATTTTCTTAGCCTAATGATAACTATTAAGTTCAAATTTGTTTGTTAAATTGAACTAGTCCTCTAAATCTGTTAACTAGTCGTTACTGTTCTAAATTTTCGTTCTTTTTCTACGTAACATACACTAAAAAGTCGATTTTGTCACCGATCAATTACAAATGTATTTTTCTCCATAACGAGAGTAAATTTCAGAAATCAGTATCAATCAGTTTGCCTATGTTCGTCCTATCTTTGAACAATAAATTTTGGAGGACATGAGACCGTTTGAGAAAAATTATTTTTTTGAACGACAGTACCGTCGAAATAATTAAAAAGGAAATAAGTGTGTATTCATTAGTGCATTTTAAAGCCGACACGAAAAATGCTTACAACTATCAACTGGAAGTTTGGATAGATCTGTGACACCACATTCTAAAGAAACGATTCTGCTGGATAAATTAGTGAAACTGAATAACTAACTAATGGATCATCTACTTGCTTCTTAATGAAACCTTTGTCAAAAACATTGTTTTTAGATGCTTTTAGAAAAGTACACAAGATATCTTCAAATCCTGCTGCACCGAAGACTAATCTTAAAAAGGGACACTGTTCAACATGCTATTCAAATATATGTAAACCTCAACGTTGAAGATTTCACGAAAATTATTAAAATTTTTCTACGGACCGAGAGATCTAAATACAAAAAAACGTGATAAAGGATACTAATCGTCTGTTTATCTTCTTTAGTATATCTAGAAAAAATAAACGAAAAACATGCTTTTACACAGTAAAAGAAGATCCACCTCTTCGCAAAATTTTACGAGTTTTTCTTCAAAACAATACTACACACGCGCGCGCGCACGTGCTTTCATTCTCTCTCTCCTCTCTTTTCTCACTTCGACAGCCGTCCATATTAGAAGAAAGAGGGATACTTTCACTACTGTACTAAAAGAGCCGCAACTACAGATGATTATTTGATCAATAAAGTGCATTAATGCATCGGTAATTCTCATACATGAGTAGTTGAAAACTGCCATATCCTGACTTACAATGCAACACAATGCTTGCTTTTCAAAAGTCAGTAATTTTTTAATCAGCGTTTCTAGGGGAAAAGGCGAACAACAGTGGCGAATTCAGGATTTTTTAGGGGGGATACAATTACTTGAACTTTTAAGCACTGTTAGTACCTGTACTAACAGTGCTTTTTTATCGTTTGAAAATATTTTGGAAGGAGCACCTCCAGTAAATCCGTCACTAGCGAGTAACATTTATGATCGTAGTTTTAGACAGGTTTCTTATATATACTGTAGATGTGATTGACTGTAATCAATTTGAACAAGGACCTCGGAGTCATCCTTTTACCACTTATCGATTCGTGGTCATGAAATCATATATATTCCTTTTTTCCTTTCTCTCTGTCCTGCTAAGAAACTACCTGTCCACAACACCTGTGATTGATGAGTTTGTGCCAAGACCGACTATTAATACAAAAAAATGTGCAGAACAGCAGAAATGTAGAAGAAAATAGATTATCAATTCTTGTTTTCGCTATATCTTTACGATCTGCGAGAGATCTTGTGATTATCTTTCTCAAGTGTGTTGTTTTCGATACTTTTAGAAGGACTAAGATTCACATGTTAATTAGCTGTTTCCCAGCGTCCTCTCTATTTTCTTTCATTGTAATTAAAAATGGCGCTTGACTTCAATTTTAAGCTAAATCCGTGATGTGTTTGAGTTGTGTTAAAAAGAAGAAGCTAGTAAGAATTCAGGATAATTTTCGGTTTTTCTTAACTTATTGAGATCTGAATTTTTTCTCTAAGGTAATCTTCCTGATATTTTTATGATAAGATAATTAGAGTGTGTAGGTATGTTACTGTACGAGTTTCACAGATTATTATGAAGCATTCGAAATTTATGGAATGAAATATCCTAACATCCATTTCAAAATATAATTCCGACAACTCGTTTTTGAATAGTGTTTGAAAGAAGAGCTTGGTGTACTTAGTTGGAAGGAAGAACAAAGATACTCTGCTTTGCGGTTATCGTTGTAGTGGAGCACTATGCGACTGTAGAGTGATCTGTAAAGATATTTATTTCTTCATCTTAAAACTGCTTTTTATTACGAAAAGCTGTTTAATTCAATAAAATAGTCGCATATTCGTCCGGAATACTCTCGTCTAGCAAAGTAATACCAGATTTATTATTAATTGGCATACATAGCTGAACGTATTGACTTCGCAAAACATGTGTCCTAAATATATGCCGACTGGTCTCAATGACTTAATTTCCTTTTTTTTAAACAAACTTTCTACATCATCAATTCAGAAAATATTCAAACATGTTGAGGAAAGTTATTTTGTAACGAAAGCTTCTTCTGTTTGAAAATAAAAGTAGTTGTGTATAACCTTAACAAAGTGTTTGTCTTTGTAACTTAATCGTGTTAGATTTTCCCTTTCTTCTACTTCAATGAATCTTACTTGGTCTATTTTTTAATATTCGTTTAGACTAAGATCTACGCCATATTCTTTTATGTTATGTTAGGCATACTGCTCATGATCCATTATTTTTAAGCTATCCGAAAATTTTAATTAAACGTGCTGAGATTTAATGAGTCCTCGAAATTGTGTAAATGTGTTTTACTTAAAGAAATCTCGATTTCAGGAATAGTTTAATTGTATGTAACAGTACTTATGAATACTTTTGTTAAGTTGTCTCCTTATAACTATCGTGTAAATTCATAGGTAAGGAATAGACAAAGTCTTAGTTCATGTATAAAACACAATCACTAGTTAAAGCTTTTGATTTCATGTAAGAAAAGGATAAAATATAATGATCGATTGCCAAACTATTTTTCACTCTTGGAACAACAGCTGTGTCTGTTGAAGGAATAAGAATAGATGAAAAACCACAAAAAAGTTAGTTTGACATCATTACTTCCACTTTATTTGAGAACCGAAAGATGAAAAAAAAAGCCTACTTTACATATATATAAGTACTACAAATAGTGCGCAATTTGTTAGTGCTTTTATAGTGAATCATCTTTGATGTGACACGTTTTATTTTGCTTTACCTCATTATTCAAATTTTGTAATTATTTTTCTTTTAGATTACTTTTTACTTTGAGGACATCGAACAAAAGTTAAAAAGTTAAAATGTCGTTTTTAAGTCGATGGTTTAATTTTCGAATTTTTGTAAGTGATTAAACAAACCAGTTTTGCTTTTCTGCACTGCAGAGTATATTAAACTGAGTAAACATCAATTCTCTTTGCTGATCTGATCTATTCTTCTTTTGTGTTTTCTTACAAGAAATTTCGTACGACATTGGCAGAAGAATTAGAAGATATTCATCATGTAAGTAAAATGTTCGATAAGTGTTGTGCATCGACTTCTGATTGCTATTCTCCTCTCTTTAGGAAACGGGACGTGTTCATCAATCCTTAACTGAGACACGTCTTAGACAACGGCAATGGACAAAATTATTTTTTATCTATGCAATATTAGCTTATGCTGCTATTAATTTGGTCTACTATGCTTATTTTTTACCAAGTGACTATCTCCCAAGGTTATATTCGGTTGCCTTCAGTGTCTTAATGGCTGGATTGTAAGTGAAATGTGTCTCGAGTTTTCTTTTTATTTCATTCGTATTTCCTTATTAGAATATATGGTTTACATTGGGTTGTCTGTTGGTATTTTCGTACTTCTATTCAAGCTAAGGGTAACCCGACGACTTTCGAGCTTCTCTTATAGTGTATTCGTTATTCTATTCTGTTTTTGCTTATATAGAAGAACGAATTCAATTATTCAAAGAACGAAAACGAGAATTAGTATGTTTGAATGTTTATTACGGTTCTTTTTGTTTTATTTTCCTCATCTACTACTTTAGCTTGATATGGTAAAAGAACGAGAACCATATAATGTAGCACAGGAGCTTTTAAGACGTTTTGATGGCGATAATATATCATCAACGACACCAGCTGCACGATCAGCCTCGGTTGATAAAGGAGGTAGCATAGTAATTCGTTTGCTTTTATTTTATGGATCTATTTATTGTATCGTATCGTATGATACTTTCAGACGTACGTCAGCGTGTTACTGTGAGTAAGCCGAATACGCAAACACCAAGTATGTGTCTAATATGACAAACTAAACAAAAACTATTATCATCCACTACTGTATATAGATCAAGGACAGTCAGCACAACAACAAAGCAGTCAGATTCCAGTTACAGTACAACAACAATCACCATCAATACCAACATCAGGTAGAACATAGAAGTTATTTGCTAGACAAAATGAACACTATTCTACTTGTAGGCAATGTTACACCCGGAAAATTACCACGCGCAATTTTACCGCCTCAACGAACGGTATGGGGCATGCTTCTGGATACGATTGTTGGCGATGGTCCGTCAAAACGGTGCGTTAGGTTTTCTCTTAGTTTTTATGGTGAGAGAGAGGTGTTTTCTTCGCTGTTGATATGCAGAAAAATCCGAGAATTGGTCACCTTTTCTAAATAAATTTCTGGTGAAATAGGATGATATTCTTCCATTTTTTCTCATTCATAATTTTGTTGTTACACAGGAATAAAATAAACCGAAAATTTTTTGAATGTCCTTAATTATAATTTTTATAGATTAATTTGTGACGATACATTGCATGAACGGTGGAAATTTCGATTCCGGTACATTTCTTTATTTTCTACTCCAAAATGCTGTAGATCAACGGGTTACTTATCATTTTCTGATTCGCAATAAGGTGATCGGCTAGTTTTTCACACTAGAACCATCTTTGCTTAGGACGTTACTTCTAAATTGAACCCGTGCATTTTAGTCTCTCAGCAATTGTTGTCTTCATCCAATTTGAAGAGAATATTCTTCTTAGCTGCTGTTTTTTGCGTTTGTTTACTTTCTTTGGTGAAATGGTGAACATGACGTTTCATTTTATTAGTATTTTTTTTGTTTTCTTATTTTTAGTTATGCTTTGGTATGTAAAAATTGTTATAGTCATAATGGGATGGCACTTGAAGAAGAATTTGAATATTTGCGTAAGAATGATGATCCAACATGGATAGAAATCTAATTTCATTAAATATCACCGTTTTATCTTTCAGCGTTTCGCTGTGCCTATTGCAATTGTTTTAATCCTGCCAAAAAACAAAAGCCCGTGTTTCATGGTGATATAAGTGCACACGATGAACCGCAACAAGTTGTTAATCCATCGAATATATCAGCACAACAAAGACAATCATCAACAACAGCTGATAATAGTGTTCAACAAATGGACGTATCCCATTCAGAATCTGATTCTGGTAAGATAGACATTGTTTCACTTGTCTAGACATAACTGAATAATTTATATTTCATTTTTTAGATGATACAGCATTGAAACCACGACGTTCAATTCGTGTACCTGAAGTATCTTCATCAGTGGCACATAGTAACAATAATAATGATAATAACAATATTCAAAAACATAATTCACGTTCATCATCGAGAGAAAATATTCAACGACCAATGTTATCATCGTCGGATGAGAGTCTTAGTGGTAGTGGTGGAACAAATTATATTGCAACTGAAAGAAAATAATTGAATATTCCACATACTCTACTTTACACAATCCATATACAAGCAACTTTTTTATTTTATTTTAATTTCTTTTCATGACTTCCGGTGGAACTATTGTCTATTGGAAGGCTTTGTCAACTATGATTACATAATGTCCTTTGAATATTTATAGACGACAATGCATGATTCATTGGAAGCAACTTACGCCATTAGGATAACTCTGAGATTGAATTTTTCTTTTTCTTAATTCTGTGCAATATATCTGCTTTTTTATTTCTGTCTTGTTCATTTTATTAGTTTGTCTTTACTGTTTGACTATTTTCTTATAAATTTCTTGAATACTGAATATTTTTTTCTTTTGTACTCAAGCGTCATTTCCATTTTTTATATTTACGAGATTAATCAAAAAGAAATAAGTGATGCAGTTGCTTGCTTATATAGTTTACGGGTGGTTTGTATGTTAGGATATGTTCTTTTAACGGCCCACTCCACTATGTATATCTCGTGTTTTTGTCTTTGCACTATTGTATTGTTATTAACAAATAAATTTTATCACGTGATCTGATGTTTTTCTTATGAAATAAATTAGACAGAAGAATCTCGAAAAGTTGTTTATTGTTTTGTCGATTAATGCAAGTGGAAAAATTGCAGATGCTATTTGAAAACAAGTGGAGTAGGTTCTATATTGAATCTAGACTTAGTTTATCTACGCTATGTTAGAGAGATGCATGTTTTTCTATTGTAAAATGCTGCGCATGTGGCAGAAAAAGATAATGCTATTTTCCCTTTAAATAACGGAAACATAAAATACAAGTTAATAATATTTACAGTTATAATAAGTTACTTGAACTGACTAAGTGAAATGAAAAGAGGCTAATTCGTTTTGACTATAAAGTATCTTTTTTTTCTTCTGGGGCCTGTTTCTTAAAAAAGTAGAAAATCTTACTTAAGTCAAAAAAGACAAAGACTTTTTTGGACTTAAGTTTGACTTAAGTCAGGTTTTCTACTTAAGTTTTTTTAAGAAACAGGCCCCTGGACACTTTTCTCTCTCCTGTCAGCTCTTCGTGCATTGTACGGTTCTAGGAAAAAGATCACTAAAATCTCTAACAATTGTAGATGAACAATCTTTAGTTACTTTCTTAGATGTGTTGTAATTATCACGTATTTATGTCAGAGGTGGGCGAATGTCACGATATTTTTTCATAAGTAAGAAAAAAAATACTTGAATACTTCTGTCAAACTTTTTTTCGCAGTAAATTAAAAAATAACCTCATCGTTATTTTAATGATTGAACTGAGAATATCGGTGAGAATATCTCTAGTTTTTTACATGAATCAAATGAAGTTTTACATCTGAAAACAAATTTGCTTGTATAGTTCAAATATAGATTAGCTTTGGTCTTTTACTGGAAGACCTTCGCATGAAGAGAAAGTTTGAGTTTTTTCTGAAAAGAAATGCCTGGTTACTTTCACTGAAATACTAAACATTTCAGAGATTTTGGCGTTTCTCTTCTACAAGATAATTAACATTCTGTTGTTCTTTTAGTAAAATTTAAAAACTCTGTTAAAACATGGGTTCTGAAAACTTTTTCACGAAGGTAGCTCGATGAACTCTATCAAATAACTGTATCAGAACATCCTGATTCGAGGTTTGATGCTACATCTTCGGAGTCCAGATTTATAGAGACTAATTTATAACCTCGTTGTATAAGCGTTATCAGATACCATATTCATGGTTAGCATAAAAAAATCATCTTGATAATTGATCATTTTCGAAAAAAAAATGGCTCAATATTCCTTTTGTAGCACTAACTATACTAGAATTATAATAGATATAAAACAAGAACTTCGGATATATTATTTTTAATAATTGTGTACAGTCGATCCTTCTCACAAATCTGTACGACTAAAAATATATTAAGAATATATTAGAGAACTAACAAAAATGGAGATATCTCTATTCGCACAAGATATATCCTGTGCTTACATTGCCGCACATTTGGTGCTTATAGAAGGAAGAGAGCAGAATGAATAAATAAAGACATCTGACGCATTTGTCATCGAATACAGTGCACATGCGAATAGAGATATCTCCATTTTCGTTAGTTCTCTATTAAGTGGTTGACACAAAACAGTGAAAGAGAGAGAGAGAAAAGTGGAAAGAAAGAAATCCCCTTTTGTTTTATTCAGCCGACTTTATAAACACGTGATAACAATGTGCTAACATTTGCCAAGATGTGAAAAGATAGAGATATTCCTTATTTGATACAGCTCTATTTTAACAATGCTTATATCCATTATACAGGATGTATAGTGCTTGTAGTGCAAGGGAATGTTCTTTGAGACTTTCTTGTTTAGTCTGATAGAGTTAGATCGCTCTAGATTTATATAACACATTTGTTCTCTTCATACACACATACTATTGTTGCTGTATATTCAAATAAAGTCTTTTGATGTTATATTTTCAAAGTTGATCTTCTGTATGTTACCATAAGTCTTATTATTTTTTGTAGTCAAATTGGTGCCGTTACACTGACTGTTCGTTTTAGTCATCGTTAAATTATACTTGGTGCTTGTTATATTTTCTAACAAAAATTTTTTTCTAATACGTTCTATGGTGTGATGAGAAAGATTTTTGAACATATTTGAGATATTCGTGCATGTAATGTTTTTCAGTAATATTTTTACTTGTTTAAACCCATCTAGTGTGATTTTTGATACCTGCTGTGATACACCATCTTCAATTAGTTTATTATGTATGTTCGTTTTTTTAACTTCATAATGTTGAGAAAACATGACTTTCTCTTTTTCACTACTGTATTCTTCTGGGTTCTTCATGTTCATAACTGCCGTTCATTTGTCTGCACTATCGTGAAACTTTTGGTGGGACTTCATTTGGGTGCGTTTTCAATTACACCACTCATTCTTGAAAACATTTCAAAACTGTTGAACGTTTTTATTATCATTGTTTGCTATTATTCTTAGTGACTAGTAAGCTTTTATTTTAATTTTCAAAAATAATCTAGCTTACAATATTTTCGAACACCTTCATTATCAACATACTCTTGTTGCAAACCGATATTCTAAAGATTACGATATAATGTGTGATTGAAATCGAAAGGTTTATCTTACTTGAACTTGTAAGACATTTTCTCCTTTGGGTAATTTAACCGTATTTATCCAGAATAACAAGATTTTGTAACGATGTTGGTGTCAGTGGTTCATTTTTATTTCCTTTATGTCGATATAATACAGATCTGAGACTTCCAAAACTCGATAGTGCAGCTGCTATTTGTAGATCAGTGATAGCTTGACTAAATGCTTGAAAAGCAGCGTGTGGAAGTTGATTCTGACATCTTTTTTTCATACCAGTAACAGTTTTTCAACAGCAAGTTTTTCTGAATGTGGGCCGTGCGACTGTGGGGTTCCTTTAAGAAGAGGTGCGTTTTACAGATTTAAGCTTCTTTGTCATAAGAATTACTCACTTAATTCTGATTTTGCATTTAAGAGCATTAAGATGGCCAAAACAACCATATTCTCGACATTTCTATGAGACTGATGCTTTTTGATGGCATTCAATTCTATATATAATTCTATAATTATATCCTTGAAATTGAGCTGCTGGTTTACTACGACCTGTTTCGGATATTTCAACTTTAACCATATTTAATACTGTTTTTGATAGTCGAAGCATTTGTCCCACATCAAGCACTGCACATCGATTAATTCTGATGGATCTAACTTATCGATTTTATATGTATCAGATGGAGTCCTCGGGATACTCAATTTCTGTTAGAATTTTTTCTAAATAAAACCTTTTACAGATGACAGTAACGTTTTTACTAGCTTTATACTAGCTGAATAAATAGGCTTTTCATGTTACCGCGACTTAATAGGAGAAGTTAGGCTCAACAATGAAAATATATGCAGAAAACTTGTTTGTGTTTTATTTTTCTTGATTCCGACGAAAAAAAATATTCTACCATAGACAAAAGACAACAAAGTGCAAGTATAGTGGAAAGAAAAAAACTTTTTCTATTACGAAAACGATTGCGACAGTCAACAACACAAGAGTTATAAGTAAAAAGGTATATGCATGAAATCACAGAAAAAAGAAACGCAGTGTGAATGTAAAACCGAAAAGTTTCATTATATGCTGTTTCGAATATTTTATATCTATGGCACTGAAAAATGTGAACAAAATAAAATAGATGGCAAAGTGAATGAAAAGAATTGCGTTAGAGATTTGTCAAGAGGTGTGGAATTTTTCAATAATTTTGGTTTGCCAAAATCCTTGATGTTAGAAGTATTAAGCTGACCATGATCGTCATGAAAAAGTGAGTAAATTGGTCAACCGATGCCTCATTTCGTCGAACGATGAGCATTCTTGTCCATCCATCCGCATAAGATTAGATTATGTCACATTACACTTGAGATTTTCAGATGTTCAGTTATCGCTTTATTTGAAGTAGTTTTTCAGAAACTAATTTTCAAGCTCGGATGCTCGTGAATAGCTTGTTTAGTTATGACGTGATCATTGCTCCCTTTGATCGCAAGGCTGTCGCGACCAGTCAGACTTTGGAGGCTGCTTCCATGGAGACAAGAATTTTTTTTCATAGAACGCAAGAAAATCTTTTTTCTGCTGAGACTTTTAAGTTTTTGGGGAGTGCCCCTCCTCAGTAACGGCAGTCCTGTTTGATCGTCTTTACATGTCAATTACCAACATACATACTTGTGAAAAAATATCTTTTACAGTGATGTTATAATAGATAGTTCTGAAACAGATCAATTAGATTTAAAGAGTATTCTTGGTCAATCAATCTTTGAATGTTTTAGTGACAAAAAATCTACCGGAAGAGTTTTGTTATTTAATTTCTAAAGATTTACTCAACGAAACATGGGTCCAAGATAATGTTGATACGAGAATTGGTGTACAGAATTGATCGTATCCAGCGAGAAGTTGGTACAACAAATGTTCGTTCGTCATACAAATGCATTAGTCTGATATTTTCCGACAAGAATTTAACTATTCAAAGCGCCAGACATTTTTAATATCATTATCTGCCAAATTATGAATGTCATTTTGTATATTATTGGCGATAATTCTCATTCATCTGACTTTGGCCCGATTTATCATTAATGAATCGATCAATTTTAATCGTCAGAAAATTAATGTGTAGTCCCTTTATTTTCATTAAAAAAAAGAGATGAGAAATACTCACTATTTATGTATTTTTTCCGTACAGAGCTATGTACTTTGTGGCTAATATTAAATTCTGAAAAGAACATGTTCGAAGATTGTAGGGTTATAGTATAGTTTAGATTAAATATTCTACAAGAAGTACTTAATATGTTATATTCTTTTTTTCTTGTACTTGTAATCGATTGTGTTGACATATACTTAGGTTTCTTTTGCTACTTTGCTAGACGTTTTTCTGGTTTTTGCTCTTTATAAGCTAATGTTTATTTGGGTGAACAGACTAGCAATCTTTTCACACATGTTCAGTAAATGGTTATCGTTATAGATCTAATAATAAGTGAGAACACAGATTCTTGTAGAAGGTTAAATTCTGAAGCTTATGAAAGAAATTTAACGTCCAAAAGGAGCCGATAAAAATGATAAATACTGGAAGGCTCATTTTTTCTGCTCTGCCCGTTAGACCTTGAAATAAGATTGAAGAATATTGTAGATCTACGGTGTAATTTTTGATCCACGTTGGAGAGAACCCATGAAGATTTTATCTAAAGAAAACGTGTAGGAATATCCATTATACGATACACTATACAAAAAAGCTCAACAGGCAGATTTGTTTAGTTCAATCTCTGGAACGGTCGGCTGTCGAGCTAATGAGTTTCAATTTTTATTAACAGCTTCAAGCATCACTTGTTGCTCAAATAGTGACATAATATAAGCTTTATTCTGTCAGAATACAAGCGGAAAGATATTCCATTATAGTATTCTAAACTAAAGCTATCGAAAAACACAAAATCGATTTTTATACAAATGGAGATTCGAACACATGGACTTAGTTTTGCAGCAACTATATCGACTGTTCTGAAAGTATATCTCTGCTCAGATAGTATATAAGTTAAAAGTAAATATTCCACTAATCACCAATATAAAATGATGGTGGCTCTTTCTTCCGCTTCGCTCTGGATATTTGTTCTTTTCTTGACACATATGTCGCAGTAATATGTAAAATTTGACTCAATAATGATTGATTGCATCATTCATAGTCATTAATGATTGCGTCAGTTTTTGATGATGATAGAATCATTAGGATGAGAAGCATTATCAGTTAGTGCACAGTTATAATAATAAATAAGAGTGAGAATGTGTAGTCAATACCGGACCATCATTACATGATGGCAAAAACTTTGACGTTTAAAGAAAAATACTATTTTACGAAAGAATGAGATAATTTTTTTGAAAACATCGAAAAGTTGAAACTATCTCTGACCATCTGCTGTAATCTAAATCTAAATCTCTAATGTTTCTTCAACTAATTTTTGAATTAAGATTAAACGATTTATTTTTTTCTTTGCTAAATAATTCTATTCTAATTCTAGATTAGCTTTTCAATCTATCTTGTCATCAGAGTCAAAAGTAAAGAGTGATTATAGACATGAAGATGTATAAAACGTAGTTTTTTTGTTGCTTTCTAGTGTCAAGCAGAGACGCAACAGATCCTCCCTCGGAAGAAAATATTAGTAAAAAGTATGTTTTAGATATGTTTTATTTTCTTTCTTTATTGAATCTTACACTAGTGAATTTTTGTAAAATACACAAGGGATGTTATCGATTTTGACTCGTCATACATTTGGACGATTTCGAATCGCTGCGTTACCTCTTACACAACCATTTGTACGGTAGGTTAGCCAAGATAGGTTCGATGTTTGTCGATCTTCTACTGAAAGGTGTATGAAAAGCACTGAATCGTACTGGAAATTTGTTTTCATACTATTGAATGTATATATTAACATCGATTTTTTTATTTTAGTGAAAAAAAACGTCGATTAAAAGAGAAAATAAAAGCTGATGAAAAAGCTGGAAAACAAACAACAACGGTAACTACCTCAACAGATGACAAGCATGATTCTATAGCAAAGAAAACAGCAGATGAAGAAAACGACGAGCATATCGATCCGAATGTAGGTTGTTTATTGAATTATCAAAAAAATATTGATTCATTTGATTGATATATTATTTTAGGAGTATTATAAACTACGTCTTCATCATATTCAAAGTTTAAAAGAAGCGGGCGAAACAGTTTATCCACATAAGTTTCATGTATCAACATCATTGCACGATTTTATTGAAAAATATACTCATTTAACGAATGAAGAAATTCATGGAGATTGTGTTAGTGTTGCAGGTAAATATCTGACTAAAATCATTTTGGTAATATTTCTAAGTTGATCCTTCTTTATTTATATTTTTAAGGACGTGTTTATTCAAAACGATCATCGGGACAAAAATTATATTTTTATGATATTCATAGTGAATCGGTTAAAATCCAAATTATGGCTAATGCAAAGTAAATTTAGGATATTCTATAATACTTTAACTAGCAGAGAAAATGTATAGAAAATACAGCACTGTGCAAACGTATAGAAACGATTTGTTTTTAACGTTTTTTACTCGACGATAGTAATCTGAACTAATACAAAAAGTGATTTCAATAGCTGGAAGAGTTTTCAATCACGAGCAATGTATATGTAAGTTTTATTAAAATTGGCTGATATACGATCTCTAGAAAACCAAGTCCTCGATTTAATTCGAAACTTGTTGCGCACAACTCAGTCGTATAGAACAAACTTTTCTATACAAAACTAGATGTTTTCGAGCTCTTCACGACATTCTTATGTTGAACTGTATTCATTTTACGACATGTCTAAAAGGCATTGTTTCTTGTTTTTTTGCTGATTTTGACGAGCCGGAATCATTCGTACGAGGAATGCGAATTAGTATAAGGATGTCATGAAGAGCTTGGAAATACCTAGTTTTGTATAGAAAAGTTTGGTCTGTACGACTGAGTTGTGTGCAACAAGTTTCGGATTAAGTTGAGGACTCAGTTTTTTAGAAACCTCATATCAGCCGGTTTTGATAAAACTTATATATACATTGTTCGTGATTGAAAATTCTTCCAATTAAAATCATTTTTTGTACTAATATAAACTTTCAATCATCATCTGTATGCTGCTCAACTTTATTTAGACTTTATTCTGATGAAAAGACATTTGCAACAATCAACGAGCGTATCCATCGTGGTGATATTATAGGAGCCAAAGGACGACCGAGTAAGTTGAAATCGTTACTGTTTATTTATTCTAATACTTTTTTCAAAAAAAAATATTTCTCTTCTATAAAGCGCGTACAAAAAAAGGAGAATTAAGTTTAATTCCGAATGAATTGATCATTCTAACACCATCAATGCATCAATTACCCACATTACATTTTGGTTTAAAAGACAAGGTTTGTTTTTTTGTAATTGATGTTAATTGGAACATTTGTTCATGTGATGTGTTGTATAATTTCAGGAAACACGTTTTCGTCAACGTTATCTTGATTTGATGATTAATTATAATGTTCGGGAAAAATTTATTGTCAAAGCAAAAATAATGAATTATATTCGGCGATTTTTTGATTCAATGGGTTTTCTTGAAGTAAATAACACGATTAATATAATACAAGATAGACAGTGAGAGAGAACATCACTGTTTATTCTTTTTAGGTTGAAACCCCAATGATGAACATGATTGCTGGTGGTGCCACGGCAAAACCATTTGTTACATATCACAATGATTTAGATATGAATTTGTTTATGCGTGTTGCACCAGAATTATTCTTAAAGGTAAATAGTAGTAGCAAGTATGAGAGTTACTCTGTTAATAGTTAGTGGAATAATGTTTATTTTTTATTCATATAAGATGTTGGTAGTTGGTGGTATCGATCGTGTCTATGAAATTGGACGCGTATTTCGAAATGAAGGCATTGATATGACTCATAATCCAGAATTTACAATATGTGAATTTTATATGGCCTATGCTGATTATAATGATTTAATGGATATTACAGAGAAATTGTTATCGGGTATAAAATTTAGTTGTCCAAAACTGATTTAAACAAATACGGAATCGAAGTGTTTTAATACATATTTTATTAAGGTCTTGTTAAACAATTGTTCGGTACATATAAAATATCTTATCATATGGATGGTCCCGATAAGCCACCAGTTGAAATTGATTTTACTCCACCATTTAAACGATTATCGTTAATTCAGGATTTAGAAAAAGCTATTGGAGAAAAATGTCCACCACCACTAGAATTTTCTACACCAGGTATTTTATCAAAATAATACTCAGAAGAAAAACTATTAACAAATAATATATCTTAAACTATTCTAGAAACAAATAAATTTTTTGATAATTTATGTAAAAAACATAATGTTGAGTGTACAACTCCGAGGACAACAGCACGATTAATTGACAAGGTAAGTTATTTGAACAATACTTACAAGAGAACGTTCTTAAGTGTCCCCTCGCTTTTTCAACGAAACCTAGTGGGTTATAGGTTATCGATGATGTTGATTCCAAATATGAATATGAGAGCTGCTCTTAGGGCTTCGAAGACCCTGTTTTCTGGAAAATTAGTTTTTCAGAAACCTATAACCTATAACCCACTAGGTTTCGTTGAAAAAGCGAGGAGGGCACTTAAAAACGTTCCCGCGTTAGTCATTTTTATCTCATGTCTTTTTTTTATTTTCAGTTGGTCGGTCATTTTCTTGAAGTTAATTGTCTTAATCCAACATTTATATGTGATCATCCACAATTAATGAGTCCATTAGCAAAATAGTATGTTATTATTTTTTATTTCACACTCTTTCTACAAATAACTTGTTTTTTTATTATAGTCATCGTTCAATACCCGGTTTAACAGAACGTTTTGAATTATTTATATGTTATAAAGAAACATGTAATGCATATACAGAATTAAATGATCCTCTTGTACAACGAGAAATGTTTGAATTACAAGCAAAAGTAAATGTTAAATTAAGAATTATCTCACATATTTTACAGAAAATATCAATTCTATAATTTAGGATAAAGATGCTGGTGATGATGAAGCACAATTGATTGATGAAAATTTTTGTAAAGCTTTAGAATATGGTTTACCACCCACTGGTGGCTGGGGTTTAGGAATTGATCGTTTAACAATGCTTTTAACGAACAGTAACAACATAAAAGTAAACAAAAGTCTACTTGTTTTTCATATGTATAACTTCTTTGTTATCATTTATTTTTCTAGGAAGTATTGTTGTTTCCAGCTGTAAAGCCGAATAGGGACGATTTACACGATGAAGATCATGTTAAAGAAGAAGGCGCAGTAGAACTAGTCAATAATAAAGATGTGACAAAAAAACATGATCAAAAAATTTGATTTTTTTATGAATTTTATGAAAATTTATGCATTATGTTTGTTTATTATGCCGTGTTTCATCAATAAAAAATGAAAGATAAAATTGCTGCACAGACTGTTAGAGATATTGTTTGGCTTTTCTGTGTTTTTTTAAAAGAAAAAATTCATTACATTTGTTTAAAACTTGATTATTTTTGAATTGTTAGACGTAAAGCAGAATTACCGAAGTGGTATTAAAAATATACGTTTAGTAATTTATATAGCAGATCCTTTAAAACCTAATATAAACTGAAAAGTTTTCACTTTAGATTAATAATGGAATGAACGTACGATAATCATAAATATTATTTAAATTAAATAAAAAATAGATGAATTTTTATGCAAAAAGTTTAAAAAATTTTCATTTTCATTTGCTTAAACAATATCTTTTTAAGCATTTTGTTAATAATTATCAAATACTTGGCTTCCGTCAAGTATCGAGTATGACACAAAATAATGTAAATAGTGAACGCATTTTAGTTGCATTTGATTTTGATTCAACATTGTCAGTACAATCATCTCATTGTCTCATTGAACAATTATTAGATAAAGATTTACTTGGACTCGAGGAAATTAATGCACGTTATATAAATCACCATCGTTGTTGGAATAAGAGAATGTCTGATGTCTTCAGACGATTGTATGAAAATAAAGTGAGTATAGAAACGATAATCGATACATTTCGTCATATTGAACTGAGTCCGGGTACTCTTGATTTATTTCACAATTTGTATACAAATCAACATCATATTGTTATTATTTCGGATTCATGTGATTTATTGATTGAAGAATGTTTTCGTAAAAACAATTTATTGAATTATGTACACGCTATTGAAAGTAATTCGATGAAAAATAATGGAATGGGTATGTTTTTTATCGAAGAATATGAGAAACCATTGCAAACAGAATGTAATATATTGTGTCCAGGAAATATGTGTAAAGGATTAGTTATTCAACGTTATAGAAACACCAATAAATATAAAAAAATAATATTTGTTGGAGATGGTACGTTATCTATAATTGAATATATTCATGAATATTAAATTCAGATTCAATTCTAGGTGACAATGATGTTTGTCCAGCATTAAAACTTCAACATAATGATTATGTCTTTGCCAAACGTAATCCTGATGAAAAAATTGTCTATCCACTCTATGATTTATTGAAAAATTCTTATTCGAATCAACTAAAGAGTCAATTATATCTTTGGAATAATATGAATGATGTTCAAAATATTCTAAAAATGAAAAATATTATCTGAAATGCAATATTTTCTAGAAATGGTTACGAACTATGCAGAAGAGTGCATTAAAACTTGTAGATCGTTCAATAATGCGTCTTTCTTCTTCAACTACTTTACTGAAATTTAAATAGTTCTACAGTTAATTTGTGAAGTGAAGCTTGAAAAATGTTTCAATCCGACATATGTACATTGATGTACTCACTGAGATTTTTTCGAACACATTGAAACAGCTCGATGAATTTTCGATACATAGATGGAGTTCCTCTTGATTCGCTTACAGTTGAATCTGTACTTTTCTTTTTAATAATACTTGAGCTAGATGTTAAATAGGAATGTATTTCGTAAGGGAACGTCGTCAGATGACCTCTAAAGTGGAATAGAGTCCTGCAGATTACGACTTTTTGGCAAATTATAACCTAACCTAAAATCTTCACAACCTGACCTAACCTATTAGTGTTTTTCGTAACCTAGCCTAGGTTAACGTAATATAACCTAACCTATTGGTTTGGTTAGGTTTAACTTGTAGGGCTCTAAAGTATGACATTCAAACTTTCATGGTTTGTTTAACTACTGGTGCTGAACACGAATCCGAAATCCGTTCGTCTCACTTTTGAGTTTTAGATGAAATATAAATTTTTCATTTTATTCTTGCACTCACCCAGAATTTTTCTACACTAAAAAAATGTCGTAGATTAATAAACTACAATAAAAGAGTTTTTGGACTAAAAAAACTGATCAAAAACCCCAAAAGAGTTTTTTAACGGTTTGTTTAGGCCAAAAAAACTAAAAAGTGTTCGTGGTCGTTTCAAAATGAAAAACTCACGGTTTTTGATGGAGGTTTTTGGATCTAAAAAACTCTTTAAAAAACCGTTTTTGGTCATTTTGAAAAATCGAGAAAAAAACTAACAAGGTTTTTTAAAGAGTTTTTTAGACCCAAAAAGCTCTACCAAAAACCGTGAGTTTTTCATTTGAAACGACCACGAACGCTTTTTAGTTTTTTTGGCCTAAAAAACCCGTTAAAAAACTCTTTTGGGTTTTTTGATCAACTTTTTAGTCCAGAAAACTCTTTTATTGTAGTTTATCTACGACTCTTTTTTAGAGTGTATCCACTAAAGCATTTTTGACCCTCTCGCCAAAAAAAATCAACAGTTTTTCGTAAATTCTGAGTGGGCCCAAGGATAAATGAAAAATTTATATCTTGTCTAAAACTCAAAAGTGAGATGAACAGACTTCTGATTCGTGTTCAGCACCAGTAGATTAACATACCATGAAAGTTTGAATGTCACACTTGAGGGGTCACCGGAAGACGTTCCCTTGTCAAAGAGTTATGTGACACACAAACTATCAGAGAACTGAACTTCTGAATTTATTCGTGCTTTTTTTATGGAAAAACTTCTGATTTTAGATGACCACTACCCTTTTTCGTAATACAGTACCACGAGTATGTTTGACCACAAATTCAATTCAAACTCAGCAGTATCGTTATTTTTGGCAGTGGTTAAATCACGTATGGAATAAGCAAGTGACCTTTAACAACACAGCTGCTGTGATACAGCGTTTTTTTCGCATTTTAGGTATGATCGAAAACGTGTGAAAGAAGTGGGACCTAATCGAGCGTGTGCAGAATGGTTATTGAAAAATGGTGCTTCGGTACGTTATAAAAATTGGGGTTCGTTAACATCAGACTATAATCAAATTCCAAGCGGAGCACCGGATCAATACAAAATCGAAGAAATACGAGCGATTAAAGCAAGTGTGATGGCACAAGGATTTGATTATTTAGGTATGTCAGATTAGCAAAGTTTTGGTAAATTCTGGAACTAATGAATGGTTTTGTGTTTTTTTAGAAGGCCTCGGTGACGTGAAAAAAATTCATTTGGAAAAATGTGAGCTTGTCGATGATACAACATTAGCTAAATTCAGTTTTGTAAAAAATACGCTAGAACATGTTGTACTCATTGGCAATGATCGAATAACAGCTAATGGTTTGTCCTGTCTTGCTGCTTTAAAGTGGGTATTTAACACGTAACTGCATTATGAGGATAAAAACCATGTTATCTTTTAGAAATCTGAAACAAATCGATTTGGCACGATTAACAGGTGTTAAAAATGAAGAATCAGCAACGAAATTGCTTAAAAATGAACTGCCTGGATGTGTTGTTAATTTTGATGATAACATAGCACCAGCACCAGAACTCGCAGAAAAATGAAATATGTTTCTTCGACTAACGAGGGAAACTCCCCAAGTGTATCACCGTTTTCCCTCAAAATATGGATAACTACATGTAATCGGCGCTGCTGATTTCGTATATCAGAGTCATTTTTGCCTAAACCGCTTTAGAGACTCGATTTTTTAGAAAAATCAAGTTTTTCAGCAAAAAAGCGGTTCAGTCACGCATATTTTTTTGATAAAACGGTGATACACTTGGGGAGTTTCCCTCGTAAGTATTCTTCCTATTCTTGTCTGCGACGATTTATTAGCGTCCTTAATTTTTTTTTTTTTATATAGAAGTTACTTTCTCTCCTTTTTTTTATACTGTTTCTTAAATTATCTAATAATTACTATCATACACAAAGTTGGACATACGATTGAAGTCTCATCTTTTACCAAAAAGTCGACCGTTTTCTTCGCATTCTTTCTTTTTAGAGGCAGCGCTCGATCAGAGGCAGGATGTAGATCTGCCAGGCTCTTTGGGGATGTTCATATAATAAGTATTCTTGAGATAGCTTTAAATTTAGTCTATTACCATGCGTATTACGGTCGGTCGCTTCGGAAGAAGAATTTGACACAACTAATAAACAAGCCCTATACGCTCCTCAATTCATAGAAATGTTTTTAATAAAATAAAAAGTTAATTATAAAATATTAGACTGAAGTTGCTTGTTATTCATAAAAATATTGTAATAAGCCAGACGTTTCAATTTAATAGCTAAATTTTCATCAGTGGCATCTCCAGCCATGGTTCTCCAGTCAAATATCGTTAAAAAAGCTCTTGCAACTTTTGTCGTCTTCAAACGTATCTCTCTCATCAGATCTATTTTTCCGTATATCAGAATACGTTTGAAATTATATAATTATAGAAACTAGAAGTGTTTTAATCGCTCTTTCAAATGGGGTATGGTTAATTATGCTTTGATCCACTTCTCGACCGGAATTTTGCAAGTTTTTCATTAGTACAGGTATTAGACTTAATAATTTTCAGATACTGGACGAATTTTGCTCCTTTTTCTAAAACACATTTTCTGGAACAGTATGTAATTCTCTACAAATTCACATTAGTTTTAACCTTTACTAACATGTTTAGAGTCCGAATAACGAATTTTTTTCCATATTTCATCTTTCACATGCAAAGTAGTGCTTTTTATCAAAACTAAGACTTATAATGCGCTTTATTTACCGTTAAGAAATTACGGAGAACCTTCTTAAGGTAGGGAAGTCCATAGAGTTGTGCACGGACTACTTTTTCATCTATCTGGTTTTCAAGAAAACATTTGACTTCACACTCTAGTAAAAAAATAAAGAAAACAAGTAGGTTGCAAGAGCTTTTTTAGCGACATTCTGTATCATACTTTTTTCTTACTCAAAGCCTATTCCAAAAATTTTGTTTCCTATGATTTTTGAAGTTCAGACTTTGCTCTTTCAACCGGAAAAGGAATGAACTTTCTGCGATGTTCCTGACCGGAGAACCATGGCTGGAGATTTCGACAATTACTTTTGCACTGCAGATTATACAACATAACTTTGTATTTTCTACAAGATGTTGTCTGTAGAAAAATTGTATAAATATATGTACAATTTTGAATAACTCATGTTTTTTTTTTAAAAGCATCATAGCTAAGTTCAGAAAGAAGAGTGCATCAAGTGGCATACATGTACTCTACCTTCAAGAGCATTTCCGAACATGTTTTCAGAGTCAGATTAAATACGTAGAAAAGTGTTGAAACTCATTGTACTGATTGACTAATTTGTTGCAACCTATTAGCATAGCAATATTGTGTTTTTCTCCAAGATTTCAAATATTCTTAAATAGCTCTTTAACTAAAATGAGAACGTAAGTTTTGACTTAATGTTAATTAAGACTTGACTCTTGGTGTCTCATAAGTGCCAACTTACGTCTTTATTATTACTTAAGTTTGTCTAAATTCCCCAGAATATGAAATTAAGTTAACCAAGGATCTAAGATATCTCCATATTTATCTTGAGTCAGTTAATGTTGTAAAACAGCACTCTTGTACAAACTAAATGTTGACTGAAGTTCTTACTTCAGCTCATGAACTAAGGAATATTGATAAAATGTTCCATTCCTCAGTGCAATGCATCCAATGTACAACAATATTTATAATCATTACTACTCGTAATTAACTAAATGCTCATGTCAAGTAAGCCAAAATATCTGCAGTACAGGTTGCAGATGATCATCATCACTATCACTATCGACAAACAAGCTTTTAAGGCAGGTACATCTATCTACTCCACTCAACATTATTGTGATACATTCTTATTCTAAGATTTGACCATGTACTTAAGCAATACTTAAGTGTTGACTTAGACTTAAAGACTACTGTGGATTTATTTTATGCTTCCTATAGTACATCCTCAGTGATATTGCCTATTGTTTATTAATTGGCTGACTGTAACCAATCACAAAGTAACAAATCTTAACCGACCAGAAGAAGAAAATCAAAAATAATATAAAAATTAGTTCTCATCATTCATAACTCTTATTGTACATTGCTTTGGTAATATCTTGTCTTTGCTTAGAGCAAGATTAGATTAACATTTATTGTGGAATCAAGTGACTTTCTCCAGAAAAAGCTGAAGTAGTATTTGCAGTTATCCATTGAAAGTTCTAGAGAATTTGTTCAACGCAGAGTGGCTAATCATAACTCAAATTTCAAAACGTAAAACAGTCGGTTTTCTGAAAATATGATTACAAGTTAAAGCTTCACATCGAAATTTTCAAATTTATTCAAAATTTGTTCAAAATTTAATAATTTAAATTAATTAATGATTTAAATTAAACAAATATTTCTATCACTTTTGAAGTCGATATTTTCTTTACTGTGCTACACTTGTGTATACTCTTCCTGAGAAATATATTTGTGCTCACCATTGTACAACTGTCAATTTCTTTTTGTTCATTCAAGGTCTTAAGGCATTCGATGATCATGTTTTTTCGTAGTATAGCTATAGTATTATTGTTTTTTATCTCTAATGTTTTTTGTGGTAATGATAAAAGTGTGTTACGTGGAGTTAAACGTTCAAGTATGATTTGTTTTGGTTAGAGCACAATTACTATTTCTGAATTTGATATTTTATTTTCAGTGTTATCTAAGTATATTCCATCAAAACCGTTTACTTGTTTCGATGGATCAATATCTATGCCATTTGACTTTGTCAACGATGATTATTGTGATTGTCGCGGTAAATAGAAAACTGGTTTGCCAATTTGTTTTTATGTAACTGTCTCTCTTTTCTAGATGGAAGTGACGAACCGGGAACATCCGCTTGTCCAAATGGGCAATTTTTTTGTGAAAACAAAGGTTATGTTGGGATAGTAGTACCGTCTCAATTTGTTGGCGATGGAGTATGTGGTATGGCATCATAATTTAGAAAAAATCTTTTTGTTTCATAAAAAATTAATGTCTGTTTTTCGTTTTAGACTGTTGTGATGGTTCAGATGAATATGAAAACGAAATTGTGTGCAATAATACATGTTTGTAAGCATAGAGTTGTACTTATTTTCTTGGTTGTAATGATCTTTACTGTATAGATATGTGAATGAAAAAATTAAGCATTTGTGAGTGTATCACAATTGTCTTAAATTTATTTTCTGAGCATCCTAATTAGTTTCGAAAATGTATTTTTCATTCTTAGATAAATCTATCTTGTCAATTAATGTGCTTCTTACGATCTTTGTCTTTTGTTTTGAAGACTTGTTTTTTTTTACTTTTCAATTTCTGTATGTAGTACGTGTGTTTTAGTAGGTCTCTTCGTAGTATAAGACGAGGAATTATTATCTTGTGTGAAAACAGTCGGCTAAGGAATCATTTAATGCTTTTCTACTAGATTCTAATGTATAAACTTGTTTTAGTAATGAATTGAGGACAAAACGTATTTATCGACGTGTATTGGAGAAATATTGAGAGTACCACTTGGTTTCCAGTTGTTGATGATCAGTTTTTCTTCTTCCGTTCATCTCAACCAAATCACCTATAATATTATCGATATATTATTAGTTACACTAGTGGCCTCTATTCTTACAATCTATTTTGTTTTTCAGTTATTTTTTTTAAAAATATTTATCGCACAGTCGCTAGAAACTAAATAGTAATTAATCCGAAAAGAAGTACACTTTTATTGCGCAAACATCGGGAAAATGAGGACGAAACTATATTTTACTACTATCACAAAATAACAATTTGCTAAACATCATGTATTAATCAGTAATTCTGATAATGATACAACAAAAATCGCGTCTAATTCATATTTATTCCATGTTGTCTTTATTCTGTTTAATGGTATTTCTCTCTCATGATCGTGAACAGCTTTTTCAGGTGTTTTCTTGATAAACATAGTAGACCTTTGAAAATTATAGTGTCTTATGTGCTCTGTTTTGCTGTGTTTCTGTTTATTCAGTTTCATCACATATGCTTACATTCTTTTTTTCATTAACTAAACCATAGAAGAGTGATGAATAGTCAAAGGGATAAGAGTAATACTTAATGCTGCGTTTGGTGCTGAAAAGTGGTTGGAAATACTGAAATGTATTGTATGTACTACGACTCTTTTCTTCTTGTGAATAGTACAAAGAATTAATAGATAACATTCTTTTGTACCTTTAACAAAAATATCATCAATTGAAATTTAAAATGTTTTTTTTCTCTGTTATGTTCAATGTTTTTGAAAAACAAGCAGTGACAGTTCTTGGGCAGCTTTTGTTTGTACTGTGGAAAAGTACGTGTTATATCGTGTACGATGATGTCGAGTGAGCGCTTTCATAGATATAAAACAATTTTATTTAGATTTTCGATTTTATAAATCGTAATAATTGCTACATAAAATAATGTTTATTTTTATCATTTTAGTATATTAGCCAAAAAAACAAATGAACAAAGAGAGACTCAACGTTTATTACATGAACAAGGTGTAGCAAAGAAAAATGAAATGATTTCTAAAGCTAATGCTTTTAAAGCAGAAAGAGCGGTATTTACTTATATTTGTGTTTGTCATCCAAAAAATGCATTTTATTTTTATATTTTGCTTTATAGCAACGTTTAGAAGAACTTGAAGAACAATTAAAACGTCTTGAAGTCGATTTACAAGTAAAATTAGGTACTGTTGCTATACATAAAACATCAGTTATATTTTATTTTGCTGATCTTTATTTTTCGATAGATTTGAAAAACCAAGCTGAAGAACTCGAAACGGCAAGCAAAGATAAGCATGAAGAAGCATGGGAAGGTTTGTCTTATGTCACTCGAAGCATAATGCTGGTTTTATAAAGGTAGCTGATTGTTTATTTTAGTAGAATTTTCTTTTTTGGTTATTTAGAACAACGAGCTGCGCGTGAATTGTTACAGCGTGATGAACAAATAAAAGATATATTTAATGATTTGGATACCAATCAAGATAAATCGTAGTGAAACTAGATGGCTCATTATTCTTGAAATACAAACTGTTTGATATATTTAGAATATCTATTGAAGAACTTAAAATCCATACTGAACTTGATGATGAAAAAGAAAACGAATTTACGAACGACGAAGTTAGAGTAAGTTAATATAGAAAATATTTTTATTGTTTTGTATGTATTCTTCTCGTTTCAGACTATATTAGGAGGTGATTCGGCTACATTCGATGAATTCAACTCAACTGTATTCGATCAAATTTCAAATTCGTATAAAAAAATTACACAAACTGTGACAAATGACCAAACCACTGGCACTGAGTCCAGTAACCCAACACCGTTGGACGAACCGTCAAAAGTCACTAGATCTGAAAACTATGATGAAACGGATAATGAAAAGTACGACAGTAATGATATGGATGATATCGATAACAAAGATGATATATCTAACGAAAAAGATCAACCAACTGTACGGGATAATAACGTCTATTTACAATGAATTTTTTTCAATATATTTATTATTTTAGTCCCTTGGTCATACGAAACATGTTCATGATGATATAGCACCAGACTTCGATGAAGAAACAAAGAAGCTTATTCAAAGTAAGGGAAAACAACCAGAAAAGTTGAACTTTTGTAAAACTTGGTTTTCACGTTATTTTTTAATTCTTTTTCAAAAACAAACATAGTCATTAATGAGGATGTCACTTTATCTTTACTTTTCCTAAAGTAAATAAATGATTTATTTACAATTACTTTAGGAAATGGTAAATGATATACATCAATTCAATTAAAAAATAGTGAATGAATCATTTACTTTACTTAAATAAATGTTAAATAATTTATTTACTTTACTGAAGAAAAGTTAGTAAAAAAGTCATACATACCTCCTAACTTTATGATAAAAGAGACCCAAGTAATAAAATAAACATTGTTAACAAGAGAGTGATGTCAAGAAATTAAACAAGCTTAAGGTAAATAAAACTTGAAAATGTCGAGTAAAGTAAATGATTCAATCACTATTTTCCAAAAAATAAATTTAAAATTATCATTTACCATTTACTAAAATAAATGTAAATAACTAATTTATTTTTCGTTGGGAAAATAACGGATAGGTAAAGTAAATGATGTATACTTAGTCGTTCGATTTACCGAAGTCGATTGCATACATTGCATGCAATTTCAAGGTTACTATAACTCACGGCATATCAGTCTGTGTGCTCTAAGGAAATTCAATACCACATCTAAACTGTTAACAATGAAGGTCTCGGTTAACTTCCATTCTGAAGAGAATGTTTTGGACTAAGCATTTTGGACATGCAATAAAACTAAAATATTTTCATTGTGAATTCTTGAAATTGAGTGAAAATCACAAGTCTTTAACTATCATCAATCAAAAATTATTTAAAAAATGTGTGTGCTCTTTCTATTTTGCGTTGAGTTGTTGAATTTTTCAATAGTTGCTACTGTTTTTTATTTTGATTACATTCCATCGCAAAATTTAGCCAGAAAATGCTGCGTTAAACTGAGTTTCTTCATTCTTTTTCAGTCGCCGATCAAGCTCGAAAGGTTTTTGAGGATGCTGAAGAGAAGGTGCAAGATATTAAACGAGAAATTGAGTAAGTATATATAATTCAATTTCCCATTATTATTATTATGAAATATTATTTGCTTTTTTTGAAAAAGAGATTTGAAGAAACGATTAGAAATAGATTTTGGACCCGAAGATGAATTTAGTACAATGTTCAATGAATGTTACAATTATGAAGAACGAGAATATACGTATCGTGTGTGTATGTTTAAAACTGCATCACAAATTCCCAAAGGTGGTGGAAGCGAAGTAGTAATTGGGTATGTAACCTTTCTCTTTCAAATATATTAAAATTCACATTGAATATTTTTTAATTTAAGACATTGGGAATCATGGGGTTCCGAGCCTAATAAGTATTCTGTTATGAAATATACAAATGGTGTGTCATGTTGGAATGGACCTTCAAGAGCTCTAACAGTAAGAAAAAGATCTATTTATAATTATTGGCTAAAACGATCTTTTACTGTTCTAGGTTCAACTACAATGTGGTATAGAGCATCGTGCTATAGACGTACGAGAGCCAACCAAATGTAAATATTCTATGATATTTGAAACACCAGCTGCCTGTGATAAAGATATTGCATCAAAGCCATTAGATCAACATACTCATACGGAATTTTGAGAACATAATAGTTAGACATCTGTCCAATGATGTCTGATTATTATTATTATTATTATTATTATTATACACTTTATTCTACCTATTGTCGGGAGCGATAGGTGAAATTTATAACCGGTTTCTCTATAGTGATAGCTTATCTAATTGATGAATAGTATGAGTTTTCGGTGTTTTATTTACAGTACTTTTATTCTCAAATACAGTGGTATTATACTTACTATTTAACATTCCATTTTCCTTGAAACAAACATGTGCTTTGTTTTCTTTGACAAAAACAAAATGTTTCATAGTGGCCATGTCTTTCTTGTTTTTCATGTTTTTCATTGTTAATTTTACTCTACTTTGGCAATTTCTTCTTGCCTATTGTTATTTGTTTGTTTGCTTTTTATTAAATATGAATGTTTTCTTTTTTTAGAAAAATAAATCTTTCATAGACTTAATTAACTGTTACCATACATTAGATCTTGAGTAAAAAATGATTATTTTTGCATATATGATCTTATTATGCGTCAGATATTAATAAAGCTAAAAAAGCTTGAATTAAAAAACAAATTTTTTCGATAAAAAATTCCTTAGAGGAACCTTGCCCTGAATTTTGTCAGAAAATATTTTATTTGTAAAATTAACAAATTATACGTCATTCGATGCAGTTTTTTCATGCTGATTCCAAATATCACATTAATTTTCAATAAAAGGGTTTCTCAGCTGCGAAAAATGTAAAATACCTGGAAACCTAGATCTTTGTCCAGACGAAAAACTGCATAAAACTGCTATCACCACAGATTCAGACTATGTCTATACACATTCTGTGAAATTTTCAACGAATATGGGGCTCCGAAAAATTTCGAAAACTCATTGCACTGAACATGGCTCTCGGGAAAATCACCTTGTTTGTCGCTAAAAGACTTGATCTGAGATGAATTTTTTTAAACTAATAAATAGCTAGAAGCGTCCTGATTCCAAATACCAGGTTTCGAAAATTTAAATGTAATTCAGTTCAATAAAAACTTGATTTTACATAGCGATCATGGTATTTTTTCTTCAACATTTTTTACCCGCAAATTCCTCGTTCGAAACAAAAATTTTTACGCCATTAGATAGCCCATCTATCAAAGTATATTTGCCACTATTTTAATTTTAAAAAACCGCATTTTCGATTTTTCGCTAAATTGGGCCACAGTGGGCCTGGCCGCCCACTGTGATCCGTGCTCATTTCAGCCAAAAGATTTATTGGACTACAGTGCGTAATCGAAAAAGATATAACAGTGCTCAAATAATCCATTCCGTACTCAATTCATTCTAAAAACTGTCCTTAAAACATTATTTTTCTACAATAGAGTCCTATACTACGTATATCAACCTCTATCTTTATTATGTATCATATGCCGAGACTAACATTTGTTATGAGTAAAAAACGGACGTCTTATGAGCGGCTGACTACATTCTCTAAACAAAATTGACAAGCTCAGATTTTTAAATCTTGAATAATTTCTTCTGAGAAAAAATACAATTATTCTCTACGTTATTAGTCAGATGCCTATTTAAATATAAAATTGTCAGTAATTGTGTCCGATAGATTACAGTATTGATAAAACCGTTTGTTTTTTGGCACAATCGCTGTCATTTATCCAATTCTTGTTTTGTTCAACTATTTATATTTTAACTAGCTAGTGATTATTTACCTGTCGATATCCAATGGTGCAAAAGTGTGGCAATAAATAATATTTCAAATCAAAATCACAAAGTTTTTCTGTTCTATATGTATATCCTTGTGTGTTCACTTGAGATATTAATCTTTGATACTTAAACTTTATGTTGTTGTTATATCATTGATAGATAAGAACGAAATTCATTCACTAATGGTTGATTAATTACACATTTATTAACACATCACCGTACTTATATAAAATAAACGTCATTGTAATATTCACCAAATAGTATAATAGTGAGTGAAATTTCACAGAGTTAATAAAAAATAAGTGGCAAAAGGCAGAAAAGAGCACGAGTCAAATTTTTTGTCTTAGTCAGTATCTTTTGCAAAAAAATCAAAATGATCAAGTTAGATTTTGAGAACCCCTTAAATTTGTGTAATAGATATCCCATCGAATTATGAGTCCCAATCCATTCTCAGCATGCCTCTTGAGTATCGGTTTCGGTGCGTATCGTATGATCTCAATAACTTTATTACTATATGAAATTTCTGTGTTTTGGGTTTAACATTACATTGTACTACTAATGAGTGATTAGCACTCAATGCTATGACACTTTCATTTCTATAATAAAAAATTAAGATCAATGTTGAATCTTGCTCTTTCATTAAGTATATAAGTTACTACGAAAATATCATACGAGAGATTGATAGAAACACAATTGAGATAGCATACGATTGAGAGGGAAGAAAAATGATCTATACGATTATAGTATATTTGTTGTCTACTTTGAATTTCAAACAAAATTTTTTGCTCTTAAACCAAACTATTTTCCTCTATGAGCATTTTATATATACAGAATCATTTCTTGCTATATTTTGACTGACGTATAAGATAACGAACTAGTACATTACGGTACGTAACTCTATTGGTTGACATTATTTCACTATGAATATTTTTCTATTTGTGCTTTTCTGCTAAAAAAAAAAGACGTTAGTTTTTTTTTCTTCATCGATAGTTTCTCTTCCTATGTATAGAACTTCTGTATGATAGATATATATGATGATGAAAACGAAAAAATACATCTGCCTTTCTCTTTTTTTCGGCTCAATTAATCTGATTAAAATGAGAAAATTGCCTGTATAATTATGAGTTAAGTTGATGATTAAGAACAAAAAAAAGAAAAAAAATCGAAGTACATACACACGTTCTTGAAGAGTACTTCATTTTCTCTCTATGTATTATGTTGTAGAATCAAAGTCGTTTTGAAAATTAAATAAAACTTATCCGTCTTATATTTTTTTGATTATAAATTAATTTTGATATAGGTTCCTCCGTCGTTTAACGATTGAAAATAAAAAAAAAAGTACGTTGTACCAATATTGTTCGTAAGACAAGTAAGCCAAGTTCAAAACATTTATCGTTAGTAATCATCGTCCTTTTCACAGATTTTTAGAGTGTGCGAAGAACTATGGACTAAGCACAATTTCTAAAACAGTTCCTTTTAAACATGAGTGGTGGTGAACATAAGTTTTGACCACTAAACATAATTCCGGAGCATTTTTTCGTGTGTTAATGTTTGTACATGAGATTATTCCTCAGAAATATAGTTGATTTTGGATCAGTGTAACAGCACAGAACATTTTCGCCTGTAATCTCTCTGAGCTTATTAGATTGGCATAAAACATATTGATAGAAATTATAGACGGCAGGGCCAGATAACTCTACCGTGAATGTGAAATTCCGTGACAAAATTTTGATATTTTGCTGTGTTTATATTTTTTTAACAAAAGCACGTGCAATGCTGTGGAACGCCTAGAACTGTATAGCAAACGTTTCTCTACAAAATGAGGCGTCTCGAGGCTCTGTACGTTTCCTTGTTTAAACAATAAACCGTAAATACTAAATGCTACTTTCCCAAAATGAAGATGAGAAGAGCATTTTGTATTTTTCTTTTATGTTTTAAACAAAGAAACGTACAAAGCCCCGAAACGTCTCATTTTGTAGAGAAACGTTTGCTTTACAGTTCCAGACGTTCCACAGCATTGCACGTGCTTTTATTAAAAAAATATAAAAAACGCAGCAAAATGTCAAAATTTCGTCACAGAATTTCACTCCGGTAGCAGAGTGATCTGACCGTGCCGTAGAGAAACCTTACTTGCTACTGAAGAAGACTGATGTCGGCTTGCTATCTATTAGAAATTTTTTATCGGTATGTAATTTATTGAATAGTGCAAGGTCTTTGTACGAATATAAGTTACATTTGTTTGATTGCAGGGGCAGGATTGGGCGAGTCCGAGGGGAACACCGAAGAAAACCTAATTTCGCCGCTAACAAATCGATGGTCGTCCAGAATAACGCCTGATAATCAAATTCAAAAATCTTACTATTTCTTAAAGTTGACTTCGGGGTCATTTTTTCCTCGTACTACTGACGACTGGAATGTGCTACCATGCACCGTTGTGACTTAAAGCAGTCATAGAATCTATAAGAGTCTTTTGAAACAACATCTTCAACTATTATAATCGATCTGTGTTTTCTTGTACCTCATCAACACAATGTATTAAAATATACCATTCCTCTTCTGTCCTATAAGTTCATATTTCAAATGTAACTTGTTCTTTTTAGTATTTCTTTAAGTATTCATTATTTTCGATGTTGCATTAACATAAACTAGTCTTACTTTGTAACAATCATACTTGCAAAAATAAACATGCAGTTCAGTTCAGTTCAGAGTCCAAGTCATGAAGCAAGCAAAGCGAGTCCTGCATCTATTTCGAGTTCGATAATTTTTTCAAAGCTTTTCCACTGTCGTTATTTATATTTCTTTTCTTTTCTTCTTTAGTACAACTCATTGTACTATTTGTTTTAAGTAGTTCTAATACTATTTCTGTTTTCTCTATATACAAATTCGCGAATCATTTAATTATATATTTTATTTTGTTAATTAGACAAAAAGCTTCCGATAATGCACTTTTTCTCGATGTGCAACTGATGATGATAATGATGATGATGGTCTGTTTTCTTACCGAAAAATATGATTGATTATTGCACGTGAGAACAAGAAACGATTGAAGTTATGAACTGAATACATATGGCCTAGAAGAATATTCTGAACATATTCTGACAAAATTGTCCAATATTTTGCTAAACAAATATCATTAAATATCCCAAAATAATATTTTCTGTTACTTTTCATACCTGAGCCTAAATATTAACGAAGGACGCGCTCTTTTCTTGTTGCAAAATTGTTTTGCATCACCATTTTTCTTCCTAGCATCATCTTATCCACATAATATAAACATATAGGATTCAGTTGAACACACTCGATATTAAAAGTAGTCGTACTAGTTCATTTTTCTTAACATTTGAAATTGCGTTGCTTGTCAAGAAGAATTACTAATATCTTTTAACTACGTTCCACTAATATAATGTTTTATTTTTTCATTCATAATGATCTCATCAATAGAAATGAAGAAATATAGACGATCTGAATTGTCATATAATATAAAACTTCTCTCATATCGTATCTCATTCATTGAAACATGAATGTGACTAGTATACTTTTACTCACAAAAAACATGATGATGATGATGATATTATAGTATAGTTACTCCCACTAATGAGAAATATTTTTCTTTTTCTTTTTCTTACCTTCAAAAATCAGAAAAATTAAATTTTTAATTGACTATTGCACTTCATATGATACATCGTTAAGAATATGATACGTTATAATTAAAATAAGTGCCAAAATCAAATGTAGACTCCCGCTTATTTTCCAAAGGTAACTTAAAAATAGCTTAGTTTCTGCTATTTCAGCTGTCTTTCACTACATTTTAGTTTAAAAAAAGAAATAGTCTTTAATTTGCTTATAATCTTTTCATCAGTTTTACTCATAGGCAAAATTCAACGTGCGCGATAAGGTGAAATAAAAGATATTTTTTTTCTCATTATTTTCTAATAAAATATTGTTGTAGAATATGTTCTTCTATCATTCATGTATCCTGATACTGTTATGAATAAAAGAGACTTTCATTTTTTATTTTAGCGTACTTATATTTGTGTATCTTCACAATTATGTCACGCCATTTAAGCAATAAAATGAATAAATCTCATGGTTGGTAGAAAAATCTTTTTTCTATAATTTTAATTTCTAAATGATTTTTATATGTATTAAAAGAGCGTCGGTTGAATGTACGTGATTCACATCAATTTTATTGTCGTCGTGGATCTGTTCAACTTTGGCAATTTTTATTAGCATTATTAGAAGATAGTGTGAATACTACAATTATATCATGGACTGGAAAAGATTTAGAATTTAAATTAGTCGAACCGGAAGAAGTTTGTATTTATTCACTTTTTCTCTTTGCTCAATTTATTTTATTATTGTTGTTGTTATCGTAGGTCGCACGTTTATGGGGTGTACAAAAACATCGTCCATCAATGAATTATGATAAATTGTCTCGCTCACTTCGCTACTATTATGAAAAAGGAATAATGCAAAAAGTAGCTGGTGAAAGATATGTCTATCGATTTGTTTGTGATCCACAAGCACTATATCCATTTGGACGTAGTGTTGGTAGTAATTTACCCAACACATCAAAAATGAATCTAAATGAAGTATCAAAGACCATTGATAAAGTTGATTCAACATTTTATACACCCTACAAAATGAAATCAAATTCATCAATATCATCACTACCACGAAATAATATTCATGATGGACAGACGTTGTCTTCTACCAATGTGGCTGCCGCTTATGCATCACTGTATCCAGCATTTTATGCTAATACAGCTGTTGGTTTTCAAAATTCATTTCAATATGGTGCTTCACCGTATACAGACTATGATACAAAATCACCATCAACATCAACAACAACAACCGTCGAAAATTATTGGCGAATGTATTCTGTTTCAAATCATCAAACACATAACAGTCAACAACATCATCCATTTTCAATTGCTGATGCGCCACAAACTGTTCCTCTACATTCGGATATGACAAACAGTGGTCAATGCTACTATTCATCTGGTTTCGAATTTTATGCATAAATATTCTGTTATTGTTTCTCTAAAAAAACCAAGAAAATTCTATTTTTAAGAATATGTTGTATTTCATTTTACTCCTCTTACTTCGAAGAAAAAACAATTGCTGTAAAAGACACTCTAAGTTTTATTAAACAAGTAGGCACTTCGATTAAGACTTTGATTTGCGCGTGATGGTGAAGGAGCGAATCCAGGATGAAATGGGATATAGTTATTTGCTGGCATTAGTTGCATCGGCGGCTAAAATCAAACACAACATAAAACGTTCTGAAAGAGAAATAAATAAATAAAAATTCAAATAAAAGTTAAACTGTATTACCATCATAAAATAAATAAGCAATAACAAACTTACAGGAACAACGTTATGTTTTTTCGGATCGTTTTTTTCTAAAACATGAATTTTTTTCACACGATATGAACCGTTTGGGGTTTTATGATGTTTCTGGAATTCTTTCAAGGCTGTTTGATGAAGTTCGGGTGAAAAATAGTGCATTTCATTGGGTGGTATGTTATGCCCGTATGGGTCATAAAACTGCGATGGAGGCGGTGGTTGTTGATATAAACTATCCCTATATGGATAATAATTAGGATATAACATATTGTGTCTTAATCGTTCCTGTTCTTCAATTGATGGTACATTTTGGTGATATAATGGAAATATTTGAGGCATTCGTTCTCCAAACGTTCCCTCATAACCAACATTTGTCCAGATCGGAGTTTTTTCTATAGGTGGAAGAACAGGTGCTTGCAACACACCATACGGGTTATATGACTGATATGGATAGTTTTCGTTTTGTGGCACGTTATAATTCATTGTTGGCGGCGGTGGTATATAATAAAATCCCACAGGTTGTTTTGCTGTTTCTGAAGATGGTTTAAGTAAGCTTACTGCCTATATTTTAACACAAAATCATATTTAATAGAACAACAACGTGGATTTAACGAGCCTTACCTTTGATTTTGGTTGTATACCATAATAATAGACATTATCTGGTATCGTATTAAACATATTTTCATTTAACGGATTTACATTAGGTGGATTAACAGCGAACGGATTTACATTAGGTGGATTAACAGCGAACGGATTTACATTAGGTGGATTAACAGCGAACGGATTTACATTAGGTGGATTAACAGCGAACGGATTTAAATCTGTTTGAAGTCCTCTTGATACCACGGTCGGTAATGACGAATGTGTTTCACGTTTACTATAGATGGGATCATCATTATTCGTTTTGTACATCATCGAATTTATGTGCCGTTTAACTGGAACTGTGTTATCCTAAACAGAAGGAAGAGGTTGTTTTTTATTTGCTTTTTTTCAGTGATGATCATTTACTGAAATGTTATGAGCAGGATTATAATATTTCATATTTGTTACACTATCGTTTTCAGAAGGTGATAATATTCTTCCAGGATGAATTCTGTCACCGTACGGTAGACTATAATTGGCTATTGGATGGTGCAGACTATAACTCGGTACAGCATATAACAGAGAAGTTCCTTGTTCTTCATCTACCGAAGATGGAGTTGTTGACACAACAATATCTTCCTCTGTCGTAGGTTTCTTTGCTGTCCACCAAATTGGTGGTTTTACATTGCCAGATTTACTCCAGCCATACCATTTTATTGGCTGTTCCGGTTCAGTAATTTTCGGAGCAACATCAGTAAAAGAATATAGCATTGCTTTACGATCATTTTTTCCTAAAATAGTTTAAAAACTTATAAAGGAAGCAGTCCATGTATATCACATTGCATTGATTATCGTATACTAGATAATAAAGATTTTACCAGTGTGTTTAGTATAAGAAGTTATTCAGATATCAATTACAGAGTATTTTACTTTTGAAAATGTTTTTGAATTAACGATAATTGTCATAGTATAAAAAACTATGGACTCTTCAACTTTTTGCTAAACACTAATTTCTTCCTGTCTCAAAATGCGAAGACTTAAGAATATTCTCTTCTTTTTTGGAAAAAATGTCGGTTTTCAGTTGAATATAGGCTACTGTATTCTGAACTTCAAAACGAAAGTAAAAAAGTATTCTCTTTACAATGAGGCATTTCCTATAATTTGCCAATGTTTTTTTTTTAGAATATATGAGCATCTCAGCAAATGCCCTGAAAGAAGTGACTTCTATACAATGTCATTTATAATGCTTCACGCACTGCTAGCTCCAACTGGAGTAGATTAGCACTCCATCAAAACTTCATCTGATCGAGTTGAACATTTTATTATAGATTCCGGGGGTGATACTTCGTTTTAACTTTTCCTCGTAGAGCTATAAGGATTTTAAAATCCAAAACCTTAGTTTTCTAAAGGATTTCGTTAATTTTTTATAAGTTGAGAGGAAAAAGTTAAAAAACAAAAGAAAAGAACTTAAGATATAAGATATCGTCCCAAGCACTTGTGGTAAAATTTTAGAAGTATCGTTTTATAACCAGATTAAAAGTTGAGTTTCTAGAAAGCTACATAGTCAAAACTTTGTCAGTTAAGTTAAAACAAAAGTATATTAATTTCCTTTTTCGATAGCCTATTTTTGGTATAAATTTAGGCTCCATTGGACCCTTGCTAATAAAGTGAAAAACGAGGGCGTACCCTTACAATTAATGAACGTAAGCAAATACTGACACCATATTTTATTTTTCAATCACTTACCCTGGAATGCATGACTGGTTATACCGGGCTCTGGTGCCTCTGAAACGGGTGTCTTGGATGAAGGTACATTACTGTTGATTTGATCACTTTTATTTACAATCGAAATCTTCGGTTTGCTAGGTTGTGTGACACTTGCCTGCATTATGCGTAATAATCAATAAAAAGGTTCATTTGTTCTCTCAATATATTTATTGTATTACATGTTATTCAGAACCAAAAGAAAAAGAACACATCTAAGGTATCTTTATCAAATTTACATAAAGTATTCGTTATGGACGTTATATAAGTACGAAATACAAACGAGAAATTATTGAGTTTTAACTTATATTCTTCCACGTAATCAAAATGAAAGAGACAACAAGAAAGTCTTCGTAGATTTAATAGATTTTGATTGTTTTCAGATCCTTAAATGACTGATTTCACTATTGATACAAACAAACAAACAAACAAACAAACAAACAAAAACTTTTTATATTTTCTTTCATATCATGAAATTGTATTTAAATCGTATGAAGTTGTATTAAAAAACTCATATCTTTAATAACATTCATTTATACAAAATTCCATCTCATTTTAGCGTACTCAAAAACAATGACATTATTTTATTAAATAATAATTTCAGCTTCTGTATTATGAAGCGTCATCATAATGACATTGATATCTATCGTATATATTTTAACGAGATCAATAGCAACACAAGAAGTTAACAATTACATGATATATTTTTAAACAGTTGAGAAAATAAAACTAATAAATAAATAAATGTCCATCTTTTCGTACTTTTTTTTCTTCAGAATTTTCAAATAATTTTAACTATAGAACATAATATTCGTTGAACAAGAAAATGGATTGTAATATTTAAATGAATTAAACTTATACAGTTTGACAATTATGTTTTCTTTGGAACTTGTTGTCTAACCTCAGCGTATGTTAACACACCATCATTGTTGTAGTCAAGTATCGAAAGAGTTTCATCTACCAATTGTACTAAACGTTCAGTTGATGCTGATGTACTTTCATTTGATTTACTTGTTGAATTTGTACTATTACTATTGTGGTCGTGTAAGTGAAAATCTTGCAATAACCATAATATTTCTAATCCATCCAAAAGATCATCACCATTACTATCGTGTAATTTAAACTGATAGAATGACTGTTCATCTGGCGTCATATCTGCCACTTTTTTTCCTCCAAATTCTTTTAAATGTTCACTCAAATGCCTATAACACAAGACTATTAGTATTTTCTACTGTTATTATAAATTTCTTCTTACTCTGGATCTTGATCTTGAAACATTTGTTGTTGTGAATTCGTTTTTGAATTACGAGAAGGCGGTTCATGACTCCAAACATTATGAACTAGCATTAGTAAAGCAATTATCCATGAGAGTAGCATTGTGTGCATTCTTTCTTTTTTACCGTTTTGTAGATGGTGTTTCTTTTTTTCAAGAATAACTCATATTCTATACTCAAGATAAAAGCCGTTTTTCGTGTGAAAAAAACATATTGCTATTATAAAATATATCGTTCTTGCTGTGTAAATGAATGATTGATGAAGGAGACGTCCAGCACAATAAAGCTATTTTTTAAACGATTGAGTTAAATAAAATAAAACTTTCATAAAACGTAGTTTAACATATTTCTAAATTGTAAAATAATTCACGGCCAGAAGCGTTTAGTTTGTTAAGAGTTACACATAGTGCAAGAGCCAAAAAGACTTTTGACACCAAAGTCTTGGTTTGCAGAGACAGTATCGGTTTGGAATGAAAACACTTTGATCTAAAAACAGGAGTGAGAGCGATTCCGGCCAACAATCTCACAACCTTTCCAAAATTCGATTTCGATGAAAGGTATCTCATTAAATAGCTCATCTTAAGTAATCCACACATTACAATTTTGATCATTTAATTACTGAGCTGAAGTAGGTTTACAGAACAGAGATCCGAAATTTCTCAAAAATGTTCACATTTTAATATTTTGACTTTTTTCTTGAAATCTGTCACACATTACTTCGGACAACATTTCTTTGATGCAAAATAAAATTCTGTATAAAATTAGGTTTTTCAGTTGAGGATGAAGTCTGTGTTTGACTTGGTATAACTGAAACACTGAAAAACTTTGATTCGTGTGTTTTGCAAAAATGTCTGGCGTGTAGGGGTGGCACTTTACCGTTACTTTACTTGTAACTAGTTACTCGGCGTTACTTTACCATGTAAAGTAACGCCGAGTAACTAGTAAGTGCCACCCCTACTAGCATGGGCCTCACATAAAACTTATTCTGTTGTGTAAAATAGTTAGTAGCTCTTGTGATGGCAAATTTCAGAGTTTCCTCAACTAAGCGTCTGAAATAGATGGTTTTAGTTTTAGATTAGTAAAATACAGTTTTTCACGGATAATATCAATCGTCTTTGGTATCAATGTATTCGTAAACACCCTTTCAATATTGATGAAGCTGATCATTTTGTGTTTTGACAAATGAGGGTGATTTTTAAAGAACATGAGGAAATCGTAGGTGTTTTTGAGTGATAATTTACTGTTACGTAATGGGAACACTCCGTTTGCCAGGAATTTACCTAATTCATAACTATATGAATTAATACACGAAATAATTGATCGAACTGGCGTTCTCGACTTGCGAACTTTGGATAAACCATACAGTCAAGCAGAAACCAAAACAACTGACCTAATCCTAAATTTGCTTAGTGAAATATCCATCTTTCTTAATTTCTCTCAACAAAGTTATAAGAGAATTTTCACGAATAATAATGGGATCTTTCTAATAGAGGTGCAGAATCTACCCATTTGCTCCGACAGTTGTCGGGGAAAAAAAATTTTGTTCGGATAAATTTTTTAAAATAAAATACAGTTTTTGCAAAAATGAAGAACTGTGTTAGCCTTTAACGGTTATCTCATTTTTTAAGTTCTTTCAAAAAACAACAACTCTCTCCAATAGCAAAAACAATGCGGATATGTACAAGAAAAGAATGTGACACCTGGTATGAAAAGAATATCTAATTTTATTACGCACAGGGATAGTTGAAGTCACTTGAAACTACACCATCTGTTTTTGAAACGGTGAAAAATTGATTAGATCCTGCACATTTATTAAAAATATCAAATCACCAATAAAATCCAGAATATGATGAGACTAGTCTATAAGAATTGATTGATTCTGAGAAAGAATTTTACTGATCTGAAAGAACAATATAATATATGAAAAGAACTGTTTTTGAATGAACTAGAAGATCCTGATACGTATGAAATATAGACAACAAAAGATCAGATAATAACAACAAAGTTTTTTTACAGAACAACAACTAGCTGACGGTATTCAAGATTATTTATAGTTTATTCATTCATTTATTAAAAATAAGAAGTAAAGTGGTGCGTAAGTCAGCAGCGTCAGTTTTGAAAGGAAATATTCATAATAATCATGCTTGAGATCACGACGCCTTAGTGATGAAGTGATGTTACATTGAAATGCTTGAGTAGAAGAATGAACTGTAGAGCGGAGAATATTCTTTTTAGTTGTAAATCTCTTTTTGATTGATGCATAATGAGAATAATAAGAAAAAGGGCACTGTGAGCTGTATGACATTCCTCAAATCGGCAACGACAAGCTTATTCTATTTGCTCAGTTTATTGAAATTTGACTGCTAAGCTGTCGAGAAGATTATTGGAAAAAGTATTTGTTNACATTCCTCAAATCGGCAACGACAAGCTTATTCTATTTGCTCAGTTTATTGAAATTTGACTGCTAAGCTGTCGAGAAGATTATTGGAAAAAGTATTTGTTTTTAAATCAATGATCCAATCATGGAATAATATCGAGTCTAATAGAAAAGCGTAAAAGAAATGTCAGGTTTTCAAATTTCAATTTCTATCAACTCCCAGTAGAGATGCATGATCAAAACAAAAGGTAAATAGAATCACTGTTGATTCTGCATGTGAAATCGTTGTTGTTATTAAGAAAAATTAAAAAAAGAAAGAAAGAAGAGAAACGAAGAGTCACTAAGATGATGAACTTGAGCAGAATAGGAAAAAACCCATTTTTTGTCCAATAATGTCATAAAGTCAAAAGTTATGCTACTGATTGATCGTTGTCCAAATGTCGTGGTAACGATCACAACCAGGCATGTTGTCAGTTTTACCGATTTTCGGTTCCAGTGTTACTTAAAAACTTTATCGAAACCAGTAGGTTTTTTCCCTATTCGGTTCAGGTTATTTTGTCAGTGACTGCTATTTGCTCTTTGTTTCTTTTCTTTCTTTCTTTACTGACAGACAAATTTCTCTCGAGTGTGAGTAGATATTCTGACAGATTGTTAGTTAAACACTCTTATTTGTTATATTAACACTTATTTCGAACTTATCTCTTCGAAACACAAATGGAATCTCATCAAATTGATACGGTTGATTCCATTCGTCTAAAAAATAAGATGAAACGACCCTCACTTATTACTATAATTGATCCCGGTATTGAAAATATTACAGCAGCTTTAAGCGATTTGGACATAAATGCATTAGATGCTGAATTAAAAAATATAACAAATGATATTTCAAGCAATTTAAAAGAATATCGAAGTAATCCACAAAATCTAGCACTTTGTCAATTAATTCAAAAGTCTAAAGCAAAATTAGTTCAACTAAAATCGTGGACATCTCTATTAAATACTGAGGATGGAATGAAATTAATTCAACAACAAATGAAAAATGAAGAGGAGCAAGTTAATAAACGAAAGTATGAAATAGATGAATTATTAAAAAGTGTTAAAGCTCTGTCATCGGTTGATATTTGTTTTCTTGTTGATTGTACTGGTAGCATGCAGGATTATATCGATGCAACAAGAGATAACATAAAAACATTGACAAATACCATATCAAATCTATTTCGTACAAAACCGCGTTTAGCGTTTATCGGTTATAGAGATATTTCTGATAATGAAAATAATTTAATTAAATTCGAATTTACCGATGATATTGATGCATTTAGCGACTTTCTCAGTCATATTGAAACTGTAGGAGGCGATGATATCTGTGAAGATGTGTTCGGTAAGCTAGACATTCTTAGTAGTTGTGTGATACACGTTCTTCACACATCGCCTCACTAGTAGAGTGTCTAATTGGTTTCATGTGTCATTGAATTAGCGATAATGATTCCCTTTTACTCTAGGTGGCTTACAAGCTGTGAATGCTCTTTCATGGTATAATCCAAATCGGCTTTTAATCCACATATGCGATTCACCATGTCATGGACGGGATTATCATGATCAACAATGGCTCGATCATCCAGAATGGGACAAGCACCCAAAGGGAGATCCTAAAAACAGAGAATTGAGTAAATTATTGTTAGATATAAAACGACATAATGTTAAATATTTTTCCATTCAACTGAACAACGATCGCACTTGTAAAATGTTTCAAGAATTTAAATTTATCTATGGTACGTTACCAGAAATTGATGTTAAAAATGCAAATGACATAATTCAAAGTATTACAAAGACAACAACGAGTGTTATTATGAATACAATACATGATACTATGTCAACGTTTCAAACAACTGCGAAGAAGAAAACGTACAATCTTTTAGCATCTGAACCAAAATGGAACCTGATACCTGCAAATCCAGTTAAAATAATTGAAATTATTATGCCACGAACATTAGATGAAATATTACAAGGAATATTGTATGTTGGAGAAGGAAGTGGTACTATGAAGATTGCATCTAATCCATTCGCTCAAGGCTCACTACGTTATGCATTCTACGGTCAATTCGCATCTGATCAAGAAAACTTGATCAGTGTTGTTTATAAAGAATTAATTAATGCTGATCCTCACTACAATACATTGACCGTGTACAAACAACATTTAGAAATCCATGTTATTGCACAATTTATGGCTGAACGTTTTAACATAGAACAAAGGTTAAGATTTCGCAATCCAGTTGAAATTTTCTATGCTGATGCCGATATAGTACAGCAGAAGAATGATTTAACAAAATTTTATCAAGTTGAAGCACGTTTTAATCAATCCATGCAGAAATGGAACAATAACAGCGGTGGTGTACATATGGTAGATTATTCAACAACGTTACAAGCATTCTCACATTGGACCTATCACTTCACTGCTGGAAGATTAATGGTTGTAGATTTACAAGGTGTTCGATCGGATAATGTTTATTTATTGACGGATCCAGCAATACATTTTGATGATTTAAAGCGTTATAAAGAAGCGCGAACAAACTTAGGAGCGAAAGGTATGCGAGAATTCTTCCGTACCCATGTCTGTTCAAAAGTGTGTACAGAACTTGGTTTACCAAAAATAACAAACAATATTGACGAAAATTTATTTAAAGATTATTATGTGTGTTCAGGAAAATATGAAATGCAAACCATTACGTCGGAATCACAGGATAATGATGATATTATAATCATCTCGGAAGAAGACAGTTGAAGCCCGATGACACTGATTACATAGAATCCAACGTTAATAATCAAGAAATTTGAGATAACTGCATGTAGGCAATGCAAAGGTCTTTTGCTACTATATCATAACTCTGACTGTATCTTGCAACCATAATAGTTTTGTCATAATGTCACCATTTTCCGCTCTACCCAGTTCTTATGTTAACAAGAAACTGGTGTCACTTGCCCCCGTCGTCAATAAACGAATATTTTCACTCAGTTAAATAACGGTTAAATCATACTAACAAATTGTTCCACTGAGAACATAAAACTGTAATACGAAGTACTTTTAGTAGAGTTCAAACATGTGATGAAATGCAACTAGCTTAGTCGGATCAATCAACCGCTTTTCATCGCTCAAGTGGGACGCGAACTTTCAGTGCTAAGTTATCCATGTACATAGTAAATAAATAAATAAATCCATCCATAGTTTACGTATGATTTTGTAGAATATTTTGCAGCGCATCTTTTAAAAACAAACATCGAGTCTTGGAAACAAATCTAAACCAAGAAGTAAGCAAAATACTGAGATCGCCATTTATTCTGGGTCACCCGTTATCAAACAATCACTCATTAATTATTTTAGTTAACTAAGAGATAAACAACGGTTGTTTAACAAAAAGAGCGATCGGTATCAAGTATGGAAATTAGTTTCTCCTGGTTCAATTGTTTTAAATCGTTTACGTCAAGAACAAGCAGCGAAAATACCAGCACCAAACATGTGTGACTAAACAGAAACACTAGTTTTCAACTTAAAGACTGAATAAGCGGTACTTTTAGCAACAATACAATCACATTATTTTGTTTTTTTCCTTTGTTTCATGCCGGGGAAATTTTATTCTAATTTTATACCGTCGGTGAAAGTTTCCTAATCTTATGGGTAGATTCTGCATCCCTGCTGATGAATCAACTGATTCATAATGTCTATTTTAAATAAATGAATAAGTGCAATTTGGCTGCTAATATGTAAAATTCTATGTTTGTAAAAGTCCTTCTATTAAACAAAGATACACATTCTTTCTCTCGATTAAAAGCATCGGGGATCAAAATGTAAGATTTTTAAGTTATTGTAATGAAATGTGACAATACTAAACCACCTGAAACCACAAACATGTCTGATAAAAGAACGAAGAGACGAAAATCATACTAATTCCAGAATAAAAATCTTACATATTGTAACTGCCTCGATACTTCATAAAATATCGTGTTTTTCTCTATTAAAAGCGCGAATCAAACGCAAATTTCAATAACAATATGAGAATCACATTACACATAAAATATACGCTTTATATCTATCGTTAAGAATTTGTCAACTGTACAAAACAGAATAAGTTTTATGTGAGCCTCATGCTAGACATTTTTGCAGAACACACGAATCATAATTTTTCAGTATTTCAGTTATACCAAGTCAAACACGGACTTCATCCTCAACTGAAAAACCTAATTTTATACAGAATTTTATTCTGCATCAAATGAAATGTTGCCCGACGTAATGTGTGACAGATTTCAAGAAAAAAGTCAAAATATTAAAATGTGAACATTTTTGAGAAATTTCAGATCTGTTCTGTAAACCTACTTCAGCTCAGTAATTAAATGGTCAAAATTATAATGGGTGAATTGTTAATTTTGGAAAGGTCATAAAATATAACAAAAGCGTTTGATCGAACCATGCAGGCGCTCTTGAAAGACATTACAAGTTGATAGTCACAAAAAGTTATGTTCTCAATTATGCTTTCAACATTTAAGTGATCTGAGTACGAATATCATTTCATATACTTGAGTAGAAGAATGAACTGTAGAGCGGAGAATATTCTTTTTAGTTGTAAATCTCTTTTTGATTGATGCATAATGAGAATAATAAGAAAAAGGGCACTGTGAGCTGTATGACATTCCTCAAATCGGCAACGACAAGCTTATTCTATTTGCTCAGTTTATTGAAATTTGACTGCTAAGCTGTCGAGAAGATTATTGGAAAAAGTATTTGTTTTTAAATCAATGATCCAATCATGGAATCATATCGAGTCTAATAGAAAAGCGTAAAACAGATGTCAGGTTTTCAAATTTCAATTTCTATCAACTCCCATTAGAGATGCATGATCAAAACAAAAGGTAAATAGAATCGCTGTTGATTCTGCATGTGAAATTGACATTTGTACAAATTCCAATGAGCTTCACTGAAAAATCTTGCGTACTTATTCCCTATGACGAGAATAATGTAGCATGTCAGATTGCTTCAAAAAAAAAACGACAAAACAAGTGTACAGAGATAGAAAAGAGAAAAACGAACATATTTCGGAAATATTCCGTACGCTTCAAGATTATGTAACACGAAGGAGACAGAGCAGACAAATTTAATAAAATTTTAATATGTAAGAAAAAATGTTTCAATCAAAAGCGATTTTTGTTATTGTAATCGTGAACTAAGGACATTTTCTATCGACAATGAATTTTCCACTTTCATCATATTCTTGCTTACTAATCCACATTTGATGAAATGAGCCCAATGATGCTAGAATAGAACCGCCTATCCATGAACTAAAACGTCTTTCGCTTAATGACGGTGGTATTTGTACTTTCATTCTCATTGTTTGTGGTAAAATATGTGATAATTCACGATGTAAACGTTCAGTAAATCCCAGAAAATATGAATTACCACCCACAATTGTGATACTTCCATAGAGTGCGGATCGTATATCGGGATCACACATATTCACCGAATTTGTTATTAAATGAACTAAATCCAAAATTGATGAGAATTGACCTTTCACGATCGACGGATTAAATAAGCCTTCTCTAGAATAGAAAAAACAAAAACAAAATTCTTTACATCATGCAGTAGATTGCACACTACTTACGGTATCCGATATCGTTCTTCTCCAAAATCTAAACTGAGACCATTTGGAAATTCATAGTTAACACGTGGTAATTGACTAATTTCACTTTCATTATAAGGTGTATCCGATATTTGTAAAACGGTTTGAGCAAAATCTTGTAAAATTTCTTTTGTCATAAACTTTTTATAGGAATCTGTAATGTTTTCCGGTAAATTTGTGCGTTTTGTCCATTTTGGTTGTTCATACTGCCTTACAACTTCTTTTGATTTAATTAAATAATGTGGAACAATTTCATAGTTAAGGCCATCTAATAATTGTTTACATTGGTTCAAAATAAAATCACCGCCTAATGGTGATTGAACAATGGCCTTTTGAAATACCATACCCTAGATAACAAAGAGTCTATTAATGGTATGACTCTACAGTAAGGATTATCCATCCTACCTCATGAACAGGAACGGCAGTGGTATGTGTTGCACCGCAATCTAATATGAGTGCAGTGGCTTTAGCTTGAGCAAACGATGATAAAACAGCATTTTTAGCTAAATAAAATGCTGGTATTTGAAATTTTTCAAACATAATTTCGCATAATTTTTCACGTTTTGCACGTTGGTTGATCGGTGGCTCAGACATAACTAAAAAATAGCCAAAACAGATTTATTTTTGATTATTTTCGAATATAATTAAATACCTATTGGATGATATGAACTTCCATGATCTTTCTCACATAAACAGTCAAATGCATTTGTCATTGCTTGTTCAAATAAGTCCCAGTCATCAATCATTTGTTCTTTTAAAAATGTTTGCATGTATAAACCGTTCTGTGGCACACGAATTTTATTCATATCAAATATATAACGTTTTTGAGGTTGTGACGGTGGTGGTGGTGGTGGTGGCTGCTGGGAAGTATCACCTGAACCATCTTGAACAGTAGATGAAGAGGCTGGTGATTGTTGCTGCTCATCAATTACGCCAATATAACTGGGAAAATCAAATTTTGGTGTTTCTTCACCAGCATAACCAGCACGAAACGTATGTGATCCAATATCGATCACTAATGCACCAACTTCATCCGAACCATAGGTACCGCTACTCATTATAAATCTGAAGAGATAAAATTTTACTCTGAAACAATAGAAATATTTCATAAATGCTACAGCTAAAAAAAGGATTTGGATGTTTAAATTGATTATCGTTAGTTTGTAGATGATGGCGTTCTATTCTAACAGTGAATCTTCATGAGATCAGATTTAAAACTTCGCAATAATTTAACAAACTGAGCAACAGTAAGTTTTTATACAAAAAAAGTTGTTTCCAAGAGAACATACAAATATCTCATCTATATAGTTTTGGAAAACTTTACTTTCAACTTAAAGTTAATCAATACACAACAACATATTATTTTTCATATTTAAATGCCTTTTTCACCTACTACCGAGGTGTTTCATAGTTAACTAGAGATTTATTCATGTATTTTATTTATTAGCTGAAGTTGTTTATATTGTTCATGAAAACGTTTTTTAATATAATTATATAAATCATATTCAAATTTAAGTAAATCTTTTAGAATGAGATGAGTATTTGGTTTTAATTCTTTTCTCCATTTTCTCGGACTAAAATTAATATGTGGCCGTCTCTTCTTAATATATACTAGACTAATATTTCTAAAATAATTTGGTAATAATTTTTCTAATATAAATAACAATTGTTCAATATTTTCGGTCAAACCCACTACAGTATAATATTTATCAATATTTGATTTTGCTTTTTCAACAGCCCATGATAAATTTTCATTCGATGAACATAAATGATTTTGACCACAAAAAAAAGGTATAGCGGATGTTACACCATATTCTAATGTTATACATTTGAATGGTTCATTTTCTGTTTCAATACAATCGTCTAACGTATAATTAAGTATTGTTCGATTTTTAATAAATGTACAACGATTTTTTTTTAAACACATTCTACGAGAATAATAATAATTTGATACTGTTCGTTTAATAGGATCACGTATCATATTTATATATATTGGTTGTTGTTTATTAAAATGTAAAAAATCAACAAAATAAACATGTCGCTCATAGAGTATTGGTGGATTAAATGTATAAATTTGTTTAATAAATAAATATTGTTTATTTAATGATAAATTATATGAAACATATTGATTACTATGTATCATACGATAATATTTTTTATGAGATTGTTGATGAAATAAATAATTCAATGTTTCACTAGCCGTTTTTGGTATACGATTATAAAGAATAATATGTTGATTATTTTCTTTGTTCTTTAGCGATAATTTTGTTGTTTTTAATCGAGTTTTTATCAATGTAGAATGTATAAGAATTGGTTGACTCTTTAAATCATAATGTTGAACATAAATGATGAATATACGCATTATTATGATAGCAGTCAACAATAATAATAATAAAACGGTATATTTGAAAATGTTCATAGATCATTCCACAGATATCAATTACAAATCAGATAGATTGAATATTCTCGAATGCGGTTACATACTATATTTTAGACTAGTTACAAGTTACACAATAGGAAAAAAAACTCGATTATGGACACATCAAGTTTTCTGTTCTTTCTCCTATTCTTTCTCCTGACATAGGAATAAGAACAGGTTTTTTCCTTATTTCTTTTTAAACGATAGAAAAGAAAAATTTGACTTCAAGAGCAAAAGAAAAGGTAAACAAATTTATAAGAGCGATATGAAACGAGACGAATTGAAAGGCTTTCTATTTCATAACGTAAATCTATGGAAAGTGATTGTGAGAGTGAAATTCATTATATCTCTATTCGAAAGTTTTTCCGAAACCTGAAAATTCGAGCCGATTGAAATCAAAGGTTGAGTATTCGAAGCACCGCAATTGAGAATGATGTATATTTTTCTGCATTATAAATAACATAATAAAAAGCTCGATATTCTTAATATTCGAGAGGCTACTTTTATGTGTTATACATCAAAAGAGGACAAGATTTGACGTGTCACTAATTCATTGAAATTACAGTAAATCACAGAGGATCGTCTATTAGTAGTAATTCTCGTTTTTTCTGTCGTTTGAATCAGAAAAAACAAAAATTAGTACCAATTACAGTTTCTTTGTACAAGTATTCGTTTTTCAATACATCTTATAATTTTTTTTTACTTCTTGTTAGTATTTCTAAAAATAAAAAAACCCACATTACATGATTTACGATAAAAGATAATAATATTAATCAAATACCTGTTGTACATCAGATTCATCGCGCTATTAAGTATATAAAAGTGATAATGTTAATTTCAAATACAGATTTATATTTTAAGCATCGGTAATTTTAATATGAAAATTGATTTTCTATAAACATTTTTGTTCTTATTACATTGATGTTAGGTTTAAGATAAAAAAGATCCATTGAATACTTTGATAAAAAAAACCTTGTTAAAAATTCAAACAAAAAATGACTAACACATACGTTTATCTAACAGTTATAACAGGACTAACAAAAAAAAAAAACATGCTCTCTTTTAGAGACAGAAAAAAATACCGAAAAAGTGATGATAGTGGAATGTTTATTTCAAAAAACAGAGCTTAAGGGTAATGATAAGACTAAAAATAAATGCAATATCAAACCAATTTCATAATCTTCTAAAAATCTTTTCACATAAGTTTGTTCAAAGACTAAATTGCCACTGTATTTGACAATGTACGTTTTAAAAAATAAAACGCATAGAAAAATGGAAAATTAAATGAAATATTAATTGAGAAGTTTTCTCTAAATAATGAAAGAAAAGTATGAACCTATATGAATAGCTAATGTTCTACTTTCTCTTGCTAAAAGTCATTTAACTATTATATTACTTTCGTTGTTGAAAAAGTGCATTAGCCGCATGTTCCCACGTGTTTAGTGATGCTTGATAAAAATCAATTTTTTTTATTGCCATTGTACGCAATAGATCAATTAATTCTTTATCTTTTCTCTCATTCCATCGTTGTATATCAGCTTTAATCGTTTCATTAGCAATAGTTAATTGATCATATAAATGTTCACAATTAATATTCAACTGATTTGATGTTTGTGTTACCTGTTTTTGTTTTTCATGCTTCATTTCATTCATCGTCTCATAATTTGCATTCAATTGATCACGACGTTTCAATATATCATTGACAACATTTGTAAAGAGAATATATTCGTTAATAGGTTCAATAAATTTTGTTGTAATAGTTTTTGATAAATCAAGTTGATTATCAACGATGGATTGTTGTGAATCGGCAACAATTTGTATCATATTTGGCATTGTACTATTTCGATTATCATCGTCATCATCATTATTATGTTTTTCTATTTCCATCCATTGTTTAAGAATCGTTGAATATTGTTGTTGTTCATCATATAATAGTTTATTATCATATTCAAGTTTTTTTGCTAAACGTTCAAGTTTTCTCAAATTATCATTTAATTGTTGAGTATATGTTTCAATTTTAACAAATTCTAATGGTTTATTTTTAACCTGAAATACATTTGACATTGATGATGTAGAAGAGGATGATGAAACATTATTGATAGCTAATCCTTGTGCTGATTTTAATGTTTGATCATCTGAACTGAGAAATAATTGAAACGAATTATCAATGGATATAATTGGATTATCGGCTAAACGTTGAAGAAAATTTTGAAGACCAATAATTCGTTTTCTAATGAAATCCATATTATCAGTTTGTAATTTTTTTGTTAGAGAATGTTTCGATGGTAATGGGGGAATGATGTTGAAAGGATATTTATTATCTAATATGGTTTTTAACCATACAAAATCGTTATAACGTCGACGAACAATATATTCTTCTACTTTTACACTGTCGTTGTATTGATTTGACGTTATGAGATAAGTATAATATGTATCTAAACCAGTTTTTTGCTTTTTTGGTTCACTAACACGGATATGTAGATTCTCATTATCAATCCCATTATGATTATGATTATCATTTAATAGATAATCTTCACATTCACGTTCGTTAAATTCTTCATCGAATGACACAGATGATGTTTTCATGGCATTCAGGTGTTTATTATCACTTTTATTTTGAATTCTTGTTATCGGTTGTTTATCTTTAAAAAACTGATCAATATCTTCATCATTTTTCACTTGCTGTTCTTGTTCTTCCTCTTCTAATGCCCTACTTAACGGATCCATGTATGAATCTAAAAATTAAAAAATGTTTTTTGTATAGACGTGAAATTAATCAAAGAGTTATACATGGATGTGAATCAAATTAAATATAAAATAAAAGAACACAATGTTAGAGATTCTGATATTATCAACTGATTTTCTTTACATTCCAGAGAGTATCGCAACAAACATGAACGATTAAAAAATAACTAAAAGATGATTACAGTCTCCGTTTATTCTTATGAGACGGTGAAAATTTTTAGTTCTATCTAACTTGTTCACTTTCAATAAATATACTATCTCGAATTTCCAGGCTCAAATTCAGGTTGAACAATAAAAAAACAAATACATTCTGAACTAGAAAATTCCCTTATTCACGTTAGTCAACGCAGTTATAACAGTCTCAAAGCAATGCAAGTGTTGAATTAATCTAAAATCTTATTTGACCACCGCCTAAACCATTAAAATAAAAACCATGATCAACTACTTCCCACCAAATAACAAAGAATAAATAAATATCTGGTAGGTATGTATGTCTATATATATATATACAATGTCAATCAATGTAGCCATTCGTATAATTTCATCATAGATGTCGCCGAATAATGAAAGCTATAATGTGTGTAAACTAGCGATATCTAAGAAAGAAAAAATTAGTCCAAGAGTAATTTATAAATTAAAATGGAATTTTGATCAAAAAGAAACGAAAACATAAAAACATCAGTGAATTTTATTATTCATACTCTGCTTTTATCAGAAATTGCACTGGAAAAACAATGTTTTTCAATTATCTAACATAATTTGATTTACATATCGTCCAAACAATGTTGGATTACCTCGTTCATAGGCTCTAAATTGATGTTGTTGAAATTTTTTTAATGTCGTTTGTAATGTTGAACATGTACAATAGAATAGATAACCTTGTTTTTCCATTTCTTCAGCTATTTCTAATTGATGATTGTTCATCAGTGTTTCATTAACAACAACGAGTAAACGTTTTTTTGCTTCTAAACATTGTAATATACTACCAGCACCAGCATGACTTACAATTAAATCAGCTTTATCTATATCGGAATCAAGTGAATCTTTAAATTTATAATACTCAATATAAACATCATTTAAAATTGATCCATTGAGAGGAAAATCTATTAAATCACTATCGCCGACTTGTAATAAAAGATGTTTGATGTTTAAATTTTTTAATTCGTTCAAAACACGCTCTTGTACCATTGAATGAACTAATAAGTCGAATCTCGTCGTACCAACAGTGACAAATGCGCATTTCATATCTACAAAACATTGATTATCATTGTCAGTTTATTTTACTATCGAAGACAGTTTTCATCAAAGTTAAGTGTACTATATTATTTAGCATAAAATAAGCGCTAAGGTTTTCTCTTTAATTTCCAAGCAACAAACTTTTCAGTTTCCTAGTAAAAAGAAATGAAATCGAGGATATCTTGATCGTTGAATTCTTAACAAAAGAAAAACTCAATCATTCCTACAGAGTTAGTCATTATCTGAAGTGTTAAATTTAATTATTTATGTGTGAAATAAGGTGTTGAGAGAAGCGTATGTTATTAAGTAAAACTTTTGTTCGTAATATTAATTTTGACAGTCGGAAGTCAATATTTATATATATCTTGATCTGTGTATATATACAGATACAATGTAAATTTGCATTTAACGAGTGGCCAGATAAAACCAACTACTTTTATTCGTTGTTTTTCAGACACTTTACAGTAGTCCAAAGAGTTCTTTCTAGATTCAATCGATAGAGAATTGAATTCTCTACAAAACCTACTATTTGAATCTCTGATAGAAATGTTGTCGTATGAGCACACCATTCAAAATATTGCAGGATGCTGAGTTTTCGAACTGCAGCACACTGAAAATAGAAAAATATTTGCCTTGATCGAAAAACAAATTCCATAAGGATTTTGAAAACACCAAAAGATTCACCGGAAAATTCTACATCTTCTCACATACTTTTCGAAATGTTACAGTTAAGTGTCCTAGGAAAATTTCTTTGTAGAAAAAACTGATAAATCTAATAAAATCTAACTTTTAAATCTATTTTTCAGAGACTTTAGTATTTTTACTATAAAAGCAGTAGAACGTTCTGACGATAACAGCACGTCACAGTTCGAGCACTCAGCATCCTGCAGTATTCTGAATGGTGCTCAAACGACAACAATGCTATCAGAGATTCAAATAGCAGATTTTGTAGAGAATTCAATTCTCTATCGATTGAGTCTAGAAAGAACTCTTTGGACTACGGTAAAGTGTCTGAAAAATAACGAATAAAGGTGACCGATTTTATCTGGCCCACTCGTTAGAAGTATACAGATGCTTAGCTTACTTTACCATGACAAAAATAACAGGCATTATAATTCTATAGGTGTTTTCTGGATAGGTCCATCTTAGGTCCATCTGCTTCATACAGAGTTTCGAGCCGGGAAGCCGTGATTATACTCATCGTCTAGAGCATCCGAGTCTACCAAAAGATCTCGTAACTATTTTCTTGAAAAACGTATGAAACTTCGTTTCCGAGAAGCTAAAGGTTTGGTCATTCTTTGACTTCAATTTTGAGATGTGCATGACTATTTTAATAAAGAGTGGAGTTACAGTAACTTCAAGTAGGAAAGATGAATTTTTCAAGAATGCTTTTCTTTCATTCTTTTTCGTACTTTTCGGAAAAGTCTTTTGTTGTATTTTTTCACACATTACAGGTAAACTAATTATTTTTCTCCCACAAACACTTAACTACGAATGAGGATCATGCTCTTTTACATCTGAAGCACTTTTCTTTGAAGAAAAAAAGCGATTGCATAAATATTCTGAGAAAAGCTTCTCGTGATCGTCACCGTTAATATGACCAAAAAGTCTTGGTCACACGCATACACCTGCACTAGTTAAAAGCGAAGTGTGATCTAAACAACATTTATATTTTTGACAATATTAGCTATAAAAAAGTTGAAGAGCGGGTTCTACCTTATAATTTTATACCATTGAAAATATTTTTATTACTAATATTGTCAAAAATATAAATGTTGTTTAGATCACACTTCGCTTTTAAGTGGTACAGGTCTAGTCACGCAAATCTCTAAATCAAAAAATCAAAGGGCGTTTATCTTGTAGCAGACAGCGTTTTTAATGGTTTTCTGTAAAAACTATCCCTCGAAAAAGCGGCAAACGATGAATGAAGTCAGACGGATTTTGTCGTCCTATTAGTGTTTAGAGTGAAAAAACTCAGAAGAAATATCGGGCCTTTTTTAGTAGCAAAAGTATTCGATTTTTACCCTCAATAAAGGACAAAAATTGTTAATTAATCTAGGTATATAATTCATATGCAATGCTGAGCTCGAACTTACAGAAAATAATCGCTATCGAATTAAATACAAGATAAAGCAGTATCTTATACTTTATCTCTTAGGTATAGCAATAATATAAATCAATTCTCGAAAAAAAAGAAACGTTTTATAATCAATAAATAATCTTATTTTTCATACTAAACACAATGATACACAATTATGTAAAAAAATGAATAAATCTAGTAAAGAAATAGAGTTAAGACACTGTTTGAAAATAAATAACAAAACAATGGCACCTTGAAACCTCAGTGCTGGAATAACCTAGTATATAAAATAACAAGAAGAGAAAAAAAATTAAAATAAACAATATATATATATATATACACAACTAAGAAGAAAAATAAAGAATAACGGACGGATTAGCACGAAAAAAAAGGCGTTCAGTCAACGTAACATTGAACACGTAAAAGACGCATCATTTTACACAGATTATATCGGTAATTCTAGGTCACATGAAGAAAAAAAAAAGAGTCGATGAATTTATTACGCATGTAAACAATACGTAAAATGTCTCTTAACTAACAAATTTGATCTGAACGGAATAAAGAACATTCTTTAATCCGACTGGAAGGTAATTTTGGAGTTACAAAAAAAAAATACACATACAATCGGAAGGAAAAAGGAAACCACTGATTTCATAGCAGACTCTGATTATAATAAACAACAATTACAACATGGTGTTTTACTGCCTTTGTCTAAGGCTACTTTAGCTGCATATTCAAATACTTCTCTAACACCTTGTCTCGTTTTTGCTGAACATTCTAAATAATTTCTTGCACCAATTCGTTTTGCACATAATAATGCATCTTCTGTCGTTATCACTTTTTGATTTAACTGTTTAATTCTTTCATGTACAGCAGAATCGTCTTTTAAATCACATTTATTTGCAATTAATAATATTGGAACATTTCGACAATGATATTTAACTTCAGGTGCCCATTTATCACCGACACATGTTAAACTATCTGGCGAATCAAATGCAAAACATACTAGGACAACTTGAGTATTGGGATAGCCAAGAACACGTAATCTAAACAAAAAAGGATAAAGTCCATAGATAAAAGAATGAAATGCAAAAAAGAAATCAATAATCATCAAATGAAATTTACCGTGCATATTCTTCTTGTCCGGCAGTATCTATTAGTAAAAGTTCAATACGTTTATTGTCTACTTCGATAATATGAGTATTTCCTTCGAATAATGTTGGAACATAATCTTGACAAAATCGATCATCTTTAAATGCATACAATAACGATGTTTTTCCAACATTTCCATTACCGACAACGACTAATTTTTTACGATCTAAATCTTCTGTCATATTTAATGGATAAGACAATCTTAAAGGATAAAACTATTTCTAAGCCAAATTTATTTGCATTTACTAAAATGAAATAAGAAAAAAAAACTAATAATATATTAGCTTATAAGTTTCAGTCATTTTTGTCATAATAAAAGATTTTTTAATTGAAATGGTCAATCTAGAAACTTACGGAATCGCGGAAATCTTCTTTCATCTTTAAATAGAGATGATAACAATGAAGAATTAAAGTTACAATTATATGCTGAATTTTCACACATTTCTTATTTCTTCTTCTTTTCTTTTTATCAAAGAAGAGGATATGTTCTTTTTTCTTGAATCTGAGAATACACCATACAACACAAAACGCGTCAAAGCTCACATATCATCTATTTCTATTAGAACAAACTTTTCTTCTTTTTTTTTTTAACAAAAAAAATATATATTTATATATAAAAAAACGTGTGAATAATATGTGTGAGAAAAATCAAGTTTTAATAACGCTTCATCAACTATACACGAAATCTATTAAATGCAATCGATGTTTATTCTACTCTTTTGGAAAAAAAATTATCGAAATAAAGATATTTTTTCTACATACAGAGAATAACTCGTTACCTACGTCAATTCGTATATGAACGGAAAAAAAACATAAAATTGTTTTATTCTGGTATTAGAATTGAGGAAAATATGTATGTGTGTGTGTGTGTGTTTTTATTGCACGTTAAATCTTACGTATTAGGAGAAAAAAAAAAAAAGAAGGAATTTAATCCCTCCCTCACCGGTTTTGGTCGCATGAAAGCACGTAAAGCTCATTATCGAAATTAATAAACCATGTAGAAAGGAAGAAGAAGATTCTAAAACACTTTTGTCCTTTAAATAAAAAAAAAACATCTGCTTAAAATCTCAAAAAGATAAAACTCTCTCTCTCTCTCTCTCTTTCTCTTTCTCTTTCTCTTTTGGCTCGGTATAAAATACACATTGTATATTATTCTTCAACATATATCTGTTTCTCTTACCTTCAACTATTGACAAGTAGAAGAAGAAAATAAAAAGAAGAAAGAGAAAATAGCCATGGTAGTATTGCTCGTTACAATAGTTATACAGATTTTTTTAGAAAATAAAAAATAAAAAAAGGGTAATAAAAAAAAAACCTTTAATGTAAATATTTTTCTCCTAATAAATACTAGTAATCATTCTCTCTTCCCACATATATCAATAACAAATAATATTACAATGTAACAGAAGAAAAAATAATAGAATGACATTTTAGAATGTGATGTTTGAACAAACTAAGTGCTTTCAATCTGCTAAAATAGATACGAAATTAAACTATCTTTAGAGATCAATGACATTAGAAAAATCAAATAAAAAAAGAAATGAAAGAAGAAAAAAACAACGCAATATTTCGAAACTATATTAAGTCAGATATATATATATATATATATGATTGAGATTGAGATATTTAAAATAGATGTGTGAGTTCAATTTAAATAAACAATATGAAAAAGGATTTCTATTTTTTATTTTTTTTACTTCATTTATTAGAAGAAAATATATTTCGACACATCTATAGTTTTTAACGTGATGTTTTTTTTTATATAATCAGTTTAAATAGAGAACAAAACAAATACAGATGGTGTCAAGTAGAAGAGGTGAGAAATATTTTTAAAAAAAAAACAAATTTCACAAAATTCAGAATTAATCACTAAAACATATTTGTATTCTGTTGTAAGAAAATTTGTTAACATGTCATATTTTTAATATTTTTCAAAAGGTTAATTAATTACTATGAACATAAATGAATTATTTTCTATTATTTAAGGAGAATATAATTCTATTATTTGTTGTTAAATTAAAATAAAAGTGTAAAATTTTTTTTTTTTTTACATCTGACTTGTGAATAATGATAGATTATTTGTTTTATTTTTTGTCTTTATTCGAATTAAAAGAAATAGAAAACGCTTATTTCACCATATGACATCAACAATATTGATATTAGTCATAGTATTATAATGAACATTGAAAAACAAAGAGAATAAAGTAAAATTTTTATTTTCTTATTTAGTCTTTTTGTTTTTTGTTTTCGTATTATCTAACAATGAACAATTTGACAGTTATAGACTAATTGAAGCGTGTCTTGTACAATATATGTTAAAATGAGACAATAAAAACAAAAAAAAAAACGTGTTAAAATCACCATCATATGAATAATGAATGACAGGTGTGATTGTGAAACTAAATATAGAATAGATGTAAGTTAAAATTATAATTTTAATAATTATGTATTTAAATATTCTTCAGTTTTTTTCATTTATATGAATAGAATAAATGACATACTTCTCATAATTGATTTGATAGTGTTTGCATGACTCGATTGACAAAGTTAAACAAACAACACAATGATAGATGATCGTCTTATGCAAATGATATAAAATAACGAGTCGCATACACACACACACACACGCATATAAAAAAAGAAGAAGAGAAGAAGTCTTATTATACATCCTTGTCTTTCGATCTTAATTAAACATGCAAAACGATTCATTTACTTCGTATAAAGTTTTCAATATCTCAAATAATAGATTTTTAACTATTCACTCTCTATTCTTATCCTCTTATCTGAGCTTCACTTTAATGAACATAAACCGTCTATTCTTTTTTTTAAAAATGTTTTGTATTTTTACGTTGTCTATTATCAACTTCTCTAAATATTGACGTTTGATGTAGAAGAAAGAAGTAGATCTAGTTTTTTTTTCATTACAGAAAATACACGTTAAAAAATGAACAAAAAATTTTGCATTTTTTTTTTTTTGTTTTTTGTCTTTTAGAAGTATGGGTAGTCTCCTCTCTATTCATAGTAAATGAGAAGAACGAAAAAAAAAAACCAGAAATCGAGAAAGAGAATCATGACTTCAGGTTTCTTAATATAGTTGATATATCACAAGTAACTTATAATTGAGCGACACATTTTCCTTTTTTTTTCAATTAGCATTATTTCTCTAAACAGGAATGGATAGGCGTGTTAATAAGCATAGTCGGTAGAAACAAAGATTTTCAGTTGTCAATCTATAAATATATGACAATGTCAAAACGCAAACTAGAAACTAAAACTAATCTAAACTTTGCACTACAGGCTATACTCTGAAGTCATTGACACAATTAACTATTTTTTGAAACAATATAGACTTTTACTATTCACACTATATATATATATATATACACTATCTGACTATCAATGATCTACAAGAACTTCACTTTAGAAGTATCATCTACATTGCTTATGTATAAGACTCAGTTTTTCTTCAAATCTGTAGCAAAAAAAACCAACGAATGTTTTAGTTGAAATTTCCATTAAACTTAATGAACAAACATTTTTCTTCATGAATAAAACAATAAAGAATAATTCAAAAAAGAGATATAAATGAAACGAATAGTTGTACTTATCCAAACTCACTTATGGGGATCGTGTCTAATTTTATCAAAAATTGTCGATAAATCGCGATTTATCAACTAAGCACGCTTAATCGATGGAATTTTTGAATACTGCGATTTGAAAAAAGCCGTTTGATCGAATTATTTAAGAAAATCAACAGTTGAACAGTTCATTTTTCATGACTTATTAAAGTGTAAACTTTGACTAAGTCTAAGTATTTTTTCGATGGTGTACGAGAGATACTCTGAATGGCTAAAAAGTATTACTCAAACTTAAAACTCTATCGATATGGTATCATTGTGAATAGATGGGCTTCATCGCTACCCCATGAGATTTTTGTTTGGTTGGTCGGCTAAACCGTGAAATCACAGTTTTAATCGCAGTCGACATGAGCTGTGACGGATCGATTAGCCGATCAACCAAACAAAAACGTGATGGGTACGAAACATGTTGAAGTTCAAAATTCAAAAAAAATTGAAATAAGACGATCAAAAAAGAAAAAAAATATTCAGACTAACGTTAGCACTGGATAGCGTTTGTTCGTCGAAAAAAAACTGCCAATTAACCTCGTTTAACTAGTAAAAAAACTAATCGGTTCGGTGGTACCAATTGACGTAATTTCTTCAATAGTAAGTGGTTTCTTTTACTAAGAAGACAAATAGTTGAAAACAACAGGAAACCATTAGTTTAGTGTTGTATTCGATCTATCTTCTCTTTTGTAAGACAATACTCAATATTATTCACCACATTTTAGTATCAAAATTAGTTTAGATGTTTCTCTTTCTTCAATGAAAGTCCAATATTGTGGCCATTGAGAAGCATAATGATCAATGATTAATAATGGCTAAGTATAGTAAAAAATATTTGGTTCAAAGCTCACCACAACTTGAATCCAGCATATGACAAAATAATTAGTTGTGTGAAAAAAAAAGAGCAACTAATTCTATTTGTTTTAAAGATACGCATACATACGCCTTTTGACATAAATATAAAGAAAATTTAATATATCTATATAAGATATTTATCTGTTTCATACCCTTCAGGGGACAAAGATCTGAACTATCCACACATATATATTGATCAAATGCCTTCTTTATAAATTTTTTGTTTTCTATATTTATCATAATCATCAAAAAAAACAAGAATCATCTATTTCTCATTCAATAAACGAACTGCTGTTATTTTCTCCTTTTTTTATTTAAACAGAGAGAAGAAAAGAAAAGAAAAGAAAAGAAAAGAAAAGAAAAGAAAAGAAAAGAAAAGAAAAGAAAAGAAAAGAAAAGAAAAGAAAATGATATTGTAGTGGAATGATGCTATCATTAAACTTGAAAAACCAGTTATGATCTTTAATCAACTTCCTGACTTATTCTTATTTATCGACATTGACACTAGTAATGATAAGATAGATTTGACTTTTTGTTTATCGCGATTTATTATCATTAACAATACAATATATTATATACAGTAAAAACAGGAAATTATATCTCATCAAACATAGCTGATCAAATTTCTTATGAGATTGTGTAAAATAAGACTGTTCTTACACTGTTGCCGTTATTCATGTGAGATAGAAAAAAAAAAGTCAATTCGATATCTTCTTTAAAGAGAGAAAGTAAATCATCAAATTTTACAGTAAAAAAAAAAAATAGTGGCATGTATCGTATGTACTCTGTGTTATTCTTTTTGTTAACTTAATCGATTTATTATATCGATACTATTTATCTTAATATCTCTAGAGAAATAAAAACTGATCAGCGTCAAATAAAACCTCGTTCTTGCAAAAGTTATACAAACCCAGAATATTTTTGTATTATCCACATCAATATTATTACGGACCCTCGTAAGAAATAAACTGTAAATTTTCTTTGAAACTTGAATATTAAATTTTACAGGTATTTAAACAGTCTAAACTTTGAGATACTACTACAATCAATTTCAAAGTTATTAAAGATATTTTGAAAAGTTATTTGGAATTCTACAATGAATTTTTTTTATTTTTTTTGTTGAAAAACTTTAACCTTTTTATCCGAACTAATTTAGAAAAATGTAAAATAAGAATTTGGAATGAATAAAAAACTTATTCATAGGATGATCTGCGATTTCTGAAAGTTAAGTAGGAATTTGTTTTCATAATGTAGAAAAGAAATTATTTTTATAGAAAAAGTAATAAATGATTAATTATAGTTTCTTCTGTCAGAACCAGATGTAAAAAAGACAGTAAAATATGACAAAGTTTTCATACAATAGATCAACCTTTAAAAAAATAACACATTAATTCGGTATACACTGTTAAAGTGACGGAAGCCGTCGTTTTTTTTGTTTTTTGATCTAGAAAAACATGCTAAAATAAAAAAACGAGAAAAATATATTGCTGACAAAAATGCAAATTGAAATCTTAACTTCTGAAAGCTTATTTTCATGAAAGATAAAATGACATAGGAAAAAGGAAATAGATCAGTTTTGACCACATAATAAAAAAAAAAATATATATATATATGTCAATTTATGAGTTTCAGATCGATATGAAGAGATCTGAATATATTTATTCCTTTTCATTTTTACACATTTGACCTAACATGTAATAGAATAAAAAACAAAAAATCGATCACGATCAAATTATTATGATGAGCAAAAAAAAACACAATAGTACAGATGATTTTGTCAAATTTGACTTACCGATTATTTTTGCATCATTTACCAATTTTAAAAAGTGAATTTGTGAATGTAAATGTCTACTATCCAAGAATCATATTGATCGTTCATATTCTAGATAAAAGAAAAGAAAAAAAATATTTATATTCCACTACCTATGACAAAAAACATTGACACACAATCATATACACACTCACTATATTAATATAATACATATTCATAGAACAAAAACAACAAAAAAAAAAAAAGAAAAGAAAAAGAAAAGGAGCACGACACTCTCATAGTATAGTACGAACTACTAATAGGAAAGAAAAAAAGGAAATTTTATCTTATATAATAGTGTTGCCACTCGATGTTCTACTTTTTTTTTAATTTAGTTTTTTTTCTTTTCTTTAATGATTATTATTATTATTATTATTATTATTAGGAATAGCAGAACTATAAAAAGAAAACTCCGACAAATTTATAGGACGAAAGAATCATGTTTAACATGAATATTATACTATTCGTAGACCTTGATCCGTTAGAATTGCAAATGACATTAAAAGATAAAAATTTTTGTGTCTTTATCAAAATACAGAAAAAGTCTTGAGATCCTGAATATCAAGATGTTCAATTATGCATTCCTCTTAAATTGTCTTACATAAAACTCTTCGTATTTGCTCTATTACTCATTGTTGAAATGAACAACTGTTGTGTATGTTGTTTATTTTTTTGATGTTATTTTTACCTTAGTAGTCATTTTAAGTTGAAGGTTGTCAATTGTTATAGAAATTTTTTTGTTTTTTAAAGTTGAATCGAATGCTTTTGGTTCAAGTGTTGTATTATAACCAATTATCAGATACTTCACAATAATTCATTGTCAAAATAGTACCATATATTTTTCTCACATGATTATTTCTAAAAGCGCAGATAAATTAAAATTATTATATAAAATATGTATCTAAATGAATAGATACCTTTTCAGATTGTTTTGTTATATCATCATCGATCCATTTCAAATATAGTGTATATCAACAAAATAGATGACAAAATGTTTCTGTACTAAACCGCATTTTTACTGCATGTTTATTACAAAATTTAATTTGACTATATAAAATAAATAGATTTCTAAAAAAAAATTTATTAAAAACAAGAAATAGTTCATTTTCTTCTTAATCTTTTCACTATAATTTTCTCATCATCATCAATGATTGATCGTTTTCTATTATTATCATCTAATTTTTTAAGAATATTCAATTTTATTTCTAACATTTTAACTTCATCCAAATGATTATGTTTAGTAAAAAATTCTAATAATTCTTCATAACGTTTTTTGATATTAAATTTTGTTAATGTTACCAATTTTCTTAAATCAACTGGACACAAAAACATGGGTTGTGAAAAATCTTCTTCTAAATGACCACTACCATTCATTAAACATGACCAATAGATACAATGACCAATACCAAATAAATGATTAATTTCATGTGTAAGTAATCGACAAGATCTCAATCGTAATTGTTCACGACGTATTGTTTCTTCAACAGATTTTTTTTTAAAATAAAACCAATCACTATCATTAAATGTTAAACATGGATCATAACGAAAAAATGAAAATGCAGCAATATGAGAATTTCCCTCTGCTAAACCAGCAATAAATAAATCAGAATCATCCAGATATAAATCATACATTGTCAATGCTACTAAACATCGAGCATCTTTGGGAACAACACGTTTTAATAATTTTAATATACTTGTCACACATATTTGTGAATGATGAGTAGATTTATTATAACGAGTATGAAGATTTATTGAATTTTTGTTTTTATCCATTGTGCCTAAAAAAGAAAAAAAGAAAACGTTTATTAGCGTATACAAAAAAATATATACACGAGCATAAACAAGTGGATGAAGGTGACTGCCATTCTACTTTCTAAGATCTTTTATTTAATTACACAAGAATTTAATGAATAACAACCTTCGCTGTTCAGTAATGTATATAGAATACCCTATTTATCTTATTAGTTGGGTGCAGAAGATATAAATGCTTGAAATATTCACCACATTTAAATTCAAATTCAATCAATTTATTATCAAAGAAAAAAACAAAACATCAGAAATTATTTCCCCTTTCTATACACAATGTGAAAATGTTTGCTTCTGCCCTGTTCTGAAGGTCGCGATACGCCCCTGAAGAGATATTATTTGATAGAAAAATAAAATGCTACGTACAACTCCAAACACGTTTCTTATCGTCCCATTCAACATTGGAAAATAGTGCTATTAATTTAACCGATACTCCAAAAAATATCTTTGTATAATCAACAAGACTTTCAATATCGAATATATTTTCGTCAATTTTGCCAAAAATTGTTAAATAAATCGTTTTTTCATCAAATGGTTTAGCATTGAAGAATTTCGAATGAACAAACGGGCATTCTTTAAGAAATTTTTCGTATGTTTGACCATGTTCATTATAGTTTGCAAGCCAATCATTTTCATTAGTTGGTTTGGATAATGGTAAAAAGCTCGAACAAAATTCATCAGTGAAAACATTATTAGATTCATCTAACTTGCCCAATGCATTCTGTATTGCGATGCTATCAGGTGGACGAAAACCGCGTACTAAATAATAAACAAAAAATATTTAGTAATAAACAAAAAGAAACTATGAATGTTACGCCTTTTACCATAGCCTAATGGTTTCTTTCGATGATCTCTAGACATATTTCACTTTTGAGTCAATCTAAAATAGACATGCTCAGTTACTGTTAGATTAAAATATGATATTGGAAAAAAAAAGGAATTCTTATTTTTTCTATAAAGTTTCAAAAAGTTGGGTAATTAGTTTACTCTAGAAAGGAAATATGAATCATTCAATACTATTTTCTTTCTGTTTCTGTTGAAATAAAAATAAATATGATTGGTCGAGTTATGGTGTTTCTTCACTCTCATTATTTGTTTGAATTTCTAACTTCATTCTTAGTTTCTATTAAACTCCTTTAGATATTCATCGCATACACAAATAATAAATAGTTTTCTAGTTTTAAAAAATATATTTATGAAGTGTATATTTCTTTATCACGTCATCAATTTTGAGTCAATTTTTGATTTCCCCTTAACATCACTATTTTCCTCGATGGATATTAACCGATATACCATAAAGAATGAGTCACACTGTAATTTATTTATAGTTTCGTCACAAATTATTTTATTTCTAAAATCTTCTTTTTGTACTAAAAGAGTCAATGTCAAGTTCTCTTCAAAAATATGTTGACTACTTTATTGAAGAATGGAAAAAAAATTTCTTGCTCAAAACTTCTTCAGCAAAGTTACCATATGGAACCAAATGTAAGACGGTGTCGAAAATACTTTCTAAAGTACCCCAATCCAGAAGTTATGGCGTAGAAGATAATCGACCATGAAGAAGACGAATCTGCAGTCGGTTTTGACCGAACGAGCTTTTAAAATTTCTCGATCCCGTGATATGAATTAGTTGCATCCGACTACATTATCTGATGTACTCTTTCCACAAAATTCGTAAGTCTAACTTCCGAACTTTTCGACTGAGATTTTTGATAAAAAATCAAAATTATCCCGAAATCCTGGAAAGCACATCAGTCAATTCAGTTTTTGATGCTGATTCGAAATATGACATTGGTTTTGCAAAAAAAAAAAAAATGAAAGTTTGACAGCGAAAACTGCAAAATACGAGTACGTTTTCTTGATTTTTGCTACCTATGATGAAAGAACTCGTGAAAACTTTAAATTTTTTTATGATCATATAATATCCGTCATTCTTCATGAACAGACAAAATGATGTCATGGGTTTTTCCTCTTTCTTTTTGTACTGTTCTTATATTTATTTTTAACATAATCCTTTTTCTTCTTGCCTTCTTACTAAATAAAGCTTATAACAATAGCCGTATAACCTTAAAAGTGTATTTTTTAGATTCAATTTTTAACACAGAATAAGAAAATAATAGTTTTAATGTTATGAAACAACAGATAAACCAGAGTTTTCTGTTTGTCTTTAAAATTTAGGCTATTTTTTCACTATTTTAAAAATTTCAGTTTTTTTAAAATTTTTGACGTTAAAGGAATTTTTTCAACGAATAAAACCTACATATTCTGATTCAGTTCGTTGAGCTCTATCTAACCATGTATAAATTTTACAAAAATAAAAAAGCGTGCAAATTTTGAATTTCCGACGCGTTACCTATATTAAAATCTTTAGAAAAACAACGAAGTTTCAATCTTGTCACTTAGCATATGGGAAAAAAGAAAGTTTTGACGCTTTTCGTATTCTGATATAATAGACATGTTGTTTTTCAAATTAAAAGTAACCAGAGCCGAAAACGTTTAATTTTAAGTACCTTATAAGGATTTTAACTGATGACTTGAAAGTGTCCTCTACGATTTTTGGTCAACAAGAAAAAGGAAAACGTTTCTTATCTAATCAGTTGTAACATGAGAATATTTTAGTTGTAAGTAGAAGATAGAGCTTTTAAAGGGCTACAAAATATTCCGTGCTCATTGTTAAAAGACATCCAAATTGGCTCTATAGAAAGTGTATTACCATCGAAGTTTTTTCAAACTACGTTGGGAAACAATTGCAAGTGAAACGAAAGAGAACTCTGCTCTATAATCACTAATTTAATTGAACCGTACGCATTATCGTTTGACCAACCAGAAATACGGACAATACTTAGTTGAGAACAATTTTTCAAATGAAAGAGAAAGATAAAAAAAACTACTATACAATAAAACAAAAATAGGTTAATTGGGAACATGATTTGTTCATTCAACCACGATTATCTGACAAATATTAGTTGAGTGTTACATATACACACACACACACCTTTAGAAGCCGTTATTTTCATCATTTTCATCTTCATCACTGACAATCCGTCGTGTTGATCGCGCTCTGCTCGATGTAGTTGCACTTGTTCGAGAACTTGTTGTAGCTACCGTTGTAGATTGTCGTTTTAATGATGATGATCTTGGTTGATCATTTTCTTTTTCCGGTTCATCATCTAAATCATTCAGAATAAGTTGATCCCATTCTTGTTTACATGATGGACAAGACATTTTTGATTTTTGCATTGATAAATTTTTAAAATATTTAACACCACATGAACGATGTAGAAAACATGAACAATTTGGACATCTAAGACCTCGTAATAATAATCGTGAACATAATTTACATGCATATACCTCATCTTTATATGTATCAGTAATAAATGAACTCATTTCTGTTATAGCACGAATATGTAAAATAATTAAATTATCAGCATCTCGTCCACGACCACTTTCAATCCATTTTTCTTTTCGAAATCGTGTAATAACATCATTAAAATCATTTTTTGTTATTTTTAAACCATTTCCTAAAACCGCTTCAAATATTTCACGTGTTGTTGTTGAATGTGAATCATTTAATAATATTAATTCTAACATTTTCTCAAATATTGCTGCTTCCTTTTCTGTATACGATACATCCATTTTAGCAAATATTGGTTTCAAATTTTGTACACAACAATAATATACATCATTTTCATATTCTTCACTGTGTACACATTTTATATCAAATCCATAGGGATTAATATTTTCATTTATTTTTGGTAAATATTGATTTGTAAATATTTTAATTTCATCGTTTGCTTTTATTTTTAAATCATAACGATCACGTAATGATTCGAGTAATTCAATTAATTCTTGTTCAGATAAAGCACCATGATGTAAAAAATATTGAACTAGTTGTTGTAAAGTCTCATTGAGAACCATTTTATGTAAGTTTATCAAAACAATCTGAAATAAAATAAATGAAACAATGATGTATTATATACATGGAAAGAAAAAAAATTGAATATTTCAAGAATAAAAAGTTAAGATTTCTTTTTAAACATAAATTTAAAACAACGAATGCTTTTCAAAGTTTAATCAACAGAGTAAATGGATATGCAACTATGTTGAGTAAAAAATTAACTCAAATGTGAAAAAAAGAAAATTTATTATTGATTATACAATCTTTAGCTGTAAGTTGTCTGCTACTATCAAATTTTTTTTCTTAATAATTGTATAAAATCTATTTTGTTATTTGATTCATCTTATTAAATAATATTATTGACAAAATAATTAATTTTAATAAGATTGATACAACATAATTGAATACAACTATTAGTAACTTAATATTTTTTTTTTCACTTTCGAAAATAATATAAGAATTTGATCGCTCGTTTCTAAATGTTGAACGATCATAATAATTACCAAACTACAATTATTTTTATCATTTTATTTATTTGTAGATGTCATCATTTTGGTTAAAACATTTTCAACGTATGAATGAATGGATATTCAATGAAGTTTCTAACAATAGATAAATAATATTATAAACTGAACAATATTGAAATATGTTACATTCGCAAAATCGATTTGACTTTCGTATCACGATAATATTTGAAATTTAAACGTATCTGCAAATTCTTATTTTAAAACTTTGTACCATTTCAATGAACTCTCTATGTCAAGTTGTCTCATGGAGATAGCGTAGAGAAAGCTGATTTTTCGAAAAAAATTTGATTTCGTTGAAAATATCAGTTTACAAAGTATTCTGATATTTGTTGTAGTAAATAAGAATTTTTCAAACTAATTCATTCGTGAAATTTAAATCATTCAGTACTTTAACCTATTGTCCACAACTTTAAGTATAAACAAACAGAAAAATGTGATTATAATCAAGGGAATAGAAATTTTTTGACTAAATAGCTCAAAAATAATATAACGTTATCTGTGTTCATCTTTGACTCTCTGTATTCGCAGTATGCGCGACAAATATAAGTACACCAACATATGACTTTTGAGATGATGAATAGTAGAAACGAATGTACAATTATGTGTCTTTAAAGCAATATCATTCGTTCTTTTGTCTGTTGTACTCACCTTCGATTCGGCACAAGAGCCAAATCTGGTGAGGTGGGATGTATACGATAACTGATTTATTTTAACATATTCAATATTTTCTCAAAAAAGAAAGAACAAATTAATTTTCATTTAAAGCAGATCTTCTAATAAACGATATTGATAAAATTCAATTCCATATTAATATATTCATCCGCTCTACATTCTGCTCTTTTCTTTTGCCAATAAACAATCTGCATATGATTTCTATTTTTTAATTTTTTAAATAAACATTCAAACATGTTGAATCCACAAAAAAATGATTAAGATTTATTTATACATCATGCAAAAAAAAAAAAATGATAGTTTCAAAACAAGATTTTCCAAAGAAAGAAGCATGTGTGTGTTTGTATGTGTGCAAATGTTAGGGTAAAAAAAAATGATGGACTCTATCTTTTATACGAAACAAAAACAACCATATCAAAAATGTAATAAGAGAAGTGAATACACCTAACAATACGATTAAATAACAAAAATGACTGAAAGATTTAGGATAAAATGAATCAAATTATTAAGAACTAGCCATTTGTTCCTATTGAAAGCAGCTTCTTTTAGAAGAAATCGTATTCTGAAAGACACACTCTTTTTAATTCGTTTTTTAGAATATCTCGTCAGGTAATCACAAACATAAGGCGCTGTATGTTATGAAGACCTTTAGGTAACTACAGATCTGTTCTATTTATATATCTATAGTAGAAAGACTAGAAAGGTGGTGACTAGTAACAGTTTTAACAAACAAGACGGCAAAAAACTTATTATTTTTTAAAATATAAAAAGATGAGATAAAAGAGAACTTGCCGATTTTCTCAAATGTATATACGAAAAGGAATGACTATATAATAAAAACTAGAGTGAAAAAAGAGATTTTTTTAGATTAGTGAATGTATGTTGCAGACCAACCCATTTTAGACTAGAAATAAGTGACTATGTGCGAATGGGCATATATCTGATTATTCAATAATATTTATGTTTGTATGATAAATAGGCTTTGAGATTTTCTGGCAAAAATAAATTTTGAACATGTTTTTGATCGACATATCGTAGAATATGTCTTCGTGTTATCTCTTTTAATGTTACACAGGTATAAGGAAGTGAATATAATTCAACAATACGAACATTCACCGATGGTTCAATATTTTTTAACACGGCCAATGTCGAACCACAATTTGATAATGATGGATAAATATTAAATAAAAGTGAAAATTCATTAGTAAACACATATGATGAAAGAAATGGGCCTCGATAATCGATAATACTTCGTGTATGCAAAAGTGTTGAAGAATTTAAAATATATAAGAAGTAATTACGTTTAACACGTTGAAATATTGGTAATGTACATAGGACAATAATCAAATAACCATCATTGGTATATTCGACTCGATAGACTTTTGTTTTTAACGTATGATTTGAACAGACAAGAACACGATCTTGTTTTATATCCGTTATTTGTCCACGAACAGTGTCAAATTCAGCTAAACGAGAATGACCATATCGTGGATCGAATGCAAAACGTTGATCATAACCTGCAAAAAAAAGTTAAAAAAATAAAATTATCGTTTGAAAGAAACATAATAGTAATTTTATACATACGAGCTGGCGTAATCCTCAAAATTGTAAAATATTTTACATTCAGTATGATTGTAACATCACTGTGTGTTTGGTGACTGTACGAATGTTTATCTTCATAATCGGGAGTTATTAATAAATGTGAGTGATCAGGAGATATCAAACATGTATAAGAACGAGCATTAAAACGATGTTGTAATGAATTTACTTTTCGAACAATGCGATTATTCAGTGTGGTAGTGACAGTTGTTGGAGAAGACTGACGTGTGGACACATCTGACCATGATGTACACGAAGAGGAAGTATGGTGCGGACATGTTAATGATGCCAGATAGGGCGTCGAACGATGATTTTGTGAAGGACAATTGGATGGTTTTGTTATTACGGTTAATAATTCATTGGTATTCGATAATGAATACGAACGAGTATTATTTGCCGAAGAATTCCTAAAATATCAAAAGTCAGTTTTTCTTCTAATTATTATAGGAACACAATAATACACACTTCTCTTAATGCAAATAGAATCTATCGCCTACAGACTAAATCTAGGCTATTAGTTTCGAAAAAGCTTACGTACCTATTATTATTTGTCGTATTTGATAATGAGATTAGTTTGCGTGGACAGGAACTAAATCTTAAAAGACTATGTGGTGAAAAACGAGAATTATTATTTGTTACTGTTGAAGTTGATCGTTGAACATTTGGACTTATCGAACAATTAAGATTCGATGAGCCTACTGTAAGTGTACAACGAGCTGAACCGGTTAAAAAGGAAGCTTTTCGTATATTATCAATGGCATAAAATTGTTTATTAATATCCATCGTTTGATTTGCATCATCAAGATCATCTGTTGTACTACTGAAAGTAGCATTTAACATTGAAAATGATTTGAATGATAAACTACGTGCATCGGTATTATGAACATGATAAGCGCTCAATGACGCTGACTGCATTAATGCACTGTGTCGATTTATCGGAGGGGTAGCAGATACAATAATTTCTTTTTTTGGTTTAGGTAAACGAACTGATGGTGATTGACAACGAATGTTACTCTGATTACATGTACATTTGAGATCTTTTTTTGCTGTAGACTCAATAGAATAATCGAATATAAATATTTCAACTTCATTATTGCCTTTCCATAACTGAAATACAATAAATTCATCACAACAACCAATCACGCGATTTAAACGTAATATACGATCTCGAATGGCATTATCATTCGTTCGATAACGTTCAATATTCGACGGAATTGTTAAAATAATATCATCTTGACCATATTCACTCAGAATAAATTGAGAATCACCAAGTCGTGTTAATGTTTTAAAAAAACGTCCATTTATATAGTAAATTGGCTTTTGTAATTGTTCTTTTTCAACAAGAGACGCTGATGAACATGAAATTCCATTGACGGAATTAGACAATTGCGAAGAAGACAGAGATGATCCGACTGGTGCACCAGATAGTTGTAAATCGCGATCATTATTTGAAAATCGATTTCTTGGATTAGTTGTTTTTGAAAAAGTATTATCAGTTGATGGTATAGACGATGTTGGGGTTAATGACGAAGAAACAAACGATGAAGAGAGAGAGCTCGAAGATAAGTTTGATGATGTTGGAGTATTAACATTTAGATCATCAGTATTCGTTGAAAATGGATTAAATTGTTTAAAATGTCCCCATCGTTTAGCTTCAGAATATAGCCAACGTTCATAAGGTATTACGGTAATCTTACGCGACTGTGAACAAGTTTGGACACCAGATTGTTTTTTATAAATAATTCCGTTGCCCATTTTTACGGGGCACGAGGAATAAACGTCTAAACAATTGAAACAAAGGATTTTATTTATCATGATCACAGTTGTACCACAGATTATTTCTTACTAACACTTATTAAAAGATGCGATAGAAAAAATTTTGTATTAGTAAAACTGATCGAAACATAAGAAATAAGTTCATTATTTTATTATTAAATTGAACATTGAAAGTCTTTTTGAGAGAAAAAATACACACACAGCACACTTAAGAGGAAAAAAGTGAACAAGAAATAATAATAAGAAGAATGAAAAACATCGACGAACAAATTATACACAACATATATAGAAAGAGGGAGAAGAAAAAAAATATCATTCTAGTGGAGACAAAACAAAACGCACAACACACCAAGGCACATCTTTATGTAGTTAAATATATAAATACGATGAATCAAAACTGAATACTATTGAAAACAACAAATTTTAGTCAATGTGAAAAAAACCATATACAAATGCATGGACGAAACATCTGATCACACATTTCGTCCCGACGGCCAGAGTATATTATAGATGAAAATAGGTTAAGTTTTAGTAGTATAAATACGAAAAGGAACAAAAGAACAGAACTGCAGTTAGACCATTTAAACGGCAATATACTCTTAAAATAATGTCCTCAGCTGTTATCAATATACCATTGGTCGCTTAATAATCCAACATACAAAACGCGCATGCAAAATATAAATAAGATGTATATCTTCAATAAAAAACAAACAAATACCGACACACACTCGCACAAGGTGTTGAGACTAGAGTGATTCTTTAAAAACATAATGTCATTTTACAATAATAAAAATGAGAGACAAAAGAACAAGAAAGTTGATTGCACACACACCACAACAAAGATTACGAAACATTGATAAAAATAAACAGCAAAGCGAGGCAAGTGTGTGTCAGATAACACGGAAAACAAAAAGAATCAGATCAATAAAACGCAAGAACTTGAGTTTGTGTCAAGGTTTAAAAAAAAGCAAAGGATGAAGAAGAAGAAGAAGAAGAAGAAGCAGTCGATAAGAAAATTACGAACGATTACTGTTAATAGTTTAATATAGGAACAATATTTCGCTCAGAGAATAATGCTATAATAGTGTCAAACAAACTTTCAACAAGACTAAACTATCATAGAAAAAAAATCGCGATTTAAACCTAACATGAGAATAATATGTAAACATAACCTGAGATGATTGTAATCATAGAAAAAATGAGTATCATATCATCATCATCTTTGCAACGAAAAAGAAAAAACAAATAAAAACAAACAAATTTTGTTCCCATATCACAATACGCAAAATGAAAACAAAGAAAAAGTAGAAAAAATGTTAAGGACGCGCAACAGACAATATGGTAGTTGCTGTTGCGCCAAAATTTGATGAACTGTTTGTTAATAAATGACTGACGCTTGGTAGCAATGATGAATTTGTTGTTGTTGACGCAATAGTTTTTGATGTAGAAACAAAATCGAATGTATCATGTAGTTTTTTATCATCAAATAATGATGGCAAAAGAGTTTTAGATGATGTTGTTATATCACCTAATAACGGTTCAAAGTCAAAATTAACATCATCAAATGTTGTATTGAAATCATCGTTTAATAATAAATTATTTAAATTACTATCATTTATTTGCCACGATGAATTATTTAAACTAAAATCAAATGAATTTAAATCGGCAATAGTTGAAGACGGCGCAATAATTGATTGTGCTTGCCAATTATCTTGATTGGTTTCGACTGGTAGAGGTGCTTGTGCTATTGTTGTTGTTATTGTAGAATTACCATCTAAAGATGATGTTATCATCACATCTTGATTAGTTTTTTTCACTTTTGATTTTTTATTTCCAGTTGCTGGCGGTCGCCGTGGTTTTGCATTTGTGACTTTTATTGGGCTATTTTTATTCGTTGTACGTACAGATTTTAATAAATTATGTCCACAATCATCTTCATTCAAAGGATTAGTCATATTTCCATTTTCAAGACGATTTATTGTATCAATTAAATTATCGACTCCAAGCGGTGATGGATTTAAACCTTTGAGTAACGTTCGAAGAGTTTTCGGCTCTACTGGACCGTTTAATAGATAACAATTGCCACTGTCATCGCTATTTGTTTGTTTGATCGTTGTGTTTGATACAGAAGAAGAATGGTTATAATTATTGCTACCAGGTATTGATAAATCTTGGACAAAAAAAACAAGAATCATTTTAGAAAGATTGCATTATGCTGCATTAAGGGTCAAACTTAGCCTCGCTTATACCTACTGCATGGTAGAAGAAAACAGATTTACACTGCTAAGCTTAACTTACCTGTTCGTGACTGTGACATCCCACTATTCTCTGTCAAAGCTGTTTGTGTTAACATCGTCGACGGTGTATCCAGCGATAAACGTTTCTGCTGTTCATGATTGACTTGTTGAATAACATATGGTTTACTATTTATAAGAAATATTTGTTGTGCTTGATCATGTAGAACATTCGAATTTAAAGGTTTCGCTTCTAACTCATTTTTCTTATTAAATTTATTATTTGTCGTATCATTATCTGTTAACAAATTTGTTGGTACATTAAATACCATCGTGTCAACCACGGAATTGTTTTTTATTGTTGTTGTTGCTTTTTTTGCATTTGTTTTTTTTATTTTAGTTGTTCCTGCCGATGATTTCACAACATTTTTTATTGTTGAATCAATCGACGTATAATCTAAATTTGATGATTGTGGTTGCTGTAGTTGTTGCACAGTCGGTTGAGTAGTTAACGTTCGATTATTTGAATTTAGTGCTTTATTTAATAAATGATTAACTATGGCACTGGAATCAGTCGGTGTACCAGATGCCATTGCTGATAAGAGAAAATCTGTTATCGACGGATCATTAAAATCGATTCTAAACGAAGAAGATAGTTGTTGCTTTCGTTGTTCTATAGTATATTGTTGTTGCTGTTGGTGCGATAAATGATCAAAATTGTGTTCATCATTTGTTGCCGATAAAAGGTCCATATTGCCACCGCTGACAATATTCTTACAGTTCATTATTGTTGATGGCGATGAGTTACCTAAGAGAATATTTGTTGCACCTGTCAATGATATTGCATCGATTTGATTTGTTAGAGTTTTTTGTGCTCGATAACGCCCGAAATCAGATTTAAGTGCATTCATATGAAGTGTCATTTGTTTATTTGATGCAGCTGTAGTGGTTGATACTAAATTATTTGTTGGTGAGTGTGCTGTTGTTGTTATGGATTCACGACGAACACTTTTATCGGGAGGAGAAAAGAGAACATTTTGAACCCCCGATAATACAGCATACGTCGATTCATTTGTTGACGATGATTTAACAGAGTCGAAAAGTGATGGGAGTCGTGCGATAAAATTTGTATCATTTAATACAACCGAGGGTGGCGTGAGGCTAATATCATTTAAGTAACGAATCGTTTGTGTTGTTGTCGATGAACATATAGTCGTTGAGGGAGATGTACTATTACGATGTAAACCTGTCTGAGACGATGAAACGGACGCGGGTGGTGAAAGAATTGATGATGGTATTGCCGTATTTTGAATTATAGCTGTTGTTGAAGTTGGAATTACAATAGCAGGTGATAACTCATGAATCGAATCATCATCAACAGAAGAATACTGATAAATTTGTTGTTTTGATGGCGAAGACACGGTTGAGGGTTTAGTCATATCGTTACAAAAATCAGATGATTTGACTGTTTTGCGTGGTCTACCGCGAGGGCGTTTAGTTGGCAATCCAGAATACGATTGCGTATTACTCCATGTAAGTGAATGTTCTAAAAAATGTAAATTACAAGTTGCAAACTTTCTCTCACTGACATTAAGGTAGATTACACACCATCGATGAAGCGCTGTAATTGTTTTTCGGTGTTGCTTGTTGATGTTAATATTGCTGTTGCTGTATTAGATGGTAGCGGAGATAGAGAGGATGATGATGAAGATGAATCATGATTGCTTTGCAATCCGCATGTCTGAATATTTGTTGTATTAATTGTAAATGGTTTTGACTCATTTGACGATGAACAAAGAAAAACATTACCAGTATTAAGTTCACAATGTGGTCGTTTTCGACGTTTAACTGCAAAGAAAAGAAAAAAATTAAATCACAAGTAGCCAAAACATTCTTTCTTTACTTACCCGTCTTTTGTTCGAGTTCGTTGAATGAATCAATACAATTTGTTAGTGTGGCCATTTCAAGAATGTTCGATTTTTGTCTACAATGAGTACCTTCAAGTACCTGAGTGACTTCCCATGACTTTGACTGTACAGTCGGGTTAAAATTAAATACCTTAAAAAGATGCAGATTTAAAAATAGAAACATCGCATTTTTTCTACACAATTACTCACCTTGTCTACTACAAGAGGACACTGCAAACCACATTTGCACGTTGATGGCGTTTCAAGATACCGTCGAACCGATTCATATGAATCAAGTACAGTATTTGTTGGACTGAAAAGCAATAATGTACTCAAATTACAGAGCGTCTCAGTCGTCAGTCAGTTGAGAAATACCTTACCTTAAATAGATAACCAAATCTGAAGCTACAACACGGCGCCAACCATAAGGCACATGAATAAAATCTACTTGTACATTCGTCAAGTTGGAAATTTTGACACTCTTTTGACCGACAGGTGCTGCGGATGCTGAATTTATTCTACTTTTAACATTCGCCGGACAACTTAATTTTGATGTTGGTAAAGCTGAAAACGAAACTTGTTCTGTATATAACTCGTTTTCACCTTTAATTATAATTCGTTTAAGACCATTAGCATCGTTCATAGTTAAGTCATTGAAATTTGGTGTTGTTTGCTCAATCTGCTGCTGCTTTTTTGATCTTGAGCGTTTTTTAGTATTCGTAGTGGATTGCTGACTTATTACGGGGGAAGAAGGAAAAAAGACTGCTGCTGCTGATGATGATTGTGAAGTATCATTTGGTGAAGTCGCTTTATTCCAACTATCGGATGTTGATGTTTTCATATCGACTAAAGGTTGAACACGGATGACGGAATTTAGATGATGATTAATATTTTGTTGTGGCCACTGTGTCGATGAGGAATCACTTTTATTAGCGGGTGTCGTATTATTATACAACGAAAGTGAACCATTGCTGCTACTAGTTGAAAAATTGAAATTGACACCGTCTAAATAGTAGGAAAGTATGATAAGAAAAAGTAAGATTTCACTTATTATATCGCAATACATAAAAACGTTCGTTAAAAAAAATATTTTCGTCTGTCTGTTCACACCATCAATTCAAAAACGGAATAAACCTTGAAAGAAACGGTCTAATAAGTTGAAACTCATGGACTAGAGGTAATTTCGAATGAAGAATTCGTATCCTAGATGATCTATAGGTTCTTCTCGAGTCTCCGGGAAACCTTCAGGATATCGACTTCATTTCGTGTTGGTTTTGGGCGTGAAAAGATCGGAAAGCATAATATTCAAAACAAGTATAAAACAGCTGATTTATCTAATTTTAACATCAGGGGATCGAGTGAATCCAAGATGAACGTTGTTTGTAAGGATAAGATATTTAAGTTGCTAAAATAGTATCAATCGGATGACTTAGATTCATAGCCATCTCAGTAAAAGCGCACGTTAGAATAAAGCCCTTACTTGTTGCACACTGCTTTTGTATATTTGTTGCTGTGTCGACATCAATATTGCTGATATTGATATTATAATTTGTTGTGGTCAACGACGATGAATCAGTTAAATTAATTGGTTGATTCTGATTAGTGCTGGCTCCTCCACCTACACTTCCTAGCTGTTGTTGTAGCTGTGATCGACTTTCTTCACGACGTTTTGTTTCTTCCTTAATATTCTTTAATAATTGTGAAACAATCTCAGTTGTTTGTTTTTCGTCCAATTGTGAAATTTGTGTATGTTGTTGACGCTGTTTCCGACTCATGTTTGTATTGCAACGTCCATTTGTATTGCTCATATTTAGATTATTATTTTGATTTTGATTATATAATGGGGCTGGTTGTAAACTAGTTGTATGTATATTGACGTTAATATTATTTACATTGATATTATTTGCCGTAATATTACTCAAATTTGTTGTATTTTGAATAGTGCTTGAAGATTCAATCAACGTTGTCGTCGACGTGGTTGTTGTTGGCTGTATGCTTGGTTCAGCTGGTTTCGAGGATGGCTGAGGATCAGTAATATTTTTCTTCGTTGGTGATGATAGATTATTGGCACCAGATTTGAGTGCAGGGGAAACAAATGGTGTATTTAATGCAACGCCTGGAGTTAATTGACCAAAAGATGACGGTAAACGCGTAACATTGACTAGATTAACACCATTTGTAGCTGTTTTTACCATAAGTTGTGGACTACGTACAATATTCGGACTCATTAATGGCGAATTAGAACTAGCAGAAATCATTAATGCTTTTGACGGTGATGATGGATATTTCACAATATGTATCGGCGAACCAACAGTCGTCATTGACGTGACTGATTTCTTTTCTTCACTATTCAAATTTCGATTTGGTGATACTAACAAACATGGAAACGATGATTTGGGTGTGGACGGACGTAAACAAAGAGATGGTGCCGAAGATGGGCGTTGATCGATGCTTGGTGAGATGGATGATGAGGATGATGATGAAAGACTAGATTGTTGAGATGAATGTTGAAGAGTAGCAGTAGTATTATTATCGTTTACTTCCATGGGTGAAGCAAACATCTGACTAGATTGTTCAGCTATTGGTAAAATTTGAGTAGGTTGCTCACTATTAACGGGCGTCGGAAGGTTTGACAACAGCTGATCATTCCCAATTTTCAGTGGAGATTTTATTGTTATTTCATCGTCATTGTTACAATCATTACCCAACTCGGCCTCCGACGGTAACGAAGTAAAATCGCCATCATCTATCTGACTTAACGATGGCATAAGTGTCTGTTCCGATATGAATCGAACAAGGTTTGTAGGAGAAGCCGCTGGTACGGGATACGATGTTTCTTGTACGGTCGAATACATACTATTTTGACTAGATAATGGCGCTTCGATTTTAAGCTCTGTTGTTTCATCAATTTGATTCGAATCGGCTATCGAAGTAGATTCATTGTGATCCTTCTCGATATCACATGTTAACGATGCGAGTGTATTAACATTTTTAGTATTATTTACCGACGGAAAATAGTTTTTTGATGGTGACGAATGTGGCGACGAGCCATTATTTAAAACTTCAAGCATATCATGACAATCATTCGATGAATACGATGATAAAAAATTACTGTGTAAATCTGTCATTCTTCAGTTGTATACGAACGTTATTGGCTAAATTACATTTCACGATTATCGTAATACATACAATAGAATGATCCATACGACAAAAAAATCATAAATCAAACAAAAATGATTTAATTAGAAAATCTAAAACAAAAGATTTTACTATAAATACGCGCTGAAATAAGACACATTCGAACAAACTGTCAGTGGAATAGCTTTCATAAATTGAAAATGTCCTTTTCTATTTCTATATTTTCTTACTACAATTGGCTGCTTTCAAAATCTAGCACATAAAGTGATATGTTTAACGCTGTCGATAGTTAGAGTTGTTTACTGATGAATCTTGTCGTGTTTATATACTTCAACAAGATTTAGTTATTTACTCATTAGAAAATAAATAAATATTTCGAGGAATATCCTAACTTTTTTTTAAAAAAGCAAACAAATAAATAAAAGAAAACAATGTACACCGGTAGCCATCTTTACCTATTTAAGATAATATTACTTCCTCTGCGCTGGAGACGTCCGGTTTATGAAATAATTCAGTTATGCACTTGAACCATCAAATCAATTATTATTATATCCTTCTTATTTTGAGAATTAAATTGAGAATGCCAGTCGTAATGAGTGGAAGGAGCTCTTATTTTGTCCGATATGAAGGATGTCATGTTTCGGCTGTAGTGCGAGAAGTATAAATACACTTGCGGCGGTTGCTGTCATAGCTGATTTACAAAATAAAAATGTCGGGCGTGCACGATTCGGGTGCTCTCCTGGAAACCGCTTTTGGAACTTCGGAGTCCTCATTCCAGTAGGCACATTGTTTTTATTAATGGAAAGAGATAAAATCTTCTTATTCCGTAAAGTACTTTATCTCAAGTATAATCTTCTTTCTTTTACAGATATGGAGATCCACAAAACTTTATATCGAAGAAAGTGCGTAACACGTACCCATTTTTGAACTTCTTCGAATTGAATCTTTTGTTTAATTATTTAATTTCTAGGTAGATGAAGAAAAAATAAGTTCGGACGAACAGGAATATGACTCTGACGCACTTAAACCTGACCCTTACCATCCGGATGAAGTACGTTTGAAAAATCCAGTTGATATTTGCAGTGCCATGCCGAGAAAAACTAGGGGAGAAAGGTGTAAGTTTTCTGGGAGAAAATTCGAGAAAACATTAGGAGAAAAGCTTAGGAGGAGAAAAAACAAATTTCGAAAGACCAGAGGCATGTACCACTTGAAACACATACTGGTTGGCACGGGTCTGGATATTTACATACAATACACGAGACTTGAGAATGATGAATTCAATCTTCTTTTAAGGCGGATAAAGAATTTTTATCTTCAAAGCCCACATGTTTTCTTGTTTTGGGCAAGCCTGGAGTGGGAAAGACCACCTTAGCACGTAAACTAGCCGAAGATTGGCATACAGAATTGATCAGTAGTAAGCAATCACAATGCATTTTTCTTTCTCAATGGTATTTAATTAATTCAAAAATTTAGTTAGTGATTTAATCAGTACAAACATGAAACAGAAGACTGAGCTCGGTGTACGGGCAAAAGATTTATTATTACGTGGAGAACCTGTGCCAGATGAAATGGTGTCGCGGATGTTAGAAATAAAAATGAAATCACCTGAAGTTGCACACCACGGTAATTAAACTTGTCATTGTCAAATCTTTGTCATTTTCTGCTTTTGTGTTTGAAAAACTAGTTCGTGAATTCAATTCTAATCTTTCGTTGTCCTATTCTTTAGTAGCAATACATTGCATTTTCTGTTGTAAAATAAATCATGTTGTGTTGCTTTCAGGCTATACTATGGACGATTTTCCATTAATGGATGAAAATTTTATGAAATTACGTGATCAGTTAGACATGATGAAAAATTGGCCACTAAAACCAGACTTTGTAATCAATTTTCGAGTGAGTTCATTAGTGAGACATGAATAGGCTGATGTCAATTATTTAACATTATAATTTGCAAATTCAGATACCTGATTCGGATCTGGAAGTTCGAAGACTCGGCCAAAAAACGGATCCGATAACAGGGGCTTTGTATATTAAAGAGCAATATGCTCCAACTCAAATTGAAAAACCGGTAAGTGGATATTTCATAATTTCTTCTACTTGAACTCATTTATAACTACAATAGAGATTGAAAAAGAAAGGAAAGTTAAAAGTAAGCTAAGGCTTCTTGTAAGCCTGCGCAAAGCTTTAGATTTTTGCTCACTATTGTTGCTATAATTGTAGAATAATTCCATTCATAGTATAAGTGTCTGTTAGATCGCCAAAACAGACGTAGAAGAAGAGGAAAATGACGATGAACAAGAAGACGAAGTAATGGAAGAAGAACAATTGGAGGTAATTTATTGACTAACTCTCATCCGTTTTCCTGATAATAATACTTTGGT